TGAAATATTTGAAAGAAATTAGAGTAATGTAAGTTTCTGTTGTATTTGTAGCAATGCACGGCACTTGAATTCCACCAAATGAAAGAAACAAAGCACCAATAATGTCATATTTTACCGATAGGCTTTTAAATATATATTCAAATTAGCACCTTACCATCTGTACAAGACTAGAAGGTACTATTATATACTCACAGGTAAACAAAATACATTTCTGCTTTGTGTATCTATCGATGGATTAGTATATAAACGTGTGAGATCGCAGACACAATCACTAGTTACATACAGGATTTTATGCACTATAATACCGTTGTCAAACAATATGGATCACTTCTCATTGTTGAGGATTTAACCGAATTTAATGATTTGAATAAAGACACGTGCGTCCATTCGGAGAAATTAAACATTGATATATGAATACGTGATATGTTTGAACTAATAATATTTAGGATTTCCGAGAAATAATTAAAATAATCACGAAAAAATTGTCAAATTCAATGCAAGCAAAGGTAGATTACGTGAAGTTTTAATTATCGTTTGATTTTGCCACAAGAATATAATCAGATGTTTGCATACTTTTAATCGATAACTTACTGTCTCAGTGACATTTTTAAATAAACATTTTAATATTCCTATCACATAATAAACACGTACAACAATGCAATAATATCATAATACATAATAAAAGTAATCTTAAGCAATGACTGTAATTAAAGAAATCAACAGCAAGATTTTTAAACAAATGACAAGATAATCGAAAGAGTCATTGAAATTCGATATTGACGTTTCTCGAGGCAATGTTACATCGAAGCAACATTGGAAACTGTGTTACTCACGTCGAAGATATGCACACTACTAACTCGTTGAAATTAATAGGCACGAATTATATTATATTTCACTGAAATAATTCGATATCCATAATACAATGCATTTTTTACTCTGGACTCAATTACCTCGATGTCATTGCAGTCACTGAACTTTTAATGGTATACAAAGTGGATAGTCACCTCTAGTGGGAACACAGAGCTTCGTTCGTCAAACTTAATTCTAAATTATAGTGCACGTATTAATGCTTTCGTAACAACTGGAGTTGCAGCGAATTACGAAAACCTATATCTATGATTAATCTCATCGGCTAACTGACATTCAGTAAGAGGAGACTGCAGTTAATCTCTTCTGTTGGTGTGCATTTCCGTTTCATGTGATCGGGATTCCTTACAATAGATAACATCGATAACAATCGGTAGACTATCTATACGGATACAGGTCAACGGCTGTCTTTGTCGATCTCGAATAACTGACGATAAAACTATGACTTTTATCGAAACAGATATTACGTGTACTCCACTATCTTTTGTTAAATTCGTTTCACTGGAATTTGTCCTTGCTCTTTGTCACTATTTTTGAAGAAGAAAAAAGCAGGAACATAATATCGTCGCCTCTAGCTCTTAATTATTCTATCTCGATTAGTTTCTAAACTGAGAAAACTGAGTTTACAGTTTACGAAATTTAATATTATCGAAGCAGGAAAGTAGTGAAACAAGCAAACACACTGTAATATCATCTAATTAATAGCCATTTAGTACAATATTTAACACAAGTTTTATCTTATTATCAACTTAAATTTTTAATTGTTGTTAGTATTTGGAAATGCAACCATTAAGAAAAAAAAATATTAAAGTTTCGGAGTTAGGACTTGAAAGAATGAGTTCAAGAACTACTGTTTTCCAGGTAGAATTTTTGTTTATATTATGGTGAATTTGTATTCTTTGGACCAATGAACACGGATGGAAAAAATATTTTTTGAACATTGGAATTAGAACAGTTAAGAATTCGGGTGATGATATGAACTTTGAATTTAAATAATCTCGGTAGTTTATTAAAAAGAAAGATCACATTTATTAAAAGGAAGAAGATGACAAAGAGACTTATTGGTGTACTTAATAATTCATAAATGGAAATATTGATGTACACAATATTAAACAAATTCGTAATTTTTCTATAGTTCCACGTTCAATTAAACCGTGACTATGAAAATCCACGTATTACTTACAGGTATGTAGGTCCAAAGTGTATACTTGGAAACATCATGACTTCATTGACAGATATCACATTAATAGATAATAGAAAATGTCATTACGAACAAAAGCTTTTTCATCGGTAGATAACGATTTTTCCTAGATCTAGTTGTAGTTCAAACATTCTGTTTAATGAATCACCTATCGAGGTACGTGTTTCTTCTAAATTGATACAATAATAATTATGATTACTCTGTAACAACAAATAAAATTCTACTCCACCTATTAATGATATCGGATCTAATAATATTATTGCATCAAAAATAAAATTAAGAATATTTTTAGATTCATCAAACTCATCACCTTCAATTATTCTAAATGCATACAATCTATTTACAATCCAGTAATTACACCAGATATTTAGTAAATAAAACAGATAATTCTAAAACAGAAAGTATGCAATCAAGTAGATGCTTCCCAGTTAATACAAATGTTACATTTTCTCTAGATATAGTTTACTGTCAATTTCTAACGGTTGATATTCTCAGTTGATTACAAAGCAAACAGATACTTGAAATAATAAAACTACCTGCAATACAAAAAGATTAGAATTACAAAATACTATGTACAATCAGCGTAAAGTGCTCAACCACCTTCGTGTTCATTAGTGACGCGATACGCAATGAAATATAACGATTACGGGGTCTACAGTAGTAAAGACAGTCACAATTCGTTAAATTATGTCGATAATTCACACTAATTAGCCCTACTGGCACGAAACGAACAGAGAGAAAAAACTAAGAAGAAAGACGTGGCATGACTAATATCGATGATGTCCTATAAATATCTAATCACCGCCTCACGCCCTCGTCGCTTTTGCAATACCGTTATAGCTTAACGCGTTGTCTTGCAAAATGATCAATGAAATCGCACTGACCACCGTGTCTTGACATAGATATCAAGCATTCCCACTGTATTAGGCGGCGAAAGAAGGGAACGCGCCAGCGGGGATTTTTCTTTTCTTTTTGTCTTGTTTCCGTTATCGTAGAAGAAAATAAATTAAACAGCGGATTAATTATTAGTATAACACAGTAACTCTTACTGAAGAATTGCTCGTACCGTCAACATAAAAAACCACAATAATATTCAACATCCAAAATTATACTACACTGCGTGGCATAATTATAAATCCACCCTAAAATTTTCAATTTTTATGTACTGTGAGTAAGATAAAAACAAACCAAGTATGTCATATCTAAAATCGTGTTTAGAAAGAACATTTTTTCGGAAAGGATGGATTATAATCCCTAGAAAAAAGTGGGTCGTTTTTATTGTAACCACAATACATAAGGATTGAAAATTTAAGGGTGGTTTTGTATTTATGACAAGCAGTATATGTACCAAATGCCTTCGTGGCAACCTGTACATTTGCATATACATTAATAAAAAAAATTTTAAATATTAATTGAATTGATGTGTATTAATTAAAACGGATAAATAATATTAATCAAAATTATCATTTTTCTATTGATCTACGATCTGTTGAACCGTCACTGCGAAAATCCATGTATTATTTATAGGTATGTAGATCCAAGTGTAATCGACATTTTTCGCTGTCGTAGAAAAAAATAGACGTGTTTTTTCTAATGATTTCGATTTTCCTCGTGGTGTCGTAACTTTACCGCGCCGACAGGCTCGTCCGCTATCGCGCTTATATTTTCTCTTAATTAGAAGTTTGTCTAATTGGGCGAGAGAGGTTTAATGAGATGATAACATCGACATTCGTGTTCCTGTCACGTCTAGCAGTGAAATACCGCGGTCTTTATCAACGACATTTAAAAAAAAAAAAATAGCATGTAGACGTGTGGAAACGTAAGAATTTTACACTGCAACCAATGATAGTAAATGCTGTTCCATTTCTGACATTTCGACCACTGTATCTGTCATATGAGCAGTTTACAATGTGATTAATTACTCTTATAAATTTTTTTAAATTTCGTTATCAAAGCACTTGATTGATGGTTAACTTTGTATATTTAAAATGAATTTCTTTGATTATTTTTGTAGAGTTAATCACTTTGCCAAATGAACGGCTCAGGTCCAGTGAGACGATTTGGTATTAGAGATAAAAGTTAATTGTTATAGAACAATTTTAAATAAAACGAACCTGGTTAAGACACGTGAAACGTCTGAAGGTTAAAAAACAAGTATAATAAAAACTTAAAATTGGACTGCAGATATTTAAAGAAATTCACGGTTTTGGACATTAATTTATGCAAAAAAGTAAACCAGGTATAAACTTACCTTCTGCGCTAGGTATTTTATTATGTTTATGATAACACATAAATATTATTTTCTACTGCGTTATGCAGATTAAGATTTGTTATTAGAGAGTAAAAACCAAAAGGGTAATTGTAATCCTAAGGCAGTTTCAATGTTGTTAATAATACAAACGTCTAATAACAACTATTTTTTATACCTTCGATCCCAACTCGTTCGAGAAACTATGTCTTAACAAGACCATCAACAGAATATTTTCGTCCGCTAGCGAGATTTCACTTAGTTAATATAAACCGTACCACATAACGAGCAACGCGGACACGCTTCAATAAACTTTCCTTTCCGAGGCGAACAGCTGTCATCGCGCGGGATACCAACGGCCCCACATCGGATCATTCACGAAATTACGAAACATCATGACTTCGATCCACAATAGAAAGTCGACGAGACGCTGGCGGAACCAGTAACAACACTGACCGCATACCACGAAGCGATTCTAATCCGATCGGAATCCGATCGTTTCCATACCGAAGAGATCAAAACAGCACGTAAAAATCCCCCTTTTAAAAGAGAAACAAAAAACCATATTCACCGTATACAAGATCAATTTGTCTGACTCTCGAAAAACAAAGGCACGATCCCACGCACATCATCCACAGGCGAATAACAAAAAAAAAAAAGAAAAAAAAAACAATAGGTACATACCTGCTGGGACGAAAGAGTGAATCGTCCACCAGCCAACCAGAAACCGACCAAGAGACGTGAGGATCTCAGGGAAAATCAAAGGCACACTTCCTGGATCGACGATAACGTTTTCGGAAGTCTTGCTCCGCTCACAAATCCTTCTTGCTCCTTAGCTCCTAGCATGGAAACAGGATAGGTCTCCTTAAAGGAAGACAACACGAGTCACCATCCACAGGACCATGATCTGTTTGGGTCGATCACCGATCAACCAGCCACGTAACCCCCGTGTGATATCTTTTTTTTTTCTTTTTTTTTCTTTCGTGTGTACGCGAACACACACATAAATACACACACGGCTCGTTCAGAGAGACAGTCGAGACGCGTAAAAGGCCGCAGAATCAACTCGCGTAAGTACACACACGGACGGTCGACGGCACCAAAGGGGAATCCTTCGTAATCGGGGGGGCCCAGGTGAAAGCCGTTTAGGTGAGCGGCGAACGAGCGACTGGCATAGCCACGATCTACCGGAGGTACCAGAAGCGATTCAGGTGCCCCCCCTTGCCTTCCACTCCTTGGATAACTTTCACAACACCCAGGCTAGAGAGCGAGTCTCTCTCTCTCTCTCTTCTTTCCCTCTAACTCGCGGTTTTTCTCCGACCATCTCGCTCTGTGTGTCTCCCCCCCTCCCCCCACTATCTGATCGGTGGTCCCTTGAACAATTTTTGATGTCAAAGCTGGCGACCAGTCGGAGATATGTGTAACAATGGCCGATCTATCGGCCGGAATCCAGTGAGGTTGCGAAACTCCCTGATACCGTAGGATATGGTTCTTGGGCTGTTCCTTCGAGACGTTGAAAAAGGGTGATTTATGAAACGTGCTCACCGGTTTGTTGGGTCACCTTCGGTGACTTGAAATTATTCTTGGAGGAATGTGATATTTCTGTTGCAAATTGAATGTTGAGATCAGACTTTTATTCATTCTTAAGTACCTCTTGATATGTAGTTATTACGCCTTAATTTATAATTATGTGACAAAATTTGTAGAAACTACTTTTCTTGAAGGCCTTGATAACTTACAACGCTAGTGTTGTGGCATAGATGTCTCTTGCACTAAGCTATGGGGGAAGCTATCAACCCTTAATGATCTGAAATGAAGTAACGTTAGTTTGAAGGTTTTAATTTTTTCAAAAGTGTAGCTTTATTTCTATTGGATATATTTTATTTCTTGTTGCTGTCTTACAATGTCATTTAATGGCGTATTTAATAGTGAGTAGTTTAATTAATATTATTTTTCATTTTCTATGGCTTCGTAGTTTTAATAATTGTATGATATAGAACTTGTCTATGGGTTGATAATTTTTAGCAAAATAGTGATCAGAAAATCATGTGATCTGTAATGTGATTAGCGTATTGTTTGTTATTTTGGGGGTTGGTAGGTTTCCGCATAACTTCGCCCAATTGATGCCCCGAATTGAGTACGAGCTGCCTTGGTAGAGAAGCTATCATTGAAAAGGATTCTGTGAGGTTTAGATGTATCGTTTCACGAAATTCTGAATGTAACGTCAACAGAATTTAAAGTGTCCAGAACGATTCTATTGCAGTAGATTATACGGTTGTTCCATCAGTGGCCTTGAGCTTGGGTTATCTTTGATGACTCAAAATTGTTTTTAGAGGAATGTGATTTGCTATTGCAAAATTCAAGCCTCCGAGTTAAGTGAGTTGCCTTTCTAAAAGAGTTAGCACAGGAAAGAATTCTGTGACGTTTAGATGTGATCGTTTCACAACATTCTGAATGTGACGTGAAAGAATGACGTCGATAAAATTCGAAATGTCCAGAATGATTCCATTGCAATAGATTTTATAGTTGTTATATCAATGGCCTAGTGCTTGGGTTACTCTTGGTGACTCAAAATTGTTTTTGTAGGAAAGTAATATTCCTATTGCAAAATCAAATCTCCAATATAAGTGAATTACCTTTTTAAACAAAATCAGCATTGAAAATAATTTTCTGACGTTCAGACGTATACGTTTTACAAAATTCTGAATGTGACGTGGAAGAATGACGTCGATAGAATTCGAAATGTCCAGAATGATTCCATTGCAATAGATTTTATAGTTGTTATATCAATGGCCTAGTGCTTGGGTTACTCTTAGTGACTCAAAATTGTTTTTAGAGGAATGTAATATTCCTATTGCAAAATCAAATCTCCAATATAAGTGAATTACTTTTTTAAACAAAATCAGCATTGAAAATAATTTTCTGACGTTCAGATGTATCCGTTTTACAAAATTCTGAATGTGACGTGGAAGAATGACGTCGATAAAATTCGAAGTGTCCAGAATGATTCTATTGCGGCAGATGATACGTTTGTTCTATCGATAGCCTTGTGCTTGCATCAAGCACTATCTTACACTACGCGTTACAAGATACTATCGTTATCGGATTTTTCATCGATTCAAGTACATGCTGCACACAGTTTACATAAGTGAGGAATTCTTTGGTAGTCTTTTTATCGCAGGTAACATCAGGCGATTTGTGTTTTGAACCCGGGAAATATTGGTCCGTACGGAAAATAATTTTCGTCGGAGAAAACAACGAAAATGTATATTGAGGACCTATATATCGAGGTACACCTTCCGAAATGAATTGTGAAATGAGCTCTCTATAGGTCAAATCTGACGTACTATTTGCATATTGCGCTACCAGTTACGTGCATGTAATTAATTGTGCGTGTAACGAAGGCGTCCGTTCAAATTGCAGTCGACCTGAACTAAACACCTTTGCTGTTTCCGAGCACTACATTTACCGAGAAGGTCGTATTCAAACATTTTACGGATTTCCTTTCTATCTCGTCGAGTAGTTAAATTAAGACATACATAATTCGAATAACATGCTTAGTACGTCCACAGCGCTTGATCTTTCTAATGATTTTATATTATTCAGGTTAATTTTGTAACCCAGACATTAATAGATAATTATATTATAGATGTAATTATTAGAAAGTGATATAAATGCCTTTTTTCCTTCAGTATGTACAACAATCACTGGTACACAGTGATGAATTACTCAAAAGTATTTACGAAGCTGGTGTAGGTAGTTTTAACCTTTTCAAGCGGTAAATAATTTACTAAATTCCTATGTTTTAAAATGTTAATAATGCACATTTATCTATTAACAACGTTCTTATATAGCTAATAATGTAAAATATTTATATAGAATTGGATATATCTCTTTTTTAAAAATTTCATGTCGAGAATATAGTCTACCCGGCATTGATGTCTCCGCAATTTTTTGAAGATTTCTTATATTAGCTCGATCAATTTATTGAAATAAAACGAATTTTATTAATTTTTCTAAACTAATCTGTAACCTCGGTATTAATCAAGAAAATGTAACGGTCATTTTATGAGTAACTTTTGGAATATTAACTTGGAAACTTGTGTATGAAATTGGTACAGATATTTATACATATATTAAGTTCGACATTCGAATAGGACTATGTATTATAAAACAGTAAAATATCAATGTATTTATTATTATTTTACCATATGTTTAATTGAAGAAAAGAAGAAATAATTCGTAACTTTCAATTTTGCATAAGTTATTCACGGTAAAACACGCGTACTTGAAAAATTAAGTTCTCCAATATGGCGTTTTCGTAGCGTCCTCCGAGCAGATACAGTTTAACAATTCTGCTGTTCTCCAACAGATGGCAGAACATTACCAATTATACTCGCATCCAAGTGAACGTTTAAATGCTCGTTATCAATGGCACTTCTTTTCACTACTATTACTGTTTGGCGAGTGACAATTTAATCTACAACCCATTGATCTGCATGGCTTCGTCATTTGCATTATCAACTAGATACATTATTATGTAATTGTGTTAGATTCCTCATGGTATATTCTATCTATTAGGCAACATCCGTGATTTTAAAACTGATATTTAATGAAAACATCAAAGAAAAGAATTGTACATAGTAAGAAGAAAAACACGAATATATTTAGAATTGATACAAGAACTTGCAATGCTGCAATATAAATTATTACTAAGAAATGTTATTTGTGTAAACATATAATAATGGAATAATACGAAAAAAATGTTGAATTCATACGAGAACTTACAATACTGTAATATAAATTATTACCAGTAAATGTTATTTGTGTAAACATAGTTATGAAATATAGGATTTCTCAATCGTAAACTATATTTAGAATCAATAACTGCTTATTTTGAAATAACACTATAAAATAAGAAAAATTGCTTTCGTTTACTGATGTTTAAGTTGAAATCTTCCTAACGAAATGTTTTTCTATTCGTTTTGTTTAAATCGCAATCGAGAGCAACATCATTAGTAACTTGAAGCTGTGTTTTAACTTCCGTGGTGTGTACTATACTCAGATCGTTTAATATACATACATACATATGCAACTTTTTTGGAAATAGTTCTATGATAAGAAATTTCAGAGTTGATATGGTGAAATAAGTAATTCTTACTCTTCTGCATCAGCGCAGCCACGAAAGAAAAATTCGTTCAACTATGTACACTCCGCATGAATCATATAAAGGATGTTTTTCTTTTAATAATAAAGTGTACCATTTGATAGGCTAAATGATAGTTATTTAATAGATAAAAATATTTTAACTGAAGGATAGCTCCCTTTTTGATTATGCAATTTAATTCAATATAATTCAATTTTCAATATAATTTAAAAAATGTGCCAAAAAAATTTCGATTTCCTCACTTCATTAACAAATTAAAATCTACGCTAATCATTTTTGCTTATTTCTATCATTTTTGTAATGGAATCAAAGTAAACATTGATTAAACTGCGGAATATTTCGCTGAATAGTATAGTAATTCAAGAGGATCTTATTTACACAGTTAACCATTGAACAATGAAACAACATGAACCAGCAATAAGAAAATAAGAGCACCAAAATGTATATCAGCATAGGAAAACGTCCATTCTAGAATGCTCGCATCCGACGTCACTGATAAACGCTATCGAGCCATTTTCGTTTTATCAATGCTCCTCTAGACTGATATTCATATCTCACACTCCAATAATTTATGCATCAACACCGCTTGAAAAATAGATATACAAAAATTTAAATCTTTTCATTACTGCAGTAACTAATCATCCACGTTAAGTTAAATCCACACAATGATCCGAAAATTTTAATTTAATATTAAATTGAAAATCTAACTTATTTAATTATTAATTATTATTTATTTATTTTAATGTTTCTTTTTTACTTCTGTTATTGTGGATTCGGAAATGCTTTCATGATTTATATGCGTTTATAGCACGTACAACTACGTGAAATATAATAAACGGTACAACTATCATCAAATCTAGTACATTTTCTGTTAAAAATATTTTCAAGAAATGAAAGAAAATTCAATCTTCAGTCAATTTGCTTTCACAAATCATTTTAAAAAATGCTACTTTGCATAAAGCTCCGCGGCCTGCTCATGATCATAGAAAATAGACTTAAAATTGATCAACGTACGAACCACTGGCACCAACTTCGTAAATATAAGGTCCAATAAAAAATAAGACGCGAGAAGTCGAAGATAGAACGAGAAAAGAAGCGATAACTCGTGTTACAATACATTATAGTGTTGGTAGGGTTGAATCGGTTGTTCGCTCCTCCGAAGAATCACATTAAGCAGGAGCATCAAAACATCGTGGACAAACCTACTCGATGTTTCCTCAAGGACACATTCACTGTCATCACCATGTCAACATCGTTTTATTAGAGGTCACAAACTCCGATACGAAAACCATTATTTCCATTGTTCCCCTGTTATCTTTCGCATGGAACTAAGGTAGTGTTAAAAGAGAAAGACGGGTTAAACGATTATCTAAAATACAAACACATTTGACAATATTTTTTTTATAATTCCGATTTTTCAATAAAACACTCTTTTAACGCTAGAACTACCAAACACGTTAAAATGGCAGATTGCAGATATCTTATATTACGATTACTGAAATTATAATATTGCTTTTGACGGAATTTGTGTTAACTTTTAATTTACTATATATTTTATTGTTACTTTATATTATGCTAAAATATACTATTATATTATGTACTATATTATACAATTTAATTTAGTATATATTTAACGCTAGTAGGTTTAGTGTTGATGATCATAATAAAATGTAACATTCCCTATAACCAGAGATGAGCAAATTCATTATCTAGATAAAAAATTTCGAATAACAAATAGAGTATAAAAAAACTAGTGGATCACTTCTTTTATTGATCAAACGTGGAAATTCTAATTTGTATAAAAAACTGCTACTTCTTTTGGAGTGAGTATACCACTTGGCGAATAATTACTTAATCCCATTAACTGTTTAAAGGTCAGAACAACGCTCTTGAATAGTGCTGCTTTCCACTATGTATTACTCGAATAAAATTCTGCCCAACTCTGCCCAGAGTTGTATACCGTAGGTCCAGGTAGGCTTTAAAACAATCTTGTATACCAATAATTTGTTTTCTAATTTTACCACTAAACCTACCACAACCGGTCAAAATGACCGGTTTTGGCGTACTAATTCCTACCTCTCTGAAGGGTTCGGTAGGTTTAGTGTTAATTTTGAATGTCCTCCTAGCAGTCGGTACAACTTTTTCGTTTTTATCTACCCTAGAAGTTGTGAACCTTTTTTCTTTATCACCCTGTATAAGGAGTTACGAACCCCTTTTCTTTGATCACCTTGAATAAACAAAAACCGTTTATCCATAAGTCTATCTGTTCCTATTAATTAAACGATCTAGCCACAGTGCAGACATGTTTAGGAAAGCTTCAGTCGAAACGCTATTGCAATTACTTAATCAGACGAGACGGGGGCGTGAAAAGTACTTCCAAGTGCGCGTGCACTGGCTGCGATCAGAGACAATGAATCAAAGGACGAGACGTGATCACGACGGGGTTCGACCAATGAAAGAAAAGCGAGGCACTTTTCTACACGGGATCGTCTACAAAAGAATCGATAAGCGTTCGTAGCGCTACTGCCCCGCTACTTCTGGTCTTGATCCATCGAATGGATCAGTAGACGCTCGTGCTTCAACGAACGTAAACGGTCGTCTCTCTCTCTGACGCGTTTAACGCAGTCCGAACCACTTGTCGGGGTCATTATTGTTTAGAAGAACCGACAAATAATCATTTAATTCCATTCCGTCCTCATCCAGTTCGAGCTCGTTCCTATCTCTGCACCACCTTCTTCCATTCTTTTCTTTTTCTCCGCTCTAATTTCATTCAATTTCGTACCCGCTGAAATTTAAATGGTCCGACTTAGTCTGGCCGCAGATGGAATTTCTGTAGGATCTGATTGTTAGAATTTTGTGATACTGATTTTATAAATACCGAATAAGCTATTGAATATGGAACCATAGATCGATCATCGAAGAGAAAAAAAATGGGAAAAATGAGCGTAGCCAATGGAAAGCCGGTTCCTATCGAGAAATTTAGTGAATGCCCGGAGGATCGTAAGAAACACGGTAGGTGTGCTGATGAATTTTTATATCGATGTTGATGGTATACGTGGAAAACATCATTTTGTACGACATGTTGACGGTTGTGCTTTTTCTTACAGATGCCGAAATCATGGAACCGAAAGAGAGTAGAATACAGGAAATGATTAGTAACGAACTGCAAGGACAAATGCAGGTATGAAATCTTTTATTTTGTCAAATAAAAGTACTCTATATATTCATCAAATCATATATTGATAATTAATTGTTATTAATAATTGACGGATATTTAATTGTCTTTTCCCTCGATTATTTTTATTATCTTCTGCTAATTTTAAGAATTCTACTTTTTTGCTTTATTTATTATATGTGACTGAAAACTGAAAAAATGTGACAATCACATGCTTCTTCTCATAATTCAGGACTTAATTGTATAATTTATCTTTATTTGATCAAGTAATTAGTAAAGAACGGAAAAAGAAATGCTGATTTCGACAAATGGTTGAACAGGTGTCGTTTAGAATAAAACATAATTGCCCAATAATGATAAAATTAGTCTAGATAACAGAGATAATTACTCACATTTCGAAATTGGATAAAAAATGTGTGTCATAAACAAATCATACAATGCTTGTTTCTTTGTATCTGAATAAATGATAAGTGAAATGATCCCTTTTACAGGAAATAAGACAAGATATTTTAGAGCTTGTCAATAACCGAATGAACTGCATGGTATCGGACATTTTACAAAGAATGGATAAAGAAACATCAAGCGAGTCCAAAGACATTGTTGACTCAGAAAAATACAGCAACAGAAGGTAACTGTACTTTATAGTTTTTAATTAATGTTATAAATACTCAATTGCTCTCAATTTATACATCGTAATACAAACTTACAAAAAAATGTCCAAATAACTCTTGAAAGTATTTCGTTTCTTTTTGTCAATGTTAATTAAATACCATGAAAGAGAAAAACATATTTTTAGGAAAGAAAGAAATTTCATCAGACAATAGGAATCGATAAAATTAAAAATTTGTGTTTGTCACGAACAAGCACAAAATAATTTTAGTTACTGTTATAAATATTCTATTATTCACCATTTATTGTATATCGTACTACAAACTTTAGAAAATAATTTCAAAGTAATTCTTGATAGTACTTCGTTATCTTTTATCATTGTTAATTAAATACCATTAATTAGAATTGTTAAGAATAATTAAAAAGGAAAACATATTTTTACGAAAAAAATTAATTTCATCAAATTATAGAAATCGATAGAATTTGAAATGTTCGTTACGAACACAAAATAATTTTAATGACTGTTATGAATATTCTATTACACTCCACAATAATTTTTGTCGAAGAATAAATATTTCGAAACCACCAGTATCTCACATGAACGTTCAATTGCGAACTACATTACTTTGAAGATCGCTCGAGTACGCGTGCACTTAACTACTTTGACCCGGATTGACGAATCTACCTACAGAACTCTGTCATATTTGTACACGGAACATAAAATGGAATAGAAATTACAATTTATTCGAAAAAAAGCTGCATGATTATTTTCGCGAAATAAAAGTGACGTTACCTAAAAATAAAATAAAAAATGAGCTAGAAATTCGCCCACTCACGATATCTTTATTATTTCACTGCGAATGTTTAGGCAAATATAGATTTTCCCGGATTAATGTACAGAAACTAACATGAAATAGAAATTTCTTTACACTATTAAGGATTCTTTTGGATTCTAAGTGAAATAAAAACCTTCCAAAATTTCATTAAGCTTTTTACTATGTTAAATCGTAGACACTCAAGTATTCTATAAATGCATAACAACCGCAGTCTATTGTTCAGCAGTTATTGCACAATTATAACCGGAACGTTAATCTCATTAACTCGTTTCATATAGTTTTTCTTCAGACAAAATTGATTGTTGAAATAGACGGACGCAATAGTCAGTTAAGAAAACAACAATAAGAATTGTAGTGATTAACGCTTAAACTTTTGAATTCATGAAATATTTCTGTAAATTGAGGAATTTTCCATCAAGTAGTATATACTATATGTATAAATGGAATTATAAAGTAATTCTGGCTCCTGTTCTCATTGCGTAAATTGAAGCTATGAATTCCTAAATTAAAATGAAATAACTCTCACAGAGAAGAGAAAGCAAAATTTGCATTTGTCACATAAATGTTTTAAGTCAGAAAAATATTTTGATAATTATCGTTGTACTGTGTTATCTTTCAAGATCTTATTATAGATCATCTATATTTAAATTAATTAAGATTATAAAACTCATACATTGAAACGAAATCTCACAAATTATTGAAATCTTCAGTTTTATTAAACTCAATATCTAATTATGTAATTTGAATGTATTCTGACAACGTTATCACGAAGGCTCCATATACAGAACAAAGTTAAGTGCACTCGTACTCGGCTAGTATTCGATACTGTTTACATGAAAATAAAGAGTTACGTGGCGATAACAAACTATACAATTCCACCTTATCTTTGCTTGGAGGATTTTCCTGTAAATAGAAATATTCCTATTTACAGAAAATTCTTGTAATAATTTTATTACAATTTTTATTTCATGTGAAATAGGTATGTCTATCTCCTGGTAATAAAATGAAACATGTCTATTACTGATTTATATTTCACATATGTACATTATTCTTAAATACGAATCGTTTGTTTTGAGAATAAAAACTGAAATTAAAAACACGAATAAATTGCAAGAAAATGAAATCTGAATTAAATTATATAACCGTGAATAATTACTGATCATTAATTTGTATTTGCAATTCAATTAAAAGTAACTTAATATTTTAATAAACTTAAGAATCTTTATAATGATAATTGTAAAAGAATGAAAAAGAATGAAAAATTGTAAAAGAATGAAACCTGGATTAAATTCTGTAACTGTGGATAATTACGAACGATTAATTTGTATTTGCAATTCAATTAAAAGGAACTTAATATTTTAATAAACTTGAGAATCTGTATAATGAGTAATGTAATACTTTCGTAGTAAACCAACGAAAGGAGACACTCTGCCCAACAAAAAATTTCTGCCGAGGAATTCAGTGCTGACCGACCTTTACGAAATCAAACACATCCGCGCAATATACAATCTCATCATATCGGTATTGATATTACTATTGATACACACTGCTGTATACGACATTCGAACGACAGGAACGTAAGTACAATAGCACCGAACTGACACTAGTTCTTGTTTTGCCTTTATCGTACACTGCATATTGGGTGACCCAAAATGAAATACTCCATTTTTAATATTGACTAAAATCTAGTAAACTCAGTTACATACTCATGCAAAAACAATTACTGTATCGTTCTTTTAAATAGAAAATTTGTCTCCATTTTTCAATCTCGAAAATGGTAAATCGTTTTTTTTTTTAAATTAAAAATGAAAAACATTATAATGTATTTAACATCATTACTACGTTATTGCAAATTTTGATATTTATAGGTGATTCTTACCTACTCTGACATCGAGTGTTAATAGTGATCTGTAGACTAGATATTTATACGAATATAGATGTTTGCAGATTAATTTACAGAAACTGGAGTCAAACAGAAATTTGTTTACCCTAGTTTCATTGGATTCAAAATGAAAAAAATTCAATTTTGTAAAATTCTATCGTATATTCGACACTGGAGTATGTTATAAATGCATGAAATGCGCAGTGTGGTTAAATATAGTAAATATTAACTTATCAAAATATAATTTCTTTAAAATAATCTTATAATGTGACTGTAAAAAAAAAGGTCAGTAAAAACGTCAGAAAGATTGCTTTTTTAGACCAGATTTCGCTCTCGGCACGATACAAAAGGGCTTTGCCAAATTTTCAATAGTCTTTTACGTTTGGAGCCTTATGGCAGCTTCTACTTCCGGAGTTTACGCAGCTTTTTGTTACTGGGCTACTCGTCGCGCTCAGTGGGAACCAAAATGTAAGTCGTACGAAATTAACCTTGCTGTTTAACATCAGTAATCATCGTATGTATTAAAAAAAAAAATAACAATAAATTCATTTAACAGCATTCGCTAGAAAAATTTGGGACTACGGGGCCTTACTAAGCTTCATTGTCTACGAGATTATATTCATCATACTTCCCACGAGATCTGTGCTCAAAGAAGATTTACCAATAGCGTCCAGTCTGATTATACTTATGGAACAAGTACGTAGCAGTTATTTGTCTATTACTCAGAATTAATAAAAAAATATTGGTCAGTGTATAACATTATCAAAAAATATTATATGCATACACGAAAAGAATACATTATTTTTTCGGAATATAAGCACAACTGACTATAATTGAATAAAAAGTAATAACATTCACGTGCAAAATGCAAGCTCAATAACTACTAACATACATTGTTTAATATGTTATAGTGCTTTTTTAATAAACAATAATCGTGTGTATTGCAGATATATAACATGTAACTTGAATAATTTTTGTAAATAATATCAATGTTAATATTATATTTGATATTGCCAGAATTATAGTATAAAAATATATTTTCTTGTGTTTCGTCTAGACTCGAATGGTAATGAAAACACACGCCTTTGTCAGAACCGTAGCCCCAAGATTTTTATCGTACAAACCGCATTCAGAGATGACAGCCCCAAATCCGCCAGACTTCTCCAAATTTATTTATTTCATGTTCGCTCCGACTCTGATCTACCAAGACAGTTATCCTAGGTAAGTTATACTTTCATACAGAACTAGTTTAGTATCACATGCACCATTTAATACGAAATAAAAATTAACTTCGTTTACAAGATCGAATACTTAATTTTATCGTGCAAAAAATTTTTTGAGATTAATGGAATAATGCATTTATAATCCATAATATTAGTATTGATGCAACAAAGTTATCGTAGTACCTACTTTAGATAAATATATTACTAATAAATTTGTTATTAAAATGTTTCGTAGAATTCAGAATTATAAATTAACACGAAAAATAATTTGGAGTCTTTATAAAAAAAAAAAGTTATACTTGCGTTTCAAGAGACGTGTGTTTTCGCAATTTAACAATGACACAAAAAGATACTATCAATTTGACGATATCGTTGACAAAACGCATTATTATCTCCGAACAAAATTGTTCTTGTTCTGAAAATTTCCTTACCTATCGAGACCCATTATGTTATCGCGAGTGATTAGCGCATCTGGAACACGTGATGCAAATATTAATCAGTTTATCACAAAAAGCTGATCTATCTCTTTTGTTACTTCTTGTCACGCTGAAATGTGGGTTAATTAAGACACGTCTAGAATACATCAAAACTCATTAGAAGGAAACATACATCATGCTTGTTTGACAAGTAGTTCGAAATCGTGCCTTGCCCGTCACTACACTGTTTCAGATAAAATAGATACTACAAAAAAATTGAAAATTTGCATCGTTAAGCTCCTAATTATTTGATATACTAATAAGTAGACCACTATTTTTCTGAAAATTAAAAATAATTCAAAACCCTTAGTTATACATATTAATAGTACTCGTAATCTGTTTCCATCATTCTCCGTCATTTTAACTGGGCAGAAGAACAAAAAAGCTATTTACAATTTAAATTGCTTTGCCAGTATGAATGAAACGATGGTGGATTACTTATTGGTACACCTAATCCATAAGAAAGATTAGAATACCTATTGAAATTAACCCTAGAACTAGCAGCCTTGAATGTACACTAAATTAAATTGTACAATATCGTAATATAGATAATATATAATACAATCTAGCATAATATAGTGTAATATAAAATTCATAATAAATTAAAAGTGAACATAAATTCCGGTAAAAGCACCACTGTAACTTCAGTAATGGTAAAATAAGAAATCTGCAATCCATCATTGTAACGAATTTGGTAGTTCTAGTATTAAATAATATTATGTATACTTCTACAGGACGAAGAAAATTCGATGGAATTTCGTCCTAGTCAATTTCGCCGAAGTAGCGACGGTCATCGTCTTTGTCGGACTATTATATCAACGACTGCTACAGCCGACATTTGAAGACTTCGGTACACAGCCGATCGAAGTGGGAATGTTGGCCCTAAATATTACTACATCGATAACACCTGGAATACTGTTGTTTGTGAGCGGCTTCTACCTTCTTCTGCACTCTTGGATGAACGCCTGCGCTGAGATCTTGCGATTCAGCGACAAGATGTTCTACAAAGTGAGTACTCGCTAATTCCAAATATATTTGGCTAATCCAAAAGTTCGTACCTTTTTTAAGGGCATAGGTATATCCATATGTTGTTTATTGTAACAGTATTATATTACCTAATTTAGACCTGGTCGATCAAAGTAGACTTAAGGTAGCTCGCGCGTTTGGTGTCGTATCCAGCTGGGACTTCATATGGAGTTTTATACTTTTTATCAATTTTACCAATTTAATTCGAATGATTAATATTTTAAACTACTTCAAAATGCTGAAATGGAAAAAGATTGACAAATCAGTGGAAAAAACAACAATCTTTTTTCCTTATTGTAAATTTTTTTGTATTTTTAAGAAAAAATTGGAAATTTCGTCGAACAAACCAAAAGAAAACAGGTGACGTTGACGCTCATTGCAGACATGTATAGAAGATACTACCAAATGTATTGAAATCTAAGTTTGCATACTTTGATCTTAATTTTTACTTTTATTTGATCGTTAACATATCTTTTCTTTCATGCTATCATAATCTCCGTAAAAAAATCTATAGCCACCTAGTTTTTTATGAAAATGTTATTTTTTGTAACTAAATAAGAAATGATTAACTTCTCAGTAATTACAATTCTATAAGGCTCGTGTTAAAATGAAATTTTTATAACGTTTCTTTTTCAATAATTTTATCGCTGACTGTGCGACTTTCCGGCCGACCCGATACATTTTATTACAACAAAATTTATAAGAAAGTTTAGTATTATGCTTTCACGTCGAGTTTTTATCTTCTCGAATTATTTTTTTAATACTCTGCCTCGCAAACCTACTTTCTACGGTTTCTCTCAACAGCCCAGTAATGGACCAACAGTCATTAGTTTTATGGAGGGTGACTCACCTCTTGTGACTAGAAGGAAACTAACAATTCTAGTGAAAATTATTACAGTACCGAGTAGGAATCTTAACAGGACCAAATTTGAAAATTTAGAGACAATGAAAATCTACTGTACCTCCCTTACAGTAGAGACCAACTGAGTTTCTTCTACAGACAATTCCATAATTAATACAAAGAGAATAATTAAAAACTATACCAATTAATGGCCATTACAGTATTCGTCAGATATGGTTTATATACAGGGTGTTCAGTTTAGCGATATCCACAATTTTTCAGCCGTCTGTGATAATGTAATAAAAAGAAGTTATTAAGCAAAATTTATCTGTTTTAAATGGACAACCTATGGCGATAACAAATATTTCAAAAATACAATTTTTTCATAGTGAACCCAAGGTCACCTTGAGTTTTTTAAGTGAAAACATATGACCAAAAAATGGTCATTTCCTCACACCGTTAAAGGGTTAACGTCTTCTCCACTTTACTGAAAACAAATTATATCGCACCCCTGCAAGAACAATGCCACAAACCGAAAAGGTGTAATTTTTCAAGAGAGCGAAAAGAATTCATTCGCGTAGCACTTCATATATTAAACAAAGTATAACTAGCACCATATCGCTTGCAATATTGGACTTCAACTTGTGACATTTTTCTGAGTGCTGAAACGAACACATTGGAACATACATATTTTATACGATAAAATGAAAATCGACAATTTCTGATTTGTGACATTGTTCTCGCAAGGGTGCGATACGGTCCATCAAAAAAACTCAGACTGACCCCCGAGTTCACAGCGACAGAAATACATTCTCCCAATATTTGTTACAATTATACGTACAAACAAATATTGATTAATAACATATTTTCCATGAAATTCCCGAAATCTGTTGAAAAATATTGAATACCGTTAGACGAAACACCCTGTATATAAAAACATTCTCTCAGTTTCTATTCTTCCTAAACGAGACAAGCCTAATCATACCCATTGCTCATACAGTTAAAACTACAACAAAAAAATAGTGCACTTTCGACACTCGGTTACAAAGCTCGATGAGAAACCACCGCGGAATTCTATGACAGAAATCCAACGACCATGAGTCACCGAGATCGTTACGCAGAATCATTTCCACGATCGATTTCGTCATCGTTACATCCAATCGGTCGACGTAACTTTCTCGAGTTCCGGAAAAGCATTTTATCGATTCAAGGACTTTGTTACACTCACCGATGAACTAGGAACACCATTGAAATTTATCGTGTCCCTCGTTGAATTCCAGGACTGGTGGAACTCGAAGAGCTACAGGACGTATTATCGGACCTGGAACATCGTGGTCCACGATTGGCTGTACACATTCATCTACAAGGACATGTACGAGATCGTCACCTCCCGTAACAAGACCGCGTCCACGTTAATGGTGTTCTTTATTTCGGCGATCTTCCACGAGTACATCCTCTCGTTCACCTTCCGGTTCTTTTATCCAGTGATGCTAACCCTGTTCGGAGGCATAGGAATAGGCTTGACAGCGATGAAATCGTCGGGTAACGTGTTCATATGGTTCTCCCTGCTTCTGGGCAACGGTATGATAGCCAGCCTCTACTGCATGGAATATTTCGCCAGGGTGAACTGTCCACCATCGCGAGACGATTTCCTCGATCTCGTGATCCCGAGAACCTGGACCTGCATCTTCAAATGAACACGCTCGAGGTGTCTCGGGCGATCCAAGCACTTTTAAAATGCGGTCGTGAAAGGCGTATTGTGTCCCTCGAGGCGACTGAACCGAGTCGGGGAAACGGAAGAAAGCTGGAATCAGACGGTGGTTAGAATAGATTTCAGGATATCTAGACGTTTGTCATTCCAACGGAGAAGACGGTCATTGCGATCAGTATTAGGCCTTGATCACTTGATAGGGAGGATCGAAGGTGACGATGATGAGGTCGAACGATACCCGTTTCGATGGGTTTGGTGTGCAACTGAAATTGTAGACGTGATATTAGACGTAAATAAATTCATGTATGATTCAGTGAAATGAACCATTTCGTTTGATTTTCTGTTCCTTTGATTCTACACTTTCTTGTATTTCTTCCTATTCTTCAGGGTGGTTTTCAGCACTGTCCAACATGATTTATGGAAGACTTTGGTGAAAAAATTGGTAACGCTGTTTTTTATTTTACAGATAAAGAAACTCTATTGTTTGGTGAAATAAACAGTTCCGTGATACCAATAGTGTAGGTACTAAATAATAAAGACTAGCGCAAGGACCACCTTCAGGTTTTTGAAAAACATAAGGTTTCGTAAAAACGCACGATTTCGGGAAAAAATGAGGTATCACGTGAAAACTAAAAACGCCAGAAACTTAAATTTAGTATTAAAAGATAGAGCGTAGTTGCCGGAATATATCAGTGTATACAGTTATCCAATTTTGTGGTTTTGAATGGTGGTAAATGACTGGTATTTCACGTAATACCTCTTCTTAATCGTGAATTTGTACGAAAACTCATGTTTTGCAAAAACTAAGGGCGATGAAGCAAATCCGCCTCCGGATTCGTGTTTGACACGAGGTACTCTAGAAGGATAAAAAAAAAGTTCGAATTTGTTGCATGTTGCAGTCGAACGATATCGTAAGATCGCGACCCGATTTTTCAAAAGAGAATAATTTTTATTATCAAGGCTTACATAGTTGTCTCGAGGATTCGGCGTGTTTCCAAGACACTCGTCGTTGATAGACATATCATTATGTATTATAGATCTTTTTTCTCTATACAGCTCGTTTACTTGAATGTACATACACGCGCTAATACGGTTATACATTTATACACAATATTACTCTTCTCTCCATAGATTTGTATTTCTCGCGATGTGTCGTATAGAAGGAATAATAATATTCCGTGCACTGTATACAATTCTCTTCTTTTCTTTGTTTCATTTTTCCGCGACATCGATTCATCGTCGAACGTTTATTCAGCAACCTTTTTGCGAAACGATTCCTCGAAGGAACGTATAACATATACATTCGTGAATTATAGGACATCGAATTGCGCGAAATCGGTCGGAAAGTTTAAAAAATTGGCTCGTACAAAAGAAAGCGGATATTTTATACAGCACACAGTGAAAGGTTCGGTATTTCACCCAAAAATTGTAGTCTACACGACCTTCCTCTAGCGACAAGAAAAAAAACGCAGAAGGTCGGAATAGTGAAAGATGAAAATTAGCCACGCTAACACCACACTTCTTTTCATCGTTTTCTTTTTTTACAGTGGACAAGCAATCTGGAAGATTTCACGATACTCGGAAGCTTTTGAACGTTCTTACGAAAATGTACTCGATTCGAACCAATGAAATTCCTTGCACACGAAAGAAATAATCAGAGAAGACGGAATCCCCTAATCCATTTCCCGTCCATCGGATCAATTTCAAATATCATCCGTGTTATCGTTTATTCTCTTTGTTACAGCACCGTTCACCAGCAGTAAACACGTCTCGTTACTCTATGTACACGTTCGTGAACATTGAAAAAATAAACAATATTCTCTTCATTCCCCGAGAGCACCGGACAATTTCCCTCGGAAATAATCGTGCTCGTGACTATACTGGAGTGACCATTCGTCCTGGATTCTAGCTCTGCGTCCCGCATAGGTACGCGTTTTTTTATTGTATTTGTATTTGCTTCATTAAGTGTAATTTTTTAAGTTTGTTTTTCTAAAATTATCCCTCCCCCTTTCTATCGGGCTCAATGTCCCGGATTGCACCGCAGAAAAAATGGTCACCCTAGGCTACACTCATCGTCGAAGCAAGATATTGTCTCTATGATACGGCACTCCCGCTCGAAAATACAATTTTCATCGACCTACACGCGGAAAGTGATCACACGAGGTTTGTCTAAAAAATGACCAGACTGTTGGCGTAGAAATTTTTATTGTCAACTAATTAGAGATCAACTTTATCCCCTTCAAAACAACTCTTATGGGAAACCGCTGGAGACGTTGTTTCCACTTGTGAAACCATTGCTGGAAATCTTTAACCCTTTTCCGACCTGAATTATTTTGTTCAAACAAAAATAATTATTCTTTTTGCATATAGTTATTTCTTGGATGTCAAAAAACAGGAAAATTGAAAAAATAACAAAAACGAATGTTCATTAAACGATTCTTAAATATTAGTTTGGTGAATATATCCACCTAACGGCAAAATATCAAACTTTATGATACGACGCCATATTGAATCTTCAGGTTTATAGTACGAGTTACAAATGCTGGGTAAGTCAATAATTCCAAACAAAATCCTACGGTCGGAAAGGGTTAATTGACAGTCTTTAGTTGGTCTACAGTTCCCAAATAGCGACCTCGAAGTTGACCTTTTATTTTGAGGGAAAGCAATTAGTCACACGGATTCAGATCAGAGAAGTAAGGAGGTTGTGTTACCATTTTTAGTCTACCAAGGAATACCCTTTACAGTCGAAAATTCATTTACAGAGTTTTCTTGTATTTTGATAAATTTTGATAAAAATTCTATTTGTGAATGTATTTTTAATTAATAATGTTATTTCTGTGGTTCCATAGCTCCTTTACTTCCCTGATCCGAGTCTGTGATTTCGTTCTATACCCAAAAATCATAACCCATCGCAAGGGTCGTCATCTTGGAATTCTGGGTAACAACCAAAAGATTATGACAGACCAACTGAAAGCAGTTCCAGCTGAAGACTACCAACACTGCTTCCAGAAGTGTACTTTCCAAGGTAACTATTTCGAAGGGGATAATGTTGATTTCTAGAAAAGTTGGCAAAACAAATTTCTACGTTATCAGTTTCGTTACTTTTCTCACAGACCTCGTGATGTCGTGTCACAATGGCGATCATTCGATTCCGTCTCTAGCATCACGAATCGGCAACAGACACACACACGCGCAACTCCTCCGTTTTATTTATACAACTCCGTGTCCGTTTTCCCGAGCCCCCCCATTCATCCCTAATTCGGTTCAAGCATCAAACAAAATACATCGAACAGTCTCGCTAATGTTCGTTCGATCCCTGAACCGAACGATTTTTCGCCTAATTTGTACAAGGACGACGCATCCATTTTCGCTAGATCGGAATTTCAATCCTTTGGAACAATCATCGGAAGAATTTAACTATATCGACCATAACAGAGTAGGTATACTTTGTGTTAAATATAAACTGCGGATTTTATGCATTTATAGACTCTAGAGCTCTATTATATATATATATATATAACAGAGATACGCTCGAGATCAATCCTGGGTGTGCCAATGAATAATACATTATTTTCTCCAATTTCAATATTTGTTACGAACGAGATCAATATTCGTTACGGTTCTTCGGCATTCTATATTTTTATAAAACACGCGAGTGGAAAGGTTGAGTAAATTGAAACTGTAACGGAATTTAATCAATGAGGTAGTGAATCACTCATTGGTCCACGCAGTAAAAAGGGAATACAGAACTTTTGTATTAAAATTTTGAATTAATCATGTATCAGCATACACGTAATAAAAAGGGAATATCCGATTGTTATATTAAAATGTATGGATTTACCGTCCACTTTCCCGTGAATTGATACCATATGGATTGAACCGCGAAGGATTAAAGTTCCATCTTGGAAAACTCGTCTCATATTTACTTGGCACTTAGTACCCGCTACCAACACTTTTCTCGCCGTTATTTCCTCATTTACGTTCTCGTTCGCGCAGTCAGCCGAGAGAAAAATCGTTCGCGTAAAACAAAAGCAATCCCTCGTCTTAACAAGCTCAATATTTTCGTTGCGACGTGGCTCCTTCTACCGAAGCTTCGATCATTTCAAGATCCTCTTTTTTCCTTCGTTTCGTTGCGATCTCGCGTGAAACAAAAATGTCGCAGTCTCAATTGGGTTTAACCCGTTGCCTCGTAGCGTCGAATTGTACAATAGTTTCCATTTTCATGGATCAAGGTTAGTAGAACTCACAAAGCAATAAAAAAAAAAGGAATTTCTTTTTAGGGTATTCAGTTCTCAAACTTGCAAAACAATAATTTGTTGTATAATAATGCAAAACTTTGAAATAATATATCTTCAGAATTCAACGCTTTAGCAATAAAACAGGAAAGATCGATGTAAAGTGATCAAGTCTATCTTTCTTATTTATAGTGACCCCATTCACAAGTTGACCTTTGTGTGTATTTATGTGCTTTCTACTATCTTTTTTTATTTCAATTTTTCTTTACCTAATTATAGTAAAATTTTATACTTTATTCTAGATTTGTATTAAGCGGTTCCATGTATTTAATAAATAATTTACTCGGGCGAAACGTTTGAACTTCTTTGTCAGAATTTAGTCTAAAACAAATCGTATTCGTATTTATGAAACAGAGGTGGTTTGCTTTAAACACGCATCGTAGGTACATACGCACTTATGATCGAAACAATTGTACCGTTTACAGATTAAAACGACTGCTTATTAGGATACAAACGTAAATATATCTAATCGCGTACGATACGTGGACGAGGAATTATTATCTCAATAAGGAAATCTGAATATCGTAGAAAAACACAATTCACTTTGTGCACTTGAGTCTGTCAAGACTTTATTCCATTACCGAGTTTTATTATCCACTATGTTTGTACTTTTAGGTCTGCGACACCTTAAACAATTCAATAAATATCATATTAGACGATTTTCGATTAACAGTTTGAAAAAGAAAATGAAAATATCTTTCTTCTGCATTTATTTTATGGAATTTAGTAACGTCGTAATCTTGATGATATCGAGAGTATCGATCTCTTATATAAACAGTATTTTATCATTTTTACATTAATAAATTTCCAGATGTGAAAATATCGTCCTATCCTTAGTCCCTTTAGTTGCATTGGATCTGCTTGTGAGTAATCCACTACTATTTTTCAATTAGAATATTTCTCTTCAAGGAAATCAAACGATTCCTTCGTAATATTCGTCACCGTTCTCCAGCATCCTCCGCCATTTTTATCAAACACAAAAGTCGAAAGATACATTTAAACTATATTACCATCTTACTAAAAAGACTGGTTTACTCATCAATATACTTAATTAATGAATTTCAATTTTAAAAAATTTAGCAATTGAACATCAAGTTGACCATCTTATCCCTAGTCAATTTATCTTTCGCCAACAAATACTCAATTTCTTGAATTTACTCGTATCGCTTCCTATCGCATCAATTCAACGAACATTGGAGCAAACTATTTAAACAATTAATTATTGGATCTGCAATCCAAAAAAAAAACGATATTTCATCTTCAACAGCCTATTTGCATAGCACAATTTAATGGAAACAGGCCAAGTGTTCTGACGATTTCGTTTTCACGGCTCCGTTCGATTGCAGCCGATCGTTAAAATAAAGATCGAACATGCCGATAGACATTCATACGTCACAATTAGTTAATCACCTGTGACAGACACAGACATCAGGCAAGATCGTAAGGCAACGGGTTAACCGGTAGCTCAGATATCCGATTCCCACGCTTAAACGTACCAGAGTCTTCAACGTTCTTTTTCTTTACAAAGTATTTGATTCACGAGGATCGTATACGCAACGTTAATGAAGTAATCGTACAAGATACTAATCGGTTTACTCGATCGATTACGTAAAACATGGAACGGGAAATATATGCTTCGTGACGAGATACCGACTTTCTTCGTTGCGCCGCAGATCGCCGAAGAATGCACGAGGAAGAACGATCAAGAAACAAGTATACAAAGAGGAAGGTCAGGATACAGGACTCGATAATTGGCTACACACTCCTCCACCTCCCTTTTTACAGACGTCTTGTCGGACAAATTTTTCCCATACACACGGTACTTCGAAAGTTGTGTTATTTCACGCACGCGACAAATTACCGAGTAAAACAAACAAAATACATTTTAGTAATTAATAGACTGCGGATGTTTATACATTTATATCATAACTTAACTTGGAAAATCCAATAAAATTACGGTTTTTATTCAAGATTAATACTATTTATGTTATTAATACTTGAAGTACCAAATAAGTCAATATGACAATGTGTTCTTATAATGATGAATAATATATCAGAACAATACATTTTCTCAGATCTTGTGAAAAATTTATTACGACACGAAATTGAAGAAATTCGTTAATTTATCAGTAATGTTTCAAAAGTTTGCTATGTTTTTCGACCGATCGAAATAGATACACGTTTATCGTTAGTAGTTCTAGTGGTAAAATAGTAAAAACTCGACTACAGAATTTAAAGTTCCGCGTCGTTTTAATCTTTAGATATTCCTATTGGAAATTCGGAATTTGCATAAATTTCCACAGCCCATTAATTACTGACCACTTTAATTTGCGTTTATCGGAAGAATTTTAACGTGTCTTATCCTTGAATTATTCGTTTTTTAATCGGCAATTATCCTGCCAACATGAAGTAAACTAATTAAGAAATACCTTGTATATCATGTGCCGTACACGTATTTCACGGTGTCATAAATATTGCCCAACATAGATTCTATCGAAAATAACTCCTGTCTATGTGTTCGTTTCTCATACATCGCGTCCATTTCACTATTCCGCACTATCTCTTTTCCCCATACTTTTTCGCCCTCTTATAAATCTACGAACAAGCGTTTTTAGTGCTAACCTCGAGTCCTTGTATCGCGGTGTACGAACTAATATGTATAATAATAAATCGTTCTGATACACTGTGGCGCTTAAATATGTCCCACCTCTGCAAAACGGCCATTGCAGAGGGAGGACCAAGTTTCTCTATGTATAGGAAAATTGAAGATACCTCAAGATTCGCATACGGAGAACGCAAACCTCATTACTATTCAGGCAGGACATCGTAGAAGAAGCGCAAAGTCTGAACAATGTACACAGGGTGTCCCGTCGAAATTGTTTAATTATTCAATTCTCGGGAAATCGGCCCGAAATTACCTATTTTGATAAAAATACGTGGCTGGAGAATAGAAGAAATTATACTTTCAGTATCATTTTATCATGACCGTTTTTGGATGATTACTTTTCACATAAAACAGATAACTCAACATTACTTAACAAGGCTGACATTTTAGAAGTATATGTTATGTTCTAGTGTCAAAATGTTAGAAAAAGAATTTGTCCACAACTGGAGAGTGATTCTAAGAATCCATTGTAGGTGCTATAGAAAAATGTTTTTTACAAGGTAATTTACTTCAGGGTTATTCGAAACTGTATTTTAACACTAGAACCACCAGCGATAAACGTATATCTATTTCTATCGGCTCGATAAACATAACAAACGTTTGAAAATATACAAATTTATAAACTAACTACTTTCGTTACTTTCATGTTCGAATAAAAGTTGTAAAAGATTCGAGAAAATGCAATATTATAACATTCCAATCAACGTTACAAGAGTGTACTAATTAATAATTTTTACTGTCTTGGTAGTTCCAGTGTTAAAAACAAATTCAATCCCAAAAAACAAAACAGTAGCTCAATATCCTTTCATATTCTAAACTACACTATAAACTCGGCTCAACACGTTATAAACAATATAATTCCATGATAATGGCCTTATAAAATAAAGTATTCCTAAAAGTAATGGCTTCTTCAAACCACGTATTCCCCGTTAAAACATTCCTTCCGCCTGTAACCCGAACCCAACAGAAGACATTACAATAACCGGTACCTAGTGTCCCTAACCTCTATACACAGCCCAGACAAAAAATCCACAGTATTCGATTAACCAATAAAACTTGGAGATAAAAAGTAGAAACGTGCACAATTTCCCAAGAATCCCACGAATGAACCTCATCATCAGTGTTTCGCAAACCATTAACCACCGGAACAAACTGTCTAACTAGGCCCCGATAAGGTACCAGAGGGCAGGACGCATGCGTGAATCTAAAAGGCTTGGTAAACACCGATTCACACGGAAAGGCAGTATTACATTTACTCACGAACCCAGATGGGACACCCTTATTGCTCTGTGCTACGCGAACGCGACTCTCGCGGATCGAATTAAAATCTAGAGTTTCAGTAACCTTCATTTGCCCATTCCCACCAGCGCCTCGTCCATCAGCTCGTCGTCGGTGATGCACGGCGAGGCGGAGTGAGGCGACGGCGGTATAACCCTTGGCGAGGGTGCGGGACTTTTTACAATGTGCACGCTCACGGATGGACTCGCCGGGAACGCGGGTGGAGGGGGTGGTGGGGTGTTCCTGCGTACCGAGGCCGCCTGGGTCATCGCTCTCTCGGGAATGCTCGTGAAGTTCAAGCTCTTCGCGACGTCTTTCGGGGTGGAGAAATCCAACAGCATCTCCGCTGCCTCCTGGGATGTCGTCGGTGGTATTTCTGTTCCAGCTGATTTCATCGTGTTCGACGAGCTCTCCGAAGACACAACGGTTCCTAAGGAAGTGGAGCTGGTGGATCCTCCGGAAGACGATACTTGCTGTTGCTGTGATTGTTGTTGCTGCTGTGGTTGCTGCTGTTGTTGTTGTTGTTGTTGCTGCTGCTGCTGTGGTTGTTGCGGCGGTGGCTGTTGTTGCTGTGACTGTTGTTGCTTCTTTTCGTCCGATTTATACTTCGGCAGGTTCGCATCAACCGGCTTGATGCTTAGGTTCAAGCTTTCCGTGTTCCCGTTAGCAGAACTCGAGGCACTCGTCCCGTTGCCGCTGGCTATAGCGCCTGTCGTCATCATGGTAGAGTACACGGGTTTGCTGGCAGACTGAGCATTTGAACTTTTAGGTAGAACGGCCATTACCGACCCACCGCCGGCTGCGTCGTCCTTGACACCGGCGGTGGAGTTTAGAGTGCTGCTCAGAAACGGCGTGTTACCTCTACTCATTGATGATGACTCTTTGCAGGAATCGCGGGACTCGTTCTCGGTCGGCTGCATCGAGAGATTCGTGGGTACGTCCATGTCGTGCGAGCTGTTGCTCGGGGGAAGCAAAAGATTGGTGGGATTGTCGGCGCCGAGATTCATAGACATTACCGAGGCTGCGCTTGTCATGGATAGATTGTCGGGCTTCGTTTGCACGTGATCACGTCTACCCTGGCTCGACTGATCGTCCGACGTTGCTTTCGAAACCGTCGACGAGGTGTTCGGTATCGTTTGCAATTTCCCCTGCTCCGTCGTTTGCTTCGTCGTTATACTGTCCAGAGTTTTCCCGGCCTCGGGAAGCATGGAAAGCTTCTCCGATTTCTTATCGCTAGAATCCGCGTTGGCTCTGGCGGACAGCTTGGGTATCTGGAAGTTAGTGTCCAACTGTTTCATCAGTCCTTCGACTACCAACTGCGGCGGTAGATTAGGCAAACTCGACAAGTTGGACATGGTAGCGTGAGCAGCCAGAAGCTTGAACGCTCTTTCGGTTTCGCTCTCCTCCCGTAGACCAGAAGGACTTGATTTCCTGGTGTCTCCGATACCTTTCGACGGAAATAAGCTTTTATCGCTGGACTTCGATAACCGAGATTTATCGCGACTCCGACTGAGATCCGTCACACCCGAACTAGTTGTCTTCGGAGAGCTTGAGGAGGACTTCGAGGACATAACGTTTTTAGAAAGTAGTCCACCGCTACTACTACCGCCAACGTTCAGTCCCCCGGCACCGTTACCGCTGCTGGAATTCGGTCCTGATATGGATTTCAAAGCCGACAACATTTTCTGCCCCAGTAACGTAGCTTTGCTGCCGCTGCTGCTGCCGGAACCGGAAGACGAGGATCCAGACAATTTCGGAGACGTCTGAGACGGAGGCTTCTTCGACGCAGGACCAGAACTGACACCTGGTTTCAAGCCGGTGTGCGTTTTCGGTGAACCGTTTCCCGACATCGAAGTCGACGAAGTAGACGAACTCGAAGATGCACCGGCTGCAACAGACGCTGAGGATGAGGACATTTTCAGGTTCGTTCCAGACTTCGAATCTTTTGTGCGAGTTTTATTGATAGTTATTTTCATCCCGTCGGAACTATGTTTCACCATGTACTCGGCAGGATTTTTCGACTCCATGGATGAGTTCTTGCTAATGCACTTTCCGTCTGTAGCTTTGTTCGACGAACTTCCAACACTTCTCTCTTTCTGACCACTCGAGTTACCACTTCCGCTAGTTGTAGACTTCGTCCCGCCATTGCCACTGTCCTCCGTACAATGCTGAGCATTTTTCAGTTTATCAATGACGGCGCTTAACGAGCCCTTTCTATTTCTTGCCTGTTGCTGCGCGATAGCCGACTTCCCGAGTTCCGAACTGCCGGATGGTGGTGTGCTACCACCGCTATTGGGCAAGCTGGTCTGCGTTTCCCCGCTAGGAATTAATTCCAATTGTTTTAACTTACCGCTAGAGGACTTTGTTTTCGGGCTTTGATGGCCGCTCGATCCACCGAACGTCAACGACGATGTCTTTCTTTCCTTATCTCGGTTCGAGTCTTTGCTCGAGGACGAAGAGGAAGACTTTATTTTGGATTGTCCGGAATCGGTGGTTTTACTAGACGGTGAATTCGCAGCGGATTTCAGCGCAGACATACTCGGTTTACCGGTGCTCGCTGAACTCCCATGCTTCGGCGATGACGTGCCATGCTTTGGGCTCACGCTCGCAGGTACTGGCGTGTGCTTCGGGCTACTGCTATAGACCGGAGAGTGCTTTGGACTTTGCACTGGCTTGTTTGTTGATTGTTTCAATGTAGGACTGGACTTACCTACGAGAGCAAGCGGACTGGTATGCGTCGGAGACGGGCTAAATTTTCTTAGTGTCGTCGCGGGCGAGGATGGCCGTGAGCTCAAATTCGGTGGCGATTCGGTCGGTTTGATGCTCACCGATACCGGTTTCGACAAAGGATCCTGTTTAGACGGTATCTTGTCCGGCGGCGGTCCCATAGGACTGTCCTCTCTCTTTCGCTTACGTCGTTTTTCCAACTTTCCCTTATCCTCCGTCGACTTTCCCTTCGAACTCTTTCTCTCTCTACGCTCATCGGTCAGACTCTTAGACTGCGTTGGACCAGCTATTGGAGTTATAGTAATAGAACTTGGTAAAGTAGTTTGCGGGGAAGACGCGATTGGTATTATTTCAATACCTGGCCTCCTTTCCAAACCCATCCCCGTAAGTACAGAGTTATAGTTCGTAGTTTGACCCAAACTACTGCTTGTAATTGGCGTTATACTTACTGACGGTGGCACCAAACTTTTATTCTCGTCGAATATAATCGGGCTCTTTTTCTCTTCTCTTTTCCTCGACTTGCGATCTCTTTTGATCAATTCCTCGACATCCTGCAGGTCGTGAACTTCCGTTATCTCACTCTCGTTGTCGAAATCGTAATCGGAGCTTTTGTCCGTTCCTAAAATGTCCGTTGAATCCAGATTAGAAAAGTCCAAACCGCCGGTTAAACTCGTGGCGGACGTCGGTGTGGATGTCCTTGTTTCGTTCAAACTTTCCCGTCCACCAGTCGGCGTACCGAGCGGCGTTGAATCCGAACTGGAGCTCTCCAATAATATCTCCGCGGTCTCATCTCCTTTTCTCTTAGGACTCCGCCAAATACCATCTGCAGTTTTTCTTTTGCGCGTCTTTTTTGTACGTTCATTGATAGGATTGGCCAAAGAGTTTTTTGCTTGTCCAAGTAATGCTCCCAATTGCAGGGGATTTAGCATTGCAGTAGTTGTGGTATCGGATTGGCCGGAATATGACGGAAAACCGATACTATTCTCCGTTCCGGCATCTAAAAAAGGCTGCTGCTGTTGTTGTTGTTGCTGCTGCTGCTGCTGTTGCGGCTGTTGTTGCTGCGACGACTGCTGTCTACCCATGGTTCCGTTCCCGTTATTCAAACCGGGCTCCTGCTTTATTTTTGTCTCTCCGTTCGTAAAATCCGGCATTCCGGAACCGTTCTGGTTGTTCTGATCCTTTCCGGAACCAAGATTCACGTTATAATTTCCGTTTCCGCTATTCATATTATTCATCGTGCTCAAAGCATCCCGACTCTCCCACGATTTCATGAGAATTCTCATTGTAAGAGGTATACTCAGACATTTCTGTAGAACTTTTCCAGTGAGATCAGACGTTCGCTCCGTGTTCGTTATGCTGATGCCATATAATTTGCATTTCAACGCGGAGATATCCGTCAAATCCAGCTCTGCCGTCGCCATTGTCTCTTCGAAAGGATGCTCCAAACTTACCGATATGTGTTGCCATGACAGAGCACTCACTTCAAATATGGTCGCGTGTTCTGGATCGTGTCGAGCCATAGGTCTAACGCAACTAGCGATTAAAGTATTAAACAACGCCTGTTGACGTAAATATACCAAGATTTGTGGGACATGTGCCGGATGCGTGAAAGGAATGCTGCACACTAACACACCTTCCATGTTTTTATTCTCTGTCATAAAGTAGCAGTGCTGCTGATCTGGTAAAGTCTGTAACAGAACGTATGTACAGGATAGTAAAGAATTTGGATAGTTAAGAAATATTTTAAACGATTTACATACAACATAAAGTCCTCTATTGTTTCGACAATCCAGCTGACCATCGCTGGCGTGTTGAATAATCAAACTAAGTAATGGATGCGGCGCAGATATGTCTGCGCATTCGAGCTCTGTGACCTTCTGTATCCTACGTAATAGTTCCATACACATTGGCATTTTTTTAACAAGTTTCAATACAAAGCAAGCAGGTAATACAGATGAATTTGTACCAGTTAATGGAGCATAAGACGGAGTACTGAAAATAAGTTCCTATTGGTTAAGAAACAATCAAATTGGATTGAATTATAATTTTCATTTCAATAGCTTACAAACCTTTTTCCTGTGGGACTTCTATTTACAGTTATGATACTAGATGTAGGCAACTTGTGAGCAGTCGAACCTTCCATACAAACTGTAACGGAATGACCAACTTTCCGTTTGATAACTATTTCTGAATTCAGTGCATCACAGGTACGATTCTCCTGATCTATTAAATCATAAGGAGAAACAAAATATGTCAATTTCATCGCATGACCTCCCCTCCTTCGCTCGAGGATCCCTAAACGAAAATATCATTTTTTAGATCTGACAATGTTATTTAATGTTTACTTTGTAAATATTAATAACGTTAAACTATAAAACTAACCGACTGGGCTTTTATGAACAAGATTAAATGGTTCCTTAATAAATGTCTGCAATTGAGCTAAAATACCCAGATCAGCCTCCAGCGACTGTAAAGCACTGAATGCTTTACACTTTACCTTCTTATCTGCATTTAACTGATATATTGATGCTAAACCTTCTAATTGTACTGTAAAATCTAGGAAGTCTCCTCGTGACAAACAAGATACCAACACATCACAGCTCTGTAAATATATTATCAAGACTCATTGGCTGTTATTAATATAGACTAAAACCTTTTTAAATAGATACTGTTTGTAGAAACTTTAGATACCTGCTGTTCATTTTTTCCTTCATGATGAATTTTTACATCTTTAACTACACCTGTCGGTTCCAAAAGAACTTCCAAAAAAAACATATCAGAAGATATAAACAACTCTGTACCTGGTGGACCAGACATCATAAACTTTAATCTGTAATCCAATTGTAACATAAGTATTGATTAAGTTATCCAACTTGCTCTGTTAATGATATATTTAATTAATTAGTATTTACCCCAATTGTCTAGTTAAACTTTCCAAGCGTTCCACCATGGATTGCAAGGAGGTCACTTTTATGGAATGTTGCAAAGTATCTAAACATTTTTGTAGTTGACTCTTTTCTGCACTGTCTATAGCAAACCTCTTATCCTATTATTGTAAAAAAAGGTAATTCAATACACAGAATTTTATATGTATTTTCAATGCAATTCACACAATATATTGCAAATAACTTACCAACATAGCCATACGCAGATTTTTGGCATTTTCCCCTTATCCAATCCTGAACTACCAATGGCAGGAGGCTGCCCACCTGTACAAAAATATACAAAAATGTATGTAACTAAACATAAGTCAATAAATAGATGAAACTGTTTTCAATAAACAATTGGATCAATTTTTCAAAAATACAACTACCTAATCACGAATACAGTTAACTGTCTTTTATGTATACACACGACAAATAAACATACATTAAATCGATATTTGTCGTTTTTCAGCAATTACAATTACTGACGAAATTATAATTAAAATAGAATAGACAGATTTGGATTGAATAAATTTAAAATTTATACTCACTAAGGGGCTTTTGTCCGTTCGCAACATCCATGTATTCTGTGGTGGATCACACGGATGTTGAAATATACGCGTATATCAATATACGTTTGCTGCCGTAGTATCACAGCATTATTATACACTACATTGTGACAGGAGCTGTTATTTTCACCTAACCCACGTTTGATCGCTTAACTGCTCCTAACCTTCACACATAATACAACAGCTATACTTGGAAGCCATACGGGCCATACAGGGCCATACGTTTCTACGTATAGGCGTTTTCGTCCGTCTGTAACATTAGTTAGGAGGGGGTATTCTCTAACGTTTTATTAAAATACACTTTCCTACCCCCTCTATATTTGCACTTTGCATACTAAATGTGTCTCCATCACTCTCCGTCTAATACGCCATACTGTTCATCGTAATAAGATTATAAATTTCACTGCACGATACAATAAAATTGTTCCTTATTCTCTTGTATCAGAATATAAACCATGCATATTTGGAGCAACTATAATTACGCTAAATTATGTGTAATGCGTGTTGCAATTATTATGTATATTCTCTACGTAATACTTGACATATTTACATCGCATCATATTTTAAATACAACTTATAAAAATTGTACCGTCAAAATTAATAATACACCTTAATAGAAAATACCATTTACAACGTAGATTGTAACTTTTAAATGCGTTTACGAACGTTACTAAAATGTTAAGCTAAAATCGCATGACTAAACTGTACTTTCAGAACTTACCACTAGAGGCACTATTTAAATAGTAGAATTCAAAATACGTGCATAAATCAACTCGATTTATTTCAATCTTCCAATAAATAACTTAATATTGCTTAATGTGACCTTACAAATGAACGTAAAGTGTTATAATACTTCGGTCTGTGGATGAAAATTGTCATGATAGAGGTAAATAAAATATTGAATTAAAATAATGTTTTTTATTCGACATAAGCATACCTGCAAAGTCTGGTATATCATTTGTTGAACTTAATTTTGAAGTTTTGAGTAATTTATTTGCATTAAATGGACATAACTATTACGTTTTCCTGAAATAAAAACGAAATTTATGGGATATCTTTGGGTACGTAGTAATTAAATAAGGTATGTAAAAAAATAAAAACATATACTTATATGTATACTATTTTATGACTATATGAATACTAAAGGGACCAATAAAAATGTTCGTACCTGAATGATATTAAATAATAAAGTAATACGAATAGTAAATAAAATTTTATTAAGAAAGTTATTTCTTTATTTTTTATATTCAATATATTTCTAAATGTACACCATCAAGGTAATTTAATTGAAACTTATTAGCAGATGAAAAAATTATCATGAAAAAATTAATTGTCATGAAACCTTTTGTGATAACCCACGTTAGTGGGTTGAAAAAAGGATATTGACCAGACACAATTTCATGATTCCAAATGAAATTAAAACTTTTCTTTATCAGTGAACATTTTTTTCAACAAAATGTCACTGTACTTTTATTAGCTTACATAAATATGTATACACATAATTGTTAACTATTAAACATATCATCAAAGAACTAACTGCTGCTATAATGATATGTCAATCATCATTGAATTTTATATTAAAATTCAAATCATTTCTAAAAAGCAATAACGTATTGTTCTTCTAAAATGTCTCTTAAAACACACATTTTAAAAACAAGTTAAAGTACATTTTTGTATTACTAACAATTAGGTACTTCTGTACTCTTTATTACTCGTATGCATTACAAACATTGCAACTGCTTCGTTCCTACATCTTATTAAATATAATACTAATACCTTATGGCATTTCACCCACAAATCTCTGTTACCAGTATATTAATTTCACTTAATACTGATAGTATTTTGTTCTACCTAAAACAATTTAAACAACTGATCCATGAAAGAAAAATTGCTTCATTTATTTTCACTGGAACTTAATTTTAATGTCAATTATAATAGGTCTTATAAAAGGCAGTGAATAAATTTTATAATACCAATAATTTGTAACAGTAAATCTTTTTACATTGTTGCATTAGGAACTAGTTTAACCCTCGGATGGCGATAACTGATTGTAAGTCCATTTGACCCAAGTTTTGAAGAACTTCATCCAACTCAAAAGCTTCTGATAACTAGTTTACGTGAGTAATTATTTATATTAGTCCGAGTAAAGGGCCACCAATTCATAGAGAAATTCGTATTAAAATATATTTATAAGGGACGTTTCACGATCTGAGAGTACAAGCGAGCCCACGTTCCACTGTTTGCGTTCACCATCAGAACCATCCGCCTTCCAAGGGTTAATGGATCGATTGCAAATGATGTTAAATTAATCATCCTTAAAATTTTAACTTTTTGAATAAAGATACATCTTAATCAGCTTCTGGCTGAACTCAGTCTCAAGTATCCTTTCGTTTCGTTCAGAGACTTATAAACCTCCAAACTAGGTACATCTACTTTAAAAAAATATTTGCCTATCTAGTTGCGAAGCACCACATATGTGATTGAAAGTGCACAGTCTCATTTAGGAAAGTCTTTAGAGTCGCTCATAGACTGGCCCTTTTTACGTGGTAACTGCAATGTGATCGGCTGAACATCCTGAACTTTTCTGGGCCCTTGATTTGAACTACGAAATGTGATTTTTAGATTGGGCACATGCTGCTCGGCTGTCCAGTCGAAGTTAAAAATCGGCGTTTCCGTGTGCAGCTCGGAATCCGGAGTATCTACTGGAGTCGTTGGTGTCGCGACATAAGGGCTAAGATCTTGATGCACAACATCCGGTACCCTTTGCAGAGTATCAGACCATACTGGACTGGAGTTCCAATGTTCCATGGGCAAATCAGGAGGATCACCTGTCGATCCAGCGATCGTTACCACTGGTAATGCCTTGGTTTGAAGTCTTTTATGAGGGGTGTTTCTCTCGTTACAACAATACTCCTTGTCTAAGTCTGTGATGTAATATTTCGACGACAGTGCGTCCATGTTATATTGACCGTGACATTGGATGAACTTTGCACGATAACCAGTCAAGTTTTTGTGGTGTGCTTTGTACCTGTCTGTGAATTGACCGAGCGCATAATGGCCATGTTGTACATTTACATGGACGTTTCTAGTTTCATGTTCGCCACTGCTTATCGACATGTCCACTGGTTCCGCGTCTTCTCGCGTATTTCTCGTATAATCTTTTAATTGAGTCTTCGACGAACCGTGTAGATCTTGATCCGAATTTCGAATAGTAGGAGAGTGCTGGGCATCGTTATTGTGGGTGTGGGATAACGACCGGGTATAATCTTGTTGTTGATTATTCTGGCCACCAGGAGCATATGGCACACTGCGATTCTGATTTCCCGAGCAGATCGTGTAGGTGAATTTCGTCTGTGAGGAATACTGATACAACCAGGAACTTGAGCGCATAACTTCTGCTTCTCTATCACTGCAATATCATTCTCTGTCAGTTACACTTTTTCCAAATGTTATAAAATTGTTTCGTACACGTCTTCTTTAATTTTTTTTTTTTTATAAGATGTGAATTAACAAACACAACGATAGTTTCTGTTTCGAAAGATTATTAATTTGTGATCATAATTGTAATATAGAAATGTACCTTAAAACTTGATTTGTACAAACGATAATAGGATGCTGACATTCTTCGGATGTGTCTTTCACTTGTAAAACACAATGCACCCAGAACCATCGGCCAGAACGACTTTGCAATCTTAATAGCGCGGTTGCAGACCGTTCTTGATCAGACTGAATAACTGTGACAAACATGGATGATTTTAAATCTCTTAATTAAATGTAAAGAAGTATCTTTAATTGGCAATCTAAGATAACATACCAGTTTGATGCTTACAATATGCTGTTCGTATAGAATCCCAGTGTAGCAAATTGTACCACGACACGTTCACTAATTCGTTACGACTATATTCTAAATGGCTTTCTGCACTGCAAGCGAAAAAGATTTTAAACAAGAAATTTTTTAATACGTTTCATTGATTTGGTTACGAAAAGAAATTACGTTTTATCAATGTGAAGATATTTCATGTCCATAGAATGGATTGTAGTAAAAATATTCGTAGCACCCTGTACAATACTCTCTCTAGTCTCTGGCAAAACAACAGGTGTACACGAAGCAAGGAAAACAAACTCATTTCGATTGCATACAGGAACGAAAGGTAAAAAATGACCTTCAACAAGAACTACCTATAAAAAATAACGATAAAACAACGCACGTAAAACTAAACACCGGTAAAATAATTTACACACATAAAAAAAACATTATGAAACAATCTAAAATAATTAGGTGATCACATTTTTAATCGTTCGATACGATCCAGTAGCATACTTCTCATAAATAAAAAGAAACTATTGAAAAAAATCGTATGAACAAGTGATTGTCTAATTATTTTTGGTGGTATGAAGCGCCATATTAAGATAATATGCAATAAAAGAATAAAAAAAAAGCAAATGTATTCAGGAACTACCTTTTGATCACCGAAACGAAGTTGTCTTCGAGAATTTCTGGAGACATTAATTCGACAAAGAAACAATCTTCTGTCGCTTGGGATTGGGCTATTTCTAGATAATTGATTTTGCACAACCATATGGTCTTGTTTGTCTATTACATCGTAAACACTGTCTCCGTGAATAAGCAAATCCTCCTAAAATACATTGTTTAATATAGTGTATCAAATTGAAGTAAGTTTATCAATTTCTATGAAGGAAATGGAATTCTATTAGGAACTTTCGAATGAAATTCTCGAATAATTTCGAAACTGTTCTGTCATTCTTTTTCGAACGAATTTCTATGACAAATTGATTACCAGATGCATTCGTTCTTTACAACTTGTACTTTACCATGGAATGTCCAAGATATTCCGCTGCATTTTCGGATATATACAATAGTTTTCCTTGCTGGGTCATCATCATTATAAATCCGGACATGGCCTGAAAAATTGCATGCATTGTATGGCCAACATTTGTACCGTAGTAATCGACGGTCAATAATACAATGCGATATGATGATAAGCAATATTACTTTTGAAAATCCTATGTTAGGAGTCGGGATATTCGAAGAGTCCGATGGACAGTTTTTCAAGGCTGAAACAGATAAAAAATATAATCTTTTTATTCCATCAAATGAATTTGATTTTCATAAAATTATAAATATTGATTTACATTAAAAATATTTTCATTCGTAACAAATATTATCGAGGACTTATGTAATAGGCTTCAAGCATTATACCACGAATGAAAATTAATTTAAAATAAAAAAATTTACATGTTGTATAACAGAAAATTGGTAGATTTTATATTGGATGATAAATTATTATTCTATGCATATAAAAATGTTGTATCAAATTCTGTTCTTAAATTAGGATTAAGATAATATGTGATTGGAAGTTGAAGATTGATAAGATTTCCCTTATATAATATATATAATCCAATTTAATATTTACCGAATATAAAAATGAAACAACATTTGAAAATAGTTATGAAAATAATATTGATAACATTATATGTATAGACGTATCATTATTACTACTTTTATTACTCATAAACATTCTCACTCGGAAGTTCCCCTGATAAGATCCTCTCTATCTATATAATAATAACAAACTTTTATGAACATTATCTCACATGTGCCCAATGAAATAAAAAGGATATTAAAATAAGTCACAAAAATATATCGTGAAATTCCAACAAAATTAAATTTAGTCCTAATTTCATCGAATAACATTCAGAAATTAGTATGCTACTTGAATATGAGCAATAACAGTAGCATTCAGTTTCGAATAGTTTCGAAAGCGAAAGCAACACAGAAAAATACTTAAAATTTAAATTTACTCCCAATTTAATCGAATAGCATCCAAAGATCACTATGCTACTTAAATATGAGCAATAACAGTATCACTCAATTTCGAATCATTTGAAAAAGGATAACAATACAGAAAAACATTTACAACCACATCAACGATTATTCTCTGTACCCCCTAAAACTTCCAAAATTTCCATTCAACTGTCCCATCGGTAGCTCCAGAACCACGCTCGAACATTCTACCATAACGTCGAGGCGTTTATGCCCTCGAATAAAATCGCTGCCGAGGAATTATAATCGGCCAGGGTCAGAGGACCGAAGGAGGACTTCGGTGAAAATTCGTTTCGGGTGTACATTTTCCTATCCTCTCTCCCATCCACCAAGGGGAAAGGCAAAAAGACAAGAAGAGCAAGAAACAGGGGGGAGGGGGAGAAGGGGAAAAGAAGCGTATGCTAATGCAGCATGGCAACGTTTACAAACGGCGCTACACGGGACTATAGTATCGAATACTGTGAAACAATGAGTATGTAGGAGAGAAAGAAAGAACGACCGAGAGCCGGGAGAGACGATACAGAGGGAGTATGGGTTACAGGAGCGTGAGAGTGTTGTTGCAAAGGCCGACAGGTCAGCGGATCACCCGGAACTCGCGCTTAGACTCCGCTGAGTTTGAATGTACGCCGATCTTACCTTCTTGCCTTACCTACCTCCCTACCTTTTACCTATATATTACTCTTACAGTCCAACAAAATTTGGAATTCCACAAGAAATAGCAAAGAATATAAAGAATTAAATATTCGGTTGTTCGGAAAATTCGTGAGCGTTTTTAAGGGCACAGTAACTTTCTTGAGAATTTCTTTCCATTTTTCAGGTAATTTCGTTGTACCACTTATGTACAATTTCGATTGTATTGGCTGAAAATACTCTTAAACCTGCTTCTAAATGGATATTGTTTTCGAAGTTTTTTCTTGGTGCGGAATATTCTAGCGATCTTAAAGGAATAATCGTCTGATGGGGCCAAGTCTAACTCAGTTGTGTAGAGGTTATAAAATTTTCCAGCCGAGGTTGTGTGATTCTTTCCTTCTTTTTTTTCTGCAAGTTTGATGGAACGTAATGAAAATGGACTTTGTTCTTGTTTGTACGTTTCGTTGGTATTTCTCACAGGTAACAACATCAAATGAGTAACTTGTACAGCAAATATTTAGATTCGATCTACACCTGGAAAATAGTATTTGTTCCCTAAATCAAACGATTTGTTTCTTCGTCCAGTCAAAAGGTATGGAATACACTGTGCTTGAAACGCTACGAACTTTTTGAACGACCCAATTACTTTCGAAGTAGCCCGTCTGGAATTCGTGTCGATATTGTACTTGTTCGATTCGGTCGATAACCCTGCTGGATTGACCATAAATTCTCAATGCTTTGTTCTTTATCATTTTTAACATTTTAATATTAAATAAGGATTCTGAATGTATAAAGTAATTAAAGTGCTTATGTTAGAGTTTAAAGCGCTGTAATTATAATTCATAAAGGTATTAATATATATGAAATGTAAAAAGTATTGTACAGCGAGTGTAATTTTGTGAGTTACAGAATGATTGTACGATTCGAATGAGGAAAGTAGAAGTACGAATACACAGTGAATTTCGTGAATATTCCGTGACATCCGAGTTTTTGTATCGTAAAATCACCGTTTCCTTGATCTTCGTACTCGTAAACAGATTTTTGCAAGGTACATTAACTAATGTAGAAACGATGAAAAAGTAATATATCTGCTAAATGACAAACATCTTTAAACGTATGGAGTTGAAAGGTATAATTTTGTGTTGAATGTCGTCCATTGATTTCCTAGGTTGTTTTATATTACATCAGTAACGAAGACTGTTGTCTCGATCGTAACAAAAACGAAGCATAAAATTTCATCGATATCTTTTTATTTTTACTGGAAGCATCGTTTAAACGTAAAAAAACAACTATTAAATATTCAAACGTAGGAAAGCAAGTAAATGTTTAAAATAATTTAATATATTTTCTTAATGAAATTTAAAATCAATAATTTCAATTTTCATACGACTTAACTAGTTCATAATTAAGGACCAAAGTAAACAAATTATAGTTTAGACACGATATAATTAATAATAAATCAATTTCAAACGTATCGAATGTATACATTAATTGTAGCATGTGAATAACCACTTGTATTAATATTTTGTAAATGACTATTTTATCTTTTGTTACTTTCGGAAATAATTATCAAAAGAATTGGTAATGAGAGTTTCCTCATTATTACTGTAAAAGTCAAGATCGCTGCCCACATTTTTAAGTCACTACCGTTACCGATATTTTGATATTGCCTTTGCGGTGACGTACAAGTCTACTGGTAGACGGTGAATGTAAAAATTAAAACAGCGAGCGTCTCGCCATGAAACAAAGGCGTAGCATTTACTGTGCACCGAGTGTACGCAGAAACATTTATATTTCTGCTTTTATTATAACTTTAGCATTTACAATATAATTATTTTCATACACAAAAATGGATAAACTACTATAAAACTAAACTCCAATTAATTGATAGTGTTTTCTATCATTTAAATTTACTTTTAATAGATCGTTGTTGCATTAATAATATTAAGACTATTCAGAAAGTGTTGGATTACTTGAAAAACCATAAAATTTATCATTCATTTACACATAATCACGATTAGTCATTACGATAAAATGTCACAAACTATCGTATTTATGTTAATAAATTCTTAAAATGAAAAATCAGTTTATATTATCACTTAAATAAAATAATTTACATTTAGACATATACTTTAATCTCTCTGTAATTGATTATAATCTATCAAAAAAGTATGAATAATACAAAACGTGTTTAATGTTAAAAACACATCAAAAACATACGCGAAAAATGTCTTTAATCTTAACTCAGTATCAGTTTGTTTATCTTTCCTCGAATGCTGGAAAAAAAACTAAATGATTCACGTGACCGTCATAAATGTCGTTATACGTTCCGTCTCTAGTCTGTGTCGCATTTACTCGACAACGTGTATTACACTGCACGAATTAATTATTTTAAATATTCTCAAATTGTCTACAATACCGTCAAAATTTACCAAAACAGTACAATATTTTCCTATCATAAATAATTCTACAGAATATTTATAAACAACGTATAAAAAGCAATTGTGTATTTGTATTTGAAATGTTCGCTTCCCTGAAACGAAGACCTAGCATAATAATGTCGTATACACTAACGAAACACAATTGTCACAGTAATCACAGCCAAGGAATGTTCAAAATTCAAATAAAACAATCTTCAGTTTCAGTTGAATTGGACGAAAAAAATCGCTCAAGAAATTACGCGTCGCGCCAACGTTGAAAGGGCCGACAAGATGGAAACGGGCTGGAAACGCGGGAAAGAAGGATTTCACTACAGAAACGGCGTCAACGTGATCCCCAAGCGGGTTCGAACAGCAGATGTACCCATTTCGTTTTTTTTTTCTCTTTCAATTTGATTTCATCGCATCGCGCTTACCTTGTTGAAAGTAATTGGCTTTTCGAAGAAATACGCAAACCAAGGCCATAAGCTGTAGCTGGGAAAGTCTCTGGCGGGTCGAGGGCGGTAATGGCAGTAAATCACGTAAGTTGGCGATTTCGGCATTTATCAGGTCCCTTCGGAGTTTGCTGGCACCTTTCGTTGACTTGCTCGCATCTATCCTTCAAGCATACACGGATGTTACCGATACGCCATACATATCGAAACGTCTGAATCTACTTGTCAAAAGGTAACGACCATTAGTGGGTCTTAAGTGCCCTCAAATGATACTTCACGAACGTTGAAAGACACCAAAAACAAATTCCTGACCCCAAAAAAATTTTTTTTTAATATCACTTGAAGAGGGATGAAATTTCACGATCAAACAGAAAGATACCCCCCACTTCTATATAAGACATCGACAACATTTAATTACAAACCACCAATAAAACTTCAATTAACATTTTCCCCACTTGAGTATATATATTTTTTTATCGCCATTACTACGAATGATTATAATTTAAATCCTGTTCTCGATAGAAATAATTATCGTATTACTTAAAAACCACGAAGCAAAGGGCAAAAAAGCACTGGTCACGCGAAACGATCGGTAACAATCTCTTTCGATCGTTAAATATTTTCCATAGATCCATCGAATCACCAACAGACGCCGATCCACACCGCAGCAGCCGCCAACGATACGGGGGTAGAAGCTATTGACAGCCGATCGTCCACAAAACACAAGGGTGTTCACCTACCCGCGCGCAAACTGTTTACCAATTCGTGCACAACGGACCCGATGATCGTGCATTACTTACCGATTGAACATATTTCGGTGGCCAGGAGGACATTAGTAGCGGATCACTTGTAGACGACGAGCGAGACATCCGGGTCGGCAGGTTCTCGCAAAACTGCAGCTACGATCTAACATCCGGGTCATAACGCGCTACTACACTGAACACGTGGATACTGGCGGAGGCTGGTTCTCCTACCTTCTCACCTCCGCAGCCCCCCTTTTTCTCCTGGGCCACCACCACCACCACCACCAGCATTGCCCTCGCCTCCCTATCCGTCCTCCTCCACAAATCGTCTTGTCCTCCTCCAGCGAACAACGATCGCGATCGCGTTTCCTCGTCGGTTACCTCGGCTCTGTTTGTATTCCCGTGGAGTCCTCTTTCGCCCCCTCGATTTATCTCACTCATTTATTTCCCTTTCTCCACTTTTTCGTCTCGCTCTCGCTCCTTCACCCCGTGCCGCTACCACGGTCACGATCGGAGTACAGTCGTGTCCCTCTACCACCGCCATCATCGCCATCCTCGGCCGCCGACGCCACCACCGCCGAGCTACCGGTTACGTTTCCTGTACATGCGGTTTTGCCCGAATCATTTGCGCGCAAAGTCACCCGCCTCGAGATGTTTTCGGCGGCACGCCAGAAACACGGGGGACCACCTCGAGGGTACCATCATCCGCTGCTGCTCAGATAGGTTCGGTTAGGACGAGGTTCTGTGGATTTTTCCAATATATTGTCTATGCAAAATATTATAAAAAAACATGAAGATATTATATAGTAGAATATCGACTGTATTTAAGTCAATATTCGTATTAACCCTTTTAGACCTGAATTTTCTTTTAAGAGTGAACAGAATATTTAACTACACATTTTAACTCGGTAGACTGTTTGGATAGTTTGTTTAGAAGAAATTTTTTGTAAGTTTCTTTTTAGAAAAAAGTTTGTTCAGAATTGTAATATGAGAAAATTCAAATTTATAAGAAAAATATGGATCTGCAAGACACAAAATTGTAAGACACTTAATGTACACAAATGTGACCGCCAGGTTTGAAAGGGTTAAAATAAAAGTATCTTTATCGATATATTTTTTAGCGCTCGCTAGGAACACGGGGTCCTCCTCGAGGGTACCATCTCCGCTGCTGATGGATAGTTTAGTTACAGCGGGGTTCTGTGGACTTTTCGGTGAATATCAAAGAAATGTGACCTAGTCGGAGAGGTGAAGATCGAACGGGGAACGAGATATCTGTTATATTTTGCCTAGGTTTCGAGGGAAATCGCGCTTTTTTTTCTTAAAATCTGGAACACTAGAGTCGATGGTATTAACGGTTGGAATGGCACCACGGACGATTTGAGGATGTATTTCGATCTGGAAAATCACTTCCAATGTGATTCTTTGGGAATGGGAATAGAAAAAGTATAAAACATGTAACACTTGGGTGTTGTGCAAATGTTTATTTATGTTTCAATTTGTTATAAAGGAGTTTGAAGTTATATAATTGTCATTGATGATTCTTGGAGTAGGAATTATCAATCGTATCGTGTTTTAAAGTATCTGCTAAATGGCGACGGTGATTGTACTTTTCGTAATTATTCTCTAGAAATGCGTTACACCTTCTTCGGTTTAATAAATAAAATGGTAAAATAATGTTCACCAAAATGGCGGTCTCTCAATTTCAAGTGTCCCTGTTGGTATTGCGACTTCTGGGAGTTTTAAACGAAAGTTCTCATTCCAAGTATCATAATACCAATGATCTATGAAGTCGGTTATTTTCACATGAAAATTAATCAATAAAAAAAAATATCACAGCGGTAAATTTTGTGGTTAATAAAATTTTTCATTTTTAGAAAAAAACAAGTATTAAATGGTTTAAAAACCGTATGGTTGTCACCAATACTTACGGTGAAATATTATACAAAATAAACTTTTTTAGGGTTTAAGAATTCTAGTAAAGTTAAATAAAAATATTACAATATGTCCAAATAATTTACTTTGAAATGTTTATTGATATAGACTTATCCTTCATGTTACTTTTGTACTAAGCAATTTTTGTAAGCAAATTTGCAGTGAATACATTATACTTACCAATAACATGCTAATGCAATGGAGATTTTTATTTTCTAGACACTTATGTACATAGGCATCATACCACCATTTGCTCCAACTATATAAAATCATTAAAACCAGATCATTAATTGATTATACTTTATTTATTTTTATCGTATTTTGTTCTAATTTGTGTAATTTAAAGTTACTTTCATTAAAATAATAATTTTTTACGATTGTACAGCTTTACTATTTTTATTAAATGTTCATCTTTTATTCCAATAATGTACTCTATGAAATACTGTACTTTATTTTTGTATAAAACTGTCTTTATATACTGCACTCACATTTATATAACAAAAATAATTCTGGAATAAATGCATTTAAAAAATAAAAAAATATATTTAAAAATATTTTTAGAAGAGTATCTCCATCACATTGCACTGTATTTTATGTATGCATTTTTATTAAACCAAATTCGCCTTTTTACTGATATTTCAAAGTTATAGCTAGAAACATAACTGACAATGAAAATTTATACCAAAACGCGGTTTCCAACTAATAAATTTTTGTTTCATAACTGTTGTAAGTAAACGTTGTGTGTCTAAAAAAAAATACTAAATCACTTCACAAGAAAAATCAATATAAAATAATCTATTTTACAAAAAATCTTATTACTGCTTATGCTTAATTACCTAGTTATGTTTGCACCTATAGTTCTGAAACATTCTGTATACTGTAATATTTAATAATGTTCAACATTTCAGTATAAAATGTATTATTCTTTATAATATTACAGAAGTTTCAAAATACTATTGTCTCAAAACAACCGTAATTATAATAGTATTATTATGAAATAAAAGATGATACGATATAAACATTTCAGATGCAATATAAGGTATAACAAAGCCATGTGTATTATAATGCAATAATTTCTTATAAACATAAAAAATAAAAAACATAATACGTGACTCTTGCTGTACACGTATATGATATTAAACACAACTTCATTATATTAAATATATTCTAATTTTGAATGTTGAGCATTAATAATTTCTTTATTTCAGACAAAACCGTTAAAAGACTATTTCATACTGTCGATTGGTATAAAATAAACGGCATAACTTTCCGTAATAATATACATTACTTCAGGAAAGTCTTGGATTACCAGTATCTTTTTGAAGCGACCATATATTGTCTATGCAAAATATTATAAAAAAATAAAGACATTATATAGTAGAATATCTACAGTATTAAAGCCAATATACGTATTAGGTCAAAAATGTCTTTAAATCAATATATTTTTGACGCTACAAATAATGAAATACATTGTAAAATAATCATTCAGCCACACTCACTTCCTCTTCGAATATTTCTTTGATTCGTTGATTTTCAAATAACTCATGAAACTATTAGAGAATATATTAATTATGAATTTTCCCAATTCAGTTCCATCCGAACTTGATTTTATATATTTAAATTATATGGAATACTCATGTACTCTATATTGAAGTATACAATTATAGTATTAGTTTTCTTTTATTCGCTTAAAAAATACCTAGTTCAAACTGTAACTGATTATCATAGATAATCTACGATTACAGTGTTTAAGAAAGAATTTTCGAAAAATGCGCATATTTATTAATCACTTTATTTTAAATATTTGCATTGAACATGTGCAATTACCAGATAATCATAAAATCAATGCTTCTATCATTACGTTCCTTGCATTTCACGTTTCTTCATTGCCAAATGTTTGTGAAAGTGTGAGTTTAATGAAACTGGAAGTTACAATTATGCAAAACGAAAGAAGTTCGTTGAACTCTCTAGAGGCGCCTGATTATATCAGGAATATAGAAATCTAATACACTATCGTATGTGCTTCCAAGCAACACAGATTGTCTCACAATAAGCGCCGGTTGAAACAGAGCTTAAACTGCAGACATTATAAAAAAAAAACGATTTACCATTTTTTTGTAATAATAATTTGAGCACAATTTTGACTAGTGCTTATTGTGGGATACCCTACATATATAAATAGTTGCAATTGAATAATAATTAATTTAACCTGAATTTACAGAGCCCATATTAATTCATGGAAGTTTTCTTGACAATCATTTTGTGACAAATAATTCATTTAGATAATTTACTTCCAATCTGTAATAAGTAATTTATCTTGTATCCATTATAAAGACACTGAAAAAGAAAAGAGAATGAAATGCAACTGGAACATATTGTTTTGTTAGTCATAGACATCGATGAAAAATATAAAGTGATAAAGCCAGTACAATAACCGATAATATCGCTATTTAGGATTCAACTAATTCTTCACTGTCCTCATCCCACTCGGTAAAGCTTCTGTCTTTGTTGTCTTTATCATCCTTCTGAGAATCTTGTTCTTCATCAAGATGTTCTTCATCAAGGTGTTCTTCTTCAATGATCATTACTGATTCTTGTGGCTCATCAACACTGTTACTTTGTTCGCTGCATTGCTCGTCATACTCCACGATTTCTGTTTGTTCTTCTACATACTGTATAACCTCTTCTACTTGATCAACGTTGCATTCCTCTAACACCTCCTCGGTCTGTTCAACTTGCATTTCTTCATCCGTTTCTTTTTCTTCGACTTCTTCAACCACTTCTTCCACTATCTCCTCCGTTTCTTCAGTAAGTTCTTCGGTTTGATAGTCCTCATATGTTTGTCGGTCCGTTTCCTCATTTCCATGAATGTAAACAATCATACCATCCTCTGTGCCTTGCATTACGATCTGTTCGTTGTCAGAAATGTTCAATTGTTGCGGCTGTTGTTGTTGCTCATTTTCCTGTTGTTGATAATTATCATCATTGTCAATAAGCATAATCATAGGTTGACCATCAAGTTCGTGTGTACTGTAAGTCATCTCGTGTGAAATATTATTTAATTGCATGTCCGACTCGACATATTCCGTCGCGTTTGAAGCTTCTTCTTGCGATTCGGGTGGAACGCCGTCTCCAACACCTAAGGAAGCTGCTATTCCACTCGCAACATGACTAAGTGCTTCGGCTTCCGATGAGGGTTCCAAAGAAATCGATGGCATGGATACATTGTCCAGCTCTCGTAAATCCTTGTGCACACAGTCCAGATGAACTTGTAAATTTGTAGCGCGTACGAAAACTTTGCCACAATGAGGACAACGATGACCTTTTTCTTTTCCTTCTGACGAACTACCGTGACCAGTATTAATTTCATGGGTGGTCAATTCTGTGACGTCTTTAAACGTCTGCGTACACTGCATGCATTGAATTTCTTCCGATGATGATGACTGTTGGCGTGATGTTGGACGATGGTTGTGATTTATCTGGTGTCTCACCAGAAGTGTTTCCGATAGCGCCACGTAAGAACATGCCTGACACTTTGGGAAACACATGCTTTTCGGCGGAGGCACATTATGCTTCGTGTAAAGATGATACATTAAGATATTTCGTTTGGTCGCTTTGTAACCACAATGCTCGCAAACTCTCGGATCGAATTTTTCTTCGTGCACATCCTGCATGTGCCTTCTATACATATAGTAATTTGTGTATTCTTCTTCTATATCGCATTTATTACACTTCCAAGGACCAGTCTCGCCGCCATCAACGTTTCCGTTACTTTTCGTTTCGTTGTCCTCGCCACTATTGCTTGACATCAAATGATCAGATTTTAGAACCACATAAGAAACTTTTGTTTTAGATGCTGAATTACTATCAGAGGATTTCGCCTCCTTTTGCATTATCTTCAATCGTATGTTCTTATTATTCTTTACTAAGTGAGGATATTTCTTCAATACCTCTCGAATGATTTTTGCATGATTAGTAATGGAATCTTCTGAGTTTGTTTTGTAGGACGATTTCCCTTTTTCCATATTCTCCTTTTCTTCAAGATCGAATCGTACTCTTTTTGATGGCGACGGTTGCGTCTCTTGGCCCCTTTGGAAACATCTAGTTACAGACCAATCGTCATCTGAATTCACTTCTTTCAAACTTTTCTCATTTGTATTGGCATCATCTTCTTCATCTTCCGTTGTATCATTTTTACTGTCTCTATCCGGTGAACATTTACCGCTAGGCGAATTGTCTCTCTTATACGTGTCTGGAGCTTGTACAATCGGTTTGGTACTATAAGTGATGTCATCGAATGACGAAAATACGCCGAGCGCAAACTCCTCGGCTTCGGGGAGATCAAACCGCGAAGGTCCTGGAGTCACTTCTGTAGGCCTGTTCGTTGAGGATATCCCATGGAATGTTCGCATTTCATAACTAAGTGACGGTGTGTTTTGCGGTGCATCTAATTTCCGTTTCCAAATAGGAAGTCTGAAATAATGGGTACTTACTTTGTATAGTGTAACACAAATAAATTATAGAAAAGACATTAACAAGACAACCATTTTTAGTAATTTAAGATAGTATAGAAGTGTCTACAGTTCGATACTTTTCTTAGTGTCACAACAATGAGAAAACATTTATTTAGAAAAATATTTTATAATGTATTGTTTAAAAGATTAAAAAACAAAAATGTACTTACTTTCTACCTGGTAATGGTTGAGTTGAAAGTCCTGGTGAGGGACTGGAAGTTGTTGTCGGCTTTGTGCTAGATGTTGAAGGCTTTGAAACTGCTACTGTTGATCGTGTATTGCACTTCGGTGATTGCTCATTTTGTAAAGAAGTAGTATTAAATTGTGCATCAAGCAACTTAGTTAGTACAGTCATATTCATTTTCTGTGCAGTACGATATAAAGCATGTTGTTCAGAAGTCCAATACTCCAACTGTCCAGTGTACATAAAACTACAAAAATATTACAACAAATTATACATTACAAACTCATAAATTTGTTTGAGAAATGTAAATATATTTTTAATAAAACAAAATTGTATAAATTATATTTAATTATACCTTATAATAGATTTAACACATTCATACGGCATATCTGGAGGCATAATAATTACTCCATCAAAGTTGTCATCCTTTTCTTTCTGTTCTCTCTCTAATTGTGAAAAATAATCTGTGCATGTTGTTATAACTAAACGATGAGCCTGAAATATTTATACATTTGGTTGGATTGTACAAAATACTTCACATACAAGTAAACTTGTAATAAACACAACATCATATTATTATAATGTCTCAAATAGATCCCTAAAATCAACACCTGAAAATTATTACCTGAACAGTGATGTCACTAGTGGGAAACTTAATAGTAAGGTCGAGCAATTCTTCCTCAAAGTAGAGTTGCTGAAGTCGTTGAAGGAAAAAAGTTCCCCAGTTATCCACCTTTACTTGCTTCAATCCCCGAGAAGGGAGGTTTTTTTCTTGATTTGTTGCTTCCATTGTTTACCTATGTATATTAAAATTACTTCCATATATTATCACAGGGGAAAACATTTCTATTCTACAATTTCAAATTAAAGTAGTTAATAAGATGTAAGAATTTATTTAAGCTTTTTGTAAGAACTTACTTTGTGGACATTTATTATTCTTGTATATACTACAATGAATAAAGTATTACAATGCTAGATACTAATGATATTAGGATTAAAAACCAAATAATTTCTTTTTCAAAAGCTTAATAATATACGTCAAGAATTGTCTAATATTTTCTATTAATTGTCCCCTTATTTGTAGTATAGAAAAATGTTGTAATAGTAAATTTGTAACTGTAGTTTTTTAAAAAATATTTCTTACAACCACTCAATATGAAAAAATAATATATTTTCTCTTGTGTTTAGAGAGAAGGAGAAATAAGTAATCGCAGAATCATATTGTAACATATCTGCTTACCAGACAGAAATACCTTTCATTACTTATTTCATTTAATTACACTGATAGTCCAACCGGACTGAATTCTGTAATAGAAGAATAAGAAATCTATAATGGTCTCGATCCTTGCGAGTATATAATACAATAATAGTTACAACTTCTTTATTCAAATAACAATATAAAACTAATTTGATAATTGTTAAATTAATTATAATAATTATAAAACAACTGAATGTTATACAAGAAAGATTATTTACACTAAACTTATAACTTCACAAATTGTAAAAATTACTTAGTATTCTTGTGATACAACTCTTCGTACTTGTGACTTGAGTGTCATAAAATCTATGTTACAAGGAAAATGATGCTTCAGTCTATTACTTAATAATGATTTGCAAATTGTCTGGTTTCTAAAAATGGAAAGTACATGGATTTACGTCTAAGAGTATAACAAAAATGTATTAACAGAATCTATTGAGATATGGAAATATGCTTCTGAAAGGTACATAGCCAGTGAATGAAGTATGACACAGTAAAAGCTGTTTGGCATATGGGTATTCCAAATGCATTGTTAGAATTACTCCAAATTTTGATTAAACCTAAGTATAACAACAAGAATACTACATGAAAGGAAGGATGTAAAAAGGCTTATACCAAAATATCAGGGCATACTTTGCAGAACGCTGAAAAGCGGAAGTTTAATAACGACGCATATCTTCCTTTAATAATTTAAATCGGGCATATTAATGGTATTTCGAATATATACAAATTCAAAATATCCTCTGGATGTATTGCACATACCTATTTAACAATATTTCAATATTCCACTCAGCTCCATCTCTTATAAATTTCCTTAGTACACTAGATATATTGAACATTCCATTGTATGTCACGACTCACAGATGGAGTTAAAAGCTTTTAAGATTCTTGTAGACATGCCTTAATATGCAGAACTGGTGCGTAAACGTGTATGGCTATTAGAACGTGCGTTTTCACAAATCAATCAAAGAATGTTAAAAAATGTTATTATTTCCTTTTCATCGAAAACGTTTAATTCTTTTGAATTCCATTTTTTTCAAAATGTTTCTAGCTTATTATTATATAAGACAATCAATTTCAAAGAAATATGTATCATATGTTACATGAATAATAAAGGACCAACTAATTGATCCTATTTTCTACAAGTTTCTCAATGCTAATATTATTTAAATAATATTCTACAGTATTTTACATGTTTTGTACATTGATTTTTGTTGCTTTAAATGAATTAGTTCGGTTTTGGAAAGACTCATATTTAAAATCCTTCCTGTTGATAAGAATTTATCTTAATAGAGTAAAATTACTTCATCTTTCAAAATAACTTCTATTTATATTAGTTATATTAACAAGCATTCTTATTTTTACAGCACGTTAGTTTACCTTCTTGTTTGAGCGATAGAGTGCGCAAGTTGTCCACCTGACTGGGACCACCTGAGTTTCCTAGTACTTAATTCGTTCCTTTGGCGCGCATTCATTTCATTCACTTATAACCTAAACGGTTTTTTACACTGAACGATATATTCACTCTTTTAAGGAAAATACACTTCGTGTATAATAATTAAATTGCAAATGTTTGGTGAAAAGCGTATTCTGCCTAATCTGTATTTCACATATACGAGAAGCAGAATGTTTTAAATTAGGTACTAAACTACTTAAATACTAAATATTAAATGTTATTTTCTCTTGTAATTCACTGCACAGTTTGTATTTTCACCACTTTTCACAATGACCGCACCTCGCATGTCAGTTTCTTATTAGCGCTGCGAACTGATCATAGAGTATCACTGCATAAGAGAGAGCTCTCATTCTAACTAATGCCTCCAAAATGTTCAGAGTGGGACAGGCAACTATTTTAACTGTCAGTTTATGTTATAAAAGTAAGAATGTGTGCGCTCTTTTTTATTAAAGCGGTAAACATTACAGACAACAAAAATAAATGTAACATTCCAACAACACCTGTTCAGAGTACATAACTGAAACGTACGAAACACTGTTTTAAGATTAGCAATCCCCGATGATCAAATACAAAATAACCCCTTCGGGGAACAGAATGTGTATTTTCATAAAAGGGGTAAATACATGTATGTATTTAATTTAAGAGCTGTCAACGTACGTAAACGTGTTTTTGTTGTCTCTTCATGATTGATTGCATCTTTTAAGCAACTTAGAGTTCTCAAGAATGGAAAAAACGATTTGATCTTAATCGAAATCATTGACAGAAAGTGTGGCAAAAATTTTCATAACACCCAAGTATGTATGAAAGCATATTTTATAAATTTAAATTTTAATTAATTTAAAATAATTATAAATTATAGTCATGCTTTTGCACTTATAAATGTTTTATTGAATCAACAGCATTCATAGGATGATGCGGTTGAACTTTAAGACAATATTACTTGTAATAATAGTTGCAGTGTTAAGTTCAATATTGACATCATGGAATAATTGTGGCCCCCCATTGTTTTTTAAAAATACTGACTGGAAAACAAAATTTCAACACAGAGTAAGTAAATATGCTAGTTTTAAAAAAATATTGATTTAGTATAGATTAATATTTTTGTAATGCAATTTCATCAAAGGGTTTTAAATGATAACATCCTACATCTAATTTCTGAAGATCTAATCTATTGTAAAATAATTTATTATAAAGCTAAGATATTGTTAAAACATTTGTTTCATTAATTTAATTTACTCAAGAATTAAATCCAAACTTAACTTAAACATAATTTATTTTTACAAAGGACCGACAAAATTCAGAAACTGGATATCAAGAAATAGATTGCCACATTAATGGTGATTATTCTATTGGGTGCCGTAAAGAAGGAGATGAAGTATACATACCATTTTCATTTATTCACAAGTATTTTGAGGTAAATATTATTATTGCAAATTAGTTATTCAATGAATGTTATTTACATATATTATTTAAAAAATTCAACAGATTTATGGCAAGTTAGCCACCTATGATGGTTTAGAAAGGTTCGAATGGCTGCACAGTTATTCAAAAATTGTTAATCCCAAAGGGAAATATGATCCACGAGGAGTGTTTATGACTTTCGAGAATTACAATGTTGAAGTTAGGGAACGTGTTAAGTGTATCAGTGGAAATGATGGTGTACCAATATCTACTCAGTGGGAAAGTCAGGGATATTATTATCCTACTCAAATTGCTCAATTTGGACTGTCTCATTATAGCAAAAACTTAACAGAACCAGAACCTCGTAGAAAAATTATCGAGGATTCTGACAAAACTAAACGAGAATGGACTGTACCACAGGGGTCATTTGTAACTAGAGTATTTGACAAGCATGCTAATAGTCATGTAATGAAATTTGCTACACCTGAAACTAGTACTTCTGGAATTACATTGAAGTTAGATCATGTGTTGGACTTTGTATTGAAGTGGGATTTTAATATTAAAGACAATGGTAGTATTATGGTTACTAGGGAAAGAAAAGAAATATATTATCTGCATTACATTACTAGTAATATAGTATTACATGCTTACAACAACCATGTCTACTATGGAATTGGTCAAATTAACCAACAATGGAGAAGATACACTAGGGACTTGGTTATTGACTTACAAAAAGGTTTATATTTAAGTGATAAAAGTAAAAAGAAGTTGTCTCGTTCTAAGTTAAAGGTAATATATAAACATGAGCAATTATTAAAAAGCTTAAGGTATAATTATGAAACTGTTATGCTTTGTATTAATAACCTTCTATTTATTATAGATGATAAAAATAACTTTGTATGGATCTGGAATGATTGATAATATAACATTATCTACAAGTGAACATATGGAACAATTCTATGATGCAGCTAGATGGTTTGTAATCAATCAGAATATTAGTTCGGGTGGATGGGCAAATCCTGTTAGAAGAAAAGTAGCACCTGGAATGGCTACTCTTGAACCAGGATGGTATATTTAATTTTATTTTACCAAATCATTAAGATTGTATGATACTAATTAAGGCAATTTTTAAAATGCTAAAACCTTTCACGATATCTACAGGTATTCTAGTATGGGTCAAGGGCATGCAATTTCTGTATTAGCGCGAGCATATTATCATTCCAATGAAGAGAAATATCTACAAGCTGCTGTGAGAGGTTTGCAGCCTTTTAGATTATCCTCTAATAAAGGAGGTGTAGCTGCAGTATTCCTAGGTAAATATGTATGGTACGAAGAATACCCTACAACACCTCCTTCTTTTATACTTAATGGTTTTATTTATTCATTAATTGGATTGTATGACTTGAAGAGTATAGCGGCAGGAAAGGATGCTGAAGAAGCATCTCGCCTCTTTAATCAGGGTATGACCTCACTGAAACACATGTTAACTTTGTACGATACAGGCTCTGGCACTACATATGATTTGCGTCATTTTACATTAAAAACAGCTCCAAATTTAGCTCGATGGGATTATCATTCTACTCATATCAATCAGCTTCTTCTCCTAAATTCAATCGATAATGATCCTATCTTTACTACTACAGCAGAACGGTGGATAGGTTACATGAATGGTAAGAAAGCTGCGCACAATTAATTTTTTATCTTCAGTATTTGACTGCCTTATGCATTTATTTTTAACTTATTGATATTGAAAATCTCATCCTTCCTTTTCCATTTTTGTATCGTATAACTCCACATAGACGAGGAATAAAGCGGACCAAAATATATTATTCTGTTTGTGTAATCATTGTTATATAAAAGCAGTAAAAATTTTTAATATTTGTCCTGAAATCTTCGTTCACATAGATTTTTAACATAGTTTGAAACAAGAGCAATTAGACAAAACATGATATACATGTTTTTTTTAAGGCATGCATTGCGTTCTTTTGCCATAGCAAAACTAAGAGTTTCAAATCCTGTTATTAAATTGTACTTACATATTCATATTAATGTATTGTTACTTATTGTTATGTTTAAAAATAGCTTATTTAATTCAAAGGACATACTATAGGTGAAGGTATTTACTTTATAGTAGTTTAATATTTCTTTTTAACAAAAATAATACCTAAATAGGCCTTAATTATGAGAATGTATAAAAAGTTAAAAATGTAAAACAAGAATTAATAACATTATTTATATATTACCTATAAATATAGTACTTAAGTAATTAAAATTTTAATGTTTAATATTTACTGTTAATAATACTATTAATTCGATTAAATCTTTCCACTTTTACATAACACAATTTACAGGTGATTAATTTTCTCCTTTATATAGAGATAAGATTTTGCTTTACAAAATCTAGCCTGCTTTATCATGACAATAACTAATATTATGTATCCTGCACTTGTATATTGTACATTTTATTATAATATACATATATATACTGTAAAAAATGTTATATTATTGGGAGTACAAATTAGTTCGGTCCGTTTTTTTGTGGTGAAAAATGCATTTATTTCGAGAACAAAATGAATTAACAGATTAATCAAAGTATTGTCCATCGCTGTTTACTATTTTTTCCCACCTCTCAGGCAATTTTCGAATTCCATCTCGAAAAAATATCTCGTCTTTTGAAGCGATCCAAGTTACAAGCCAATTTTCGATTTCTGCGAAAGAAGTGAATCTGTGACCTGCCAAATCGTGCTGCATCCGTCGGAACAACCCGAACAACCAGTAATCAGAAGGAGCAATGTCCGGCGAGTACGGCGGGTGCGGTAAAATATCCCACTTGAGCGTTTCCAAATAATTTTTCACAACTGTTGCGACATGAGGCCGAGCGTTATCATGCAGAAGAATGACTTTGTCATATCTCTGATCGTATTCCGGTTGTTTTTGTCGTAATGCACGGCTCAAACGAATCAATTGCAGCCTATACCGATAGCCCGTAATGGAATCGCCAGGTTGTAGCAGCTCATAGTATACAACACCCTTTTGATCCCACCAGATACACAGCAGGACCTTCGAACCATGAATATTCGGTTTTGGTGTTGATGTTGAGGTCGATGGCAATGATTGACCTGGCATAGCGTAGTATTTTTTCTTCTTGGGGTTATCGTAGAATATCCATTTCTCATCCCCAGTCACAATCCGATGTAAAAAACCCTTTCTTTGTTGCCTTTGAATCAGCTGCTCGCAAGTGAAAAATCGCCTTTCAATGTCTCTCTGTTTCAGTTCATACGGCACCCAATTGCCTTGCTTGTGAATCATTCCCATGGATTTCAATCGTACGGAAACTGCTTGTTGGGTAACTCCCAATGATTCTGCAAGCTCCTCTTGAGTTTGACTCGGATCTTCATCGAGTAATGCCTCCAATTGTTTGTCTTCGAATTTTTTTGGCTGTCCAGAGCGAGGCTTGTCTTCAACGCTAAAATCACCATTCTTAAAGCGTCGAAACCATTCCCTACATGATTTATCAGTTGGAGCATTGTCACCAATTGTCACCATAGACTTCAACAAGCATTCGATGTGCTTCAGCTGCACTTTTCTTCCAATTAAAGCAGAAAACTAAAACCTCCCGGAAATGCTGCTTAGTTAACACAAAATTTGACATATTCAACAAAGTAAAAAACAGTGTTATTAAATGAAACTCAAAGCAATATAAACTGAATGTTATTGGCAGATATCTAACCTCTCAGAAACAATTGAAATCAGTTGTCACAATGAAACAGTCATAACAGCCACAGCTATCTTTTGAAAACGGACCGAACTAATTTGTGCTCCCAATACATTGTATTTATCCATCGTCCTTAAACCAGAAGCCAATATCCAATTGATAACAGTGAATAATTATGAAGCTTTAAAGACTGAGTTTTATATGTTCCATTCCGTAAGGTAAAAGCTCGTAAGAGAACACTCGAATCAGTTTGTTGCGACACAGTCATCGGAATCTGGGATGTTATCTATTCCGCTGTAATGATTTTATTTTTAATTTATAATTATTGAAGCTTAACGTACGTTCGTTGAGTCTTAAATTTAACGATTGTAAGAAGAAAAAACTCCCTGAATAATCCTTAAAAAATTGAATCGTTTACAAGTTGTTAATAAAAGCCCGCCGATTCTACTGAGGCTAAAATTATGTTCTATTAACGTAATGTGACAAAGTTTAATGTAGAAATTATATAAAGCAAGAGATGAAAAGGATATGAAAAAGAAAGAGGCACAGTAGTTGACCAAATAACTGTGATAAGTGTAGTCCAACATAAGAACTGATTTTACGAATGATTATATAATGTTACGGTATAAGAGAAAGAGTTCTCATTTCACTTAATTGTATTTTGTGAATATTGATAAAACATTTAATAACAGATTTTAAACGAAAAAGTTAATAGTGGCGCCATCTGTGAGGAAGCCGCCCAGCTATTAATCAATTGGTCCACCTTTTCGTGACTTACGCTGCCACTATGCACCGTAAGCGCGGATTCATCAAAAAGTAATTTCTAATTAACAATAACCTGTAGGGAACTTCAGTCAATAAATTAACATTATCAGAATATATATTTAATCACAATTCAGAGGTTATATTTGATTCAACTCGACTTTAGCTAACCAAACCTCTACAGTATTATCGAGTTTGATAATTTATAAACTTTGGCGCCATTTTCGAATTGGCGGGAACTATTTTCCATAGATGGCGCTTAGGAAAGCACAACAAGTTTCAAAACTTCGAGAAGAGTGCAGCAAAAAGTACCACAAAGCATCGTACGTTAATGTTTTCCATCTGAAACGAATCTGAATAATAAATTTTCGGTGATAGACTGGGATATGTACGCAGCTCAAATCCTTTCTTCCTCGTAGAATAAGTTCGAACGCCAGTTTTCGAAAATTGGTCACCCAGATGAACAAAACATACGTGCCGAACATTGTTTACAACCAAAGGACTGCTGTGAAATCAAATTTCTGGGAAATCGTTCTTGTGCGTCTGTTTTTCTGTTTTATGAGGGTCACTACCCGTCGAGTTAATCTCAGGTATACATAAGAAAAAGATTACGCGGAATTGTAATATGGTACTGAATATTCTATTCTATTAAAATAGAAATTAGCGTGGGCCAGGGAGGGGGGCTACCCTCACGAATCGATCCTCCAATCACGATCCCCCTAAGATAGCGTAATCAACCGTTCGTGACCAGTCAAAGACGGCCTAAGGGTCATTCGTTTCGGGGAAGCTGGACTGATAATACGTGAAGTGAGCTCGCTCGTGGCGAAGTACGTATTATTACTTTTCACTTCAAATTATTTATACTATTAGTACCTTCGTTTGCTTTCTATCGTTACTTTTGTTAGATATTTATTCAATTCAATGTGAATAGTCGTAAATTAATTCGGTATTGTGGGAGAAAGTGAACCGGTCTTCGCGAATTCTGTTGTACTCTGTACCTATTAGTATTTACGCAGTTTTTGTACAATGTGCAACCTTTGGCGACACTCCTCGAATCAACAATTATTTCGTTGTAACTCAGTCATTGTTAATTTAGTATAATTACTTAGGATTAATGTTTATTTTCTGTTTCAGAATTCCGACTGGAGAGAACGCGCCATTGACGCTATGATCGTTGACTCTCCCTCTGGATGCAAATCGGCGGAAAATTCGTCAACATTGGTAAGTTATTACAACAAATAGTGACATTTCACTACAGCTTATTATTTTACGATGTTTTCATTGTTTGTGGCCGTGAGCATGATCGCGATTTCGTGATTTGTTGTATAAAGACTGAATGAGAATTTTGTCGTGAAATATTTCAAATTCAAATGCGCAGTTGGAGGCTCCAATATGGCTGCCTTGACCGTTAGAAAATTTAAATTATACTTCGAGGCATTCAAATTGGAAATACTCGCAATTTACTGTATCCCGGTCGCGAAATTGTTTGAATATTAATTATTTGACATCTCTATCTTTATGGAATCATTGTATTTGCATATACATACGGTTTTGGTTGTAAGTTTAATTATATAGAAACTGCGTAATTCAGCATGCTCAACGAAGCATGGATAAATAACGAAACTTTGGAACTTGTAATTGATTTTCTGAATATTTACAAAAATCGGGACGTGGCTTAGACCGAGAAAACGAACATGCTCAGAGCTCTAATAACAAATGTCTCTAATAGAATACATAAATATTAAATATATACGTATAACGAATTTAATATATTCCCACATTCAACAATTATTCTGCACTTAATAATATTTGAGTTTAGATTAATTATTGAAAAGTAGTATTTTTTCGACGAGCACTTGATAGGATACAGAAACGAAAACAGTAGAGAGGCACAAGTGTGCTGTATTGTATTTCTTCCCATGTACTTTTCTTTCAGAGAATTTGGTGGCCGCGCGCAATGCGGTCGAGTAGAGTCAGTGTTTACATCGTAGAAAATTTTTTGTTTCGGAGCGAACTTGTTCCGATTAGAATCTTATTGGAGATGCTAGGTTTACGCGAAGGTAGAGTCAGTGTTTACTTCTTACGTGTTATGAATTACATTCAAAGTGTCGGGACACTTTTTACTTTTTGAGTTGCGAAAGTAGAGTCAGTGCATCACTGAAGAGGATATTTTTGAACGAAGCTCTACCAACAGAGATTGTAAGTATCTTTGAATTTTATTACTTACAATATTCAATTGAAACAACTAGAATTTTGAGATGAGATTGTAACGATTTTTGTTTCTTTTTTCCAGATTCATTAGGCGCTGTATCAACGACCATTGCAGAGGATGTCCTCGGGCGAAGTTCCACCAGCCAAGACTGTAAGTATCTTTATATTTCATTGCTTAAATTATTTAATGGAAATAGCTAAAGTTTTGAGAAAAGATTATAACGCATTTTGTTCGTATTTTTTCCAGATACCTAGAAACTTAGACGGAGCCCTTCTGTCATCGGGTGAGTGCATGTTTTTATTCCTCCGGTCCCCAATCATGCCGTAGGACGATTGGTCCGAAGCGGTACGGGCGACTGGTTGTATACGTGCTAAATTTTGCGCGTACAGTGAACGTGGATATGCAAATCATATCCGTGAGTAGTAACATCGATTATCTGTTGTGTTTCTTAGTTAGGCTAGGGTCTTCTTATACGCCGCGTTTATTAATTATTAGTAATACACTTCATAAATATTTTGCATTAAAAATATATTAGTGAATGTATATTAATTTAACGTTAAATACTGATCTTTGATATTTTGGGACCAGAAGTCCTCTTGTTTAAACTATTTTTTTGTATTACTCGAGAACGTGCTTTTATTATTCATTTGACAAAAATAATGCAGTAACTTGATGGTAATTAGTAGAATAATTTCAACGTTATTCGTTCGATATTGTCATTTTGATACAGTCGTCTGGTATCGTTTATGAAAATTAACATAGTAAGATTTTCATAAATAATATCAGACAACTGCATCAGAATGGCAATATCAAAACGATCAAATTGAATCGATTATATATATAATGTGCTATCTGGGTCTTATCAGATTTTTAACTGACAGACCTCCTTATTGTTACATTCCAATTTTTATAATAATTTTGAAATGTCTCTCTAAGCAGTATTCCGCACGCAAACTATGAAACTTTCATATAGTTTGCATTAGGATTTAACACTTTGTTGTTACGAGTTATTGGATAAAATTGACACAGAGAATAGGGGAATTCATGTCTTCATATTATGAGAGGGGGATAGGGGTAAGCAAAAGAGATAAAATAAAACTTGAGCTCCAAAATATGTGACATCCCGTTCAAATAGTGAAAATAGCAAACATTTATTCGAACTCACAGTAAGAAAATAGTTATATGAATTGTAAGTAGATTTAACGAGAAAATTGTTGAGACATGTTTTACTTTATATAATATAAAGACACTATTAAAAAAATTCATACTTTGGATATTTTATTAAAATATACATTTCATCCAAAATACAAAAGGAAAAGATGTATATACAATTGTGTTTTGAAGGTTCTGCGCAATAATTATAATAACAACGATTATAATGGCGATATAATAAAGTAATTGCAGTGTAGTAACATATTTTTAATTTTTTATAATTTTCACGTATACTTTGGATAAATATGACATAAAAATCCACGTTGCAAGTTATTGAATAAACGATTCCTCATTTCTATTAACATGTTTTTGATGAAATGAAAATTTCCAATTTTCAAAATCGAAAGGAAACAAGCAATTTCAAAATATTCTGTTGGTAGAATTCAATTTTACTAGTATCAAGCACAGTATATAATCCACTCACATAGAATTTGAAATCTGGCCACCACATATTTTCAATAAAAACACTGATCATGTAAATCACTGAATATTCAAGTAATTTAAGAGAGCATTGATACCCGTAATTTATTAAAAATTATTCTATTACATTCACATTTGAAACTTCAAGTTGTAATGAAAGTTTCCTTACATGATATGTTTTAAACCATTTTCTAATTTTGTACCTCTTTGTCTTAATTCATTGTTCAATATTGTCTCCTGCTGGATTTGCATGATTAGGCAGTTAGTCACTCTTCGAAGTAATTTATGTCATGCTTTAATGCACTTTATGCAGAAGCAATCAAATTCGATTGCACATAATACATGGTATTGAAAGTAATGTTTCCATTTTTATTAATTTCGTAATTAATGAACACTATTGCATGTAATACATTTAAGAGTGTTGAAACTTCTTTTCAAAGTATTTATTATTAGCTTTATCATTAAAGGTCGATCAATTTACCCATAAAATATGTATGTGTAGTATGTTTTTCAACACATAGATTTTGCTTTCAATCTAACACCAAGAGATAATGAATTAGAAAATGTGTCTACTGTTTTGTAAATATTTAGATTTCAATCAATTATAATTTCTTTAGCGATGTTCACTCAAATTGCGATATTATTATTTTCTACTTGTCATCCAACCATGGAGTTTTTTTTTCTTTAAAAATCTATATATACATTTGTGTAATTTACATTGTGACAATTTTTTGATGTTTTTAGATTTAATGAGATGTTCCTTAAAATGGCATGCAGCATTATTATTTTTATTCCAAAATATAATAGACATAAAACTTTTGTCTTTTCCTTATTGACATCATCTCCAAGGCACTAATAAGGCCTTTATTCCCCTCAGATGCAATAGAAAGAGTAAAAAGTTTGTAATATAATAAACTTGTGGGAGACCCTCGTTGTGGTTGTCAGTATCTTAATTTCAAAAATACTAGAGTATGTACTAAAAGTAAATGTAAGTTTCATTTCAGTGAAGAAATTTGAATAGTGTTGTATAAAAATTAGTATTATAAACATAAAAAAAGAAATATTGAGACATGTGTTTGTATATCTTTAAATCAGCAATATCATTCGATAAATTTCATTTAATACTGTTCTGTGAAACTTTTCAAATGCATAAGACATGAACATTCCCATAATCACCACTATCAACTATTGCAATTCCCTTTGAATGAAAATCGAACGATTGCTTCGTTAACACATTCGCAGCCGGCGATTTTAAGACGAGACACTTAGCTGGATACCGCAGGGTTCCGCTATTTAAAAGTATAACGAACTACAATTCACGTTTTTAAAACGTTGAACAGCTTTATATAGCTAGTTATTATATCTATAAATGAATATCTAACTTAACAAAAATTTAAAATCAAGATAATGCTTATCTTGCTAACGAGAAACTAGTGATGAATGGTACTCGGTTAATGATTTTAAAATGACATAGAACTCCGTTGCCGGTTACGAATGTGTTAATATAACATGGGAAACAAGATAGATGATAATACATTCGTAATAAAAATATGAGAGCAAAGTAATCAGACCATATTTCATAACCGAATACGGGTGATACTTTTGTAAGTTAAGTATAAAACATAACAAGGTGTTCGTTAATGAAAACATTAATTAAAGTAAGTATTCACATAAAGGTTTGTTGTTATACAACACACACAAATACATGTGTAAAATATTAGAACAAACCATTAAAAAGTGTCTCCCACTGTTTCATCTCTTTTCACGATATGTTTGATCACAGTTATGTGCAGAATAAAATACAGTAATGCAATAATAATACGATATGATGATTCGTGCTATTAGCCACTAGATTTTTACAATAAAAGTAAATACTAGAGACTGAATGAAGGTTTCGTGCGATAAATAAGTTCCTCTATAGCTTTACTAAAAAACCTAGTAAAGCATAGATTATTTTGTGAATTCCTAAAATAAAAAGAGTCGATTCGATCGAGATTTGTTAACTTTACATAAACATGACGAATAAACTCTTTCCTTAAATATGTACTCCATTTTAAATTAAAGCTAATGTACATGATTCACGATTTAGCCTACGCTAGAACCGATGCGTTTTAACCGCGAGGAGCCAAGTATCTGGCGCAGACGTGTTATACTTGCTCCTGTTATTCAATTTATATTAAACTTTATTATTTATATTTTATTAACGCATTCCGTGCTGTTGGCTCTTAAACAAGCAACAATAATCTTCCTTTGATGCGAGCTACGCAGCAATAACAAAATTTTCCGATTGCATTATTAAGTTCCTCGACGCAAGTGTTATATGTATTAGAATAAGAATAAGTTTAATACTGAAACGTTTTTCGTATCTTGCCGCAATTAAAAACGATATTTTTTAACCAATATCAGATGTTACAGTTGTTAATGCGAAATCAGCACGTTCCTAAATATAGTTAAAAACGTTTCTAAAATACATTCATGAAATAAGAAACATAACACTTGCGTCTAAGACCATGACGTATATACAAATTTTGTATTTTCCCCTTAGCCACCATGAGCCATTATGTAGTAATACATTTATAAAATACTAGATTCCCAACATTGTTTTCAATATCTGATTATAGCTGCCTGAATTTGAGTATACATTATTAATCTGATACTAAATTCTATTCCTTTAAAGGTATTTGATGCAGAATTATTAATTGACTGTGCATACTGTCACTACATTTGAGTCAAGAGAAACTGAAGTCTTTCGAGAGTGAAATAACATTGCACAACAAGAAATTGATTGCAAAGAGAGTATATTGAGAATTTTTAGTGCTTTGAGATTCTTCAGTTATGAATGTATTTTTCTCTATATTTTAGTTTAGTATGAAGTAACTAACACAGACGTATTTATAACTGAACAATGTTTTTCATTTTATGAAAGAGTCCATTTTCAATACATATTTGTGCATGCATGATTTTTCTATCATACCTTGAATAATGAAGTTAATTCTTTGACGGTGATCTTACAAGTAAATTATTGAACCTATAGTTACGACAGAAAACTTGATTAGTATAAATGAAATCGAGGTTTAGGCCAATCAAAATAATTACCTCAATGAAGCTAATTTTTTCGCGTCTGTATCAGTCGTTTGATAATAATTAGTTGCAGACCAATATAATCAGAATTTCTGAGGAACCATTCATTTTAAATGTTCATGGACGAAGTGAGAAAATCACAAGAGTGCTTACATACATGATATGACCAAACGACGACAATCACATGTCGGTCATTAGAACCACCAAGGCCATTTTGAATATTTGTACAAAAACATTGTCAGAAATATTACTGACATTCTGTGTATTAACATTTTCATTCAATAATACTAACTCTTTTTCTTTCTTAATTTTGCCCAGATAACACTTCTCGGTACACCAAACATTAATTTTTAATTTAACGACAGTAAAATCTGTCGACGAATATTCCCTGCTATAAAAATGTATAGTCTTAGTGATCCTATAAAACAGAATATATATTACACGTAAATTAAGGTTACGTATTTTACCTATTATTCAACAGCAAAACCACAAGTCTCTTCAACTGCCTGTGTAAGCTTATCAAGCATTTTTTGATAACTTGGATAACTTTCTGGTATATCTATTCTATTGAAACAAGTATGCGCTTTTGGCAAATTTTCACTAGGCGCATCAACGGCATGAATTGTGAACAGACGCGGACCCGCAGCTCCTGTCGATCCTGCAAAAAATAGTCAAATAGCGTCAAACAAATTTAATAAGAAAAAAGCTAGTTCTGTTTATTTTGAATAGACATTATTACCTTGTAAAGCCTTGAAACCTTGCAAAGGAACTCTGGAACTTCCAGTAACAAACTGAAGCAACCGAGCTCTCATTTCTTCTCCATAAGACTCCACTATCTGCCAAAACCATTTTACCACGGGTGTGTCGGGCGTACAATGTTTCAATCGTGTGTGCAATTTCCAGTCATTAATATCAATAGTCCCTAAACCGCCAATAACCAGTTCTAATTCTCTTTCATCGAATGGTCTCAACAATTGCGGTGAAATTAGCTCGTGGAATCCCTTTTGTAATGCCAGAAACTGTTGCTCGATTCCTCGCATGAAGCGATAGTTTACGTATAAACGGACATATTCCCTTTTATTTTCTTCAGTTACAGGAATGTCTTTACCACCTGGTTTTAATTCGTGATTTTTCAATACACCGAAACTACTATGTTCCACCGAAAATGTAGCATCCAACACTCCATCGATACTATTTTCTCTGTTAAGGAAATAAGAGTATTTTTTTTTAAAACGATGTTTGATTACAACAATGTATATTTTTTCAATTGCGTTTGTTTACTTACAACATCCATGTAAGACTTCTATGTAATTCTGGATCGACTCCTTCTATGTCAGTCAGACTGATAACTTTATTAAGCAACATTTTATAAAATGGAGTTGTAAATCCACCATCGATATGATGACCATGAAAAACAGCAATTCCTATTATCCTGCCAGCAAAATGGAAGTACGATAAATGTTCCGGATTTATTCCTGAATCGGGATTGATTTGAAGCGTATAATTGTCATCTCTTGAGTATTGAAATAGTCCGTATTGTGGATTTAACATTTCATGGGATAATAAATATAACCACTCTCGTGCTACCCCACCATAATCGAGACCTTCCTCACCGCGGAATTTTACCATAAGTCTTTTTCGCATATCTTTCGGTCGCATTTTCATTATTAATCTGTATGACTCCTAAATAAACAATTACATTGTTTTATTATAAATTCAATGTATCGCAAGTTACATATTATAAATTGCACAATTTCAGGTATATCTTTTCACTTGTTATTTAATGTTGTGTATTCTTGTATTATCAAGGCATTTAAACGCTCACCTCAAATATTTCATTTCTTGACACTTCGAGCCTACAATGGCCACTCTGAGGCTGAACGGCATTTAATTCTGCTCTCAAACATTTCAATTTTGCCACGAGATCTCGTTTATATTTTGGCAAAAGTTCATTATCCATTAGTTCCTTTGGCAATTCCGATACAGTCTGCGCATTTTGACTTGATGTATTCTCCACTAAAATCAAAATTATAAATGTACGGAACACAGAAATGAACATCAGACATCTATCAAGAAACGTTAATTAATTCGCAAATATTACAACACAGGGCCCTGATAAACAAAACTTGTTCAAAATGAAAAGACATGTTGCTGCAGTCTGACTAATAAATAGGAACTAACCATTGATCACATACTTGCATAGAGATAAGATAAAATTGTGTAATGCAAAAATATGTTTCTGTTTTGCTTCAGTACAACATTGAACAGATTAACTTGCCTACGATTTAATCAACATTGATAATATTGATAAGTTGCATATATTTTACTTTTCAAATACAAACACTTTGAAATTATAATACTGAATAAGTGAAAAACCATTATTTTTAAACTTACATGTTGGTGAATTATTGTTACTTCCATTTTCTGTTCTTGGCCTTTGTTGAACTATATTGCATTGAATACTTGGCGATGCTGGTGTGTCTGCTTCTGCAGTTTCATTTGCAGTTGTAGTTGAATTATTTGCGCTACTTGTTTGATTAGGTGTACTATTATTTTGTCGTCTGCTGTTGTGAAAGTAAAATTTCATAATTTAGAAGCAGCGTATAGTAATTTGTACTTACACCATTTAATTATATTCATTACTAACTTACTTTAATAGATTACTTATAATTTGACTGGATAGTCTAGGATCAGTAAATTGAGTGGTTCTGTTATTATGATCCACAAAGTAAACACGACCACTCTGCGTTTGTCGCATTTCCCACCCACTAGGCAATGGTCCGAGTTCACTTGCCAATTCATTTGCTGGTAAATCTCGAGGTATTCTAGGATCATGCCATGTAGATGAACCAGTTGGTACATGATAAAAATACACTTGACCTTGCTGAGTTTTCCTCATTTCTGTGGAATATTAATTTGCTTATTCTTTTCATTTAATCTTACATCTACAAAATCCCTCGATAATTTGAATACTCACCGTAACCTCTAGGTAAATCTGGTGGTTGCGGAGGATCATACCTCCTCTCATTGTTAGGTGTCATACTGTTTCTATTTCTATTACTTCGATTAGGTCTTCGCGGTTGATTGTTATTGGTACCACGATCTGGTCTAACATTTCCGCTTTGATTGCCATTTTGTTCATCAGTTGCTCTTACTGGTCGTCGTTCCCTCGACGATGCCGGTGTCGCATTTCTTGTATTATGTTGATTTTGTTGATTTCTATTTTGCTGTTGAGTTGGTGTAGTCCTTGGTGTATTTGAAGCAGAACTGTCTCTGCTAGGTGTCCTACTAGGTGTTCCTTCTCCGTTCCATTCGGGTGTACATCTTGTAGGACTTTCGGTTGCTAAATTAGGAGGACTCCCGCTACCGCTGGGGGATGTAGATTCAGAGAAAGGAAGTGGTGGTGGCTCTGGTGTAGTTGGTATAATTCCATTGTTAGGCCTGACATGAAAATATAACTACATGAATAAATTACTTATTTATTAGTTTCTAATGAGTTCGCGACAATATATACCGAGTATTTGGGCGAATCCACTGCGTGGTTCTAGTATAATGATTAACATAATACAGACGTCCACTCTGAGTTCTTCTTTCTTCCCATCCATCTGGCAAATCAGTTGGACAACTGAGATCTCCGAGAACATCCACTACAGCATTATGACCCACTGTATTGCTCACAGCACCATTGTGACCATCCCGTGATAACAGAGATACAACAATTTGTCCTTTAACAGCGTCAGTGTCATCCGAGTGTGCTTTGCAAAGGTCTAATCGTTGATCTATAAAATATAAAAGGCTCTTAATTAATCATTATCAAATTAATTTTCATTGTAATATATTATTACATAAAAGAGAAATTACATCCTGTATCCTTAAGTCTTTGAATTGTATTGGACAATATCCGTACACATCCTAAAAATCCCCCACCTTTCTTTTTATGAATTTTTTTATGGTTCCAAACTGATATGGTAATGCCATCACTTTTTCCAATATATCTGGAAGAAAGCAAAAGCTGAATAATTTTTCTGAACAGAATCACATTTATATTGCAATGAAAAATAATTACAGGTCATAGTGCTGGTTCCACTTTGGGTCCAGTGTTGCCTTGCATGTGTCTGTGCTATGACACTGGCCAGAACCATCTACTGTGATTTTTGCAAACGGATCTGGTAGGCCTAAAACAAATCTTTTGCATGTTACTATCTTCTTGGAAATTTCATCGCTTTCTCGCGCAAAGGATACTCACGGAACAAATCTTTCCTGGCAAGATTACGGGCACATAAAACTGTAAAATTGACATGATTAGATTACAAATTATATTTTATCAATGGATTTATGCTATGTATATACAACTTAAGAATGACATAATTTCATTAATATATTTCTTCAACATTACAGAAATATAATATTATCATTGTATATGAGTCAATTGTTTATTATTTTCAACTTGTTCTCTTTAGTAATCGTTTTCGAAGGAACACATTAACAATTATATTACAAATAATTTAAAAAAACAAACAAACAAAATATACAGAACTTCCCTTGTATAGCAGCTCATACAATTATATGTATTGACAATGTATACAATTTTAACTTTATATAAGCAACGAAACATTAAACATGTTCGTTTTAAATGAATTCTATGTTCAACCATCAGTGGCTAGGCGTCTGACGTTTGTTAATTAGACCCATTCATATTCGATTTGATCTCGGCAATATTCCTCATTGAATCAATCAACATCCAGTGATTTTAATCTGGAAAACGCTCGCGACGTTCGCGGATCTGCTAGAAGCTTTATAAATTAAGGGAGAGCGAATGCGGGTGTGACAAGTTCACCAAAATTAACGTCTTCGGTCTACGGTCTCCCGGAGTGCTCGCGGTGGGGTCTTGACCTCCGATAGGGAGTTGCCATAACCAAAGGACGAAAACCCTAGTCGAACCTTTTTGCGTATCTCACTTTCGTGTTAGAGGTAACGAACGTAAGCTGATATTTAGAGGGGCTGGCTTGACGTTCTCTCGTTTACAAGCCTCCATAAGGTTTATGACGGTGCCATATTCACGAATACACAACAAATATACAAGGCACGAGAACGATCACAACGCGTGTTGGCTACGGGCCGACTTTCACACTCCTCTGTCGACAGAATCGTCGTGATTTCCAGATAAACTCACTCGTCAAACGAATCTTCATGGCCCCGTTCCTCCTACTACCGCCCGGATTCGACATTTTCCACGCACATTTAACGCTTCCTACCGCACATCGGCACTCTAATTAGTAAATAAAACTGCTGCCTCGAAGCGGCGGTGCAATCCGCACACACGCAACCATGCACGATCGACTGTTGCAGCTGATCGACCTTACCGACTATATCGACCCACACTGCTCTTTCTGTCGACTTGGGACCCTCGAGATATCGAGACTGGCGCGTGTTCCCGAGGACGGTTGAAAGATTTCAATTTATGATATATAAAATTATTTACACAGTATCGAATTATGAAATACATTGTAGTTTAATTATCTTTCGGACACTTTCATTTAACAGTCTAAAAGAAAGTGCTAGTCTTTGCATGATTTCTTAACATGTTGCAAGAAGATTATACCTTTTTGAAGATGTTCTATTATGTATTAGAAAATTATACCTAGTATTGTGATAATGATGAATTAACTTTGTATATAATGATGAATTAACTTTGTATATAATAGGGTTCATGATTAATGATTTATTATTTTCTTCATGAATGTTAATTTATATTATATTTCTTCATAAATGTTAATTCATATTATTTTTGTCTTCATAAGTTTAGTAAATGAAAAATATATATAAACATATAAAAACCAAATCAGATTTAAATATAGATTTAACAGGACCTCAAGAAACTTGAAGGAATAATAAAAATTATTTTAAAAAATTAAAGAATTTATTTTACACAATTGCATATAATAGGTACATATATTACATAATAATATTTGCGACATTTTGTTACAACATATATTCCAGGCAAAGTAATAAAAAAGACAGTTGTATTTATGAAATATTTATATATATAAAACATATAAACTGACAAACAAACCGGAAAAATGTCTGTAAGAGTTGTAAGAAAAGTATCGTATACACGTATAGTAAACGTAAAAAATTAGTTTTCCGAATATAATATTGTGGAAAACAAATACATTTTTTCGCGTAGTAACTATATTGTTCAACTCTTATACTGTGTGCAGAGCGCGGTTGAAATTTAATTTATGCGTAACAATAATGATTTCAACTTTCACTGGCCTTACAATTAGAGAGGGACTGCAACGTACATTAGAATAACGTTTCGGTGTTTTCGTATCGTAAACATAAAATTTGAAAATGGAAATACTACATACATTTCACTGTGTAACTTGAATCTGCTGATTCAATGGAAACGAAACTTTTTGAAAAACCATTTATTATTTTTGTGAACAGTAAGCACGAAAGTATTCGAATGCTTGCAATCGAACTTAATTTATCTAACGTAATGTTTATATATTAATATGAAACGATGAACTTGTTCCTAATATAAACAGGTAAACCGATACGCGAAATGATAACTAAAAAATTTCAGACGATCATCGAATTCACTACCATCAATAAATAGTATATTAATAATTTATTATTTGAATTACTTCAAAAGTTTTACACATACAGAGATTTTATATACCATTCGTTATCATATACGAACAATAGAAATCCATCTTTTCTCGAATAATGAATCTAACGATGCCATTAAGAAAGTTGCTTGTATATTTGTACTGTGTTTTTTTTCGTGATTTCCCGCGTCTCTGTAATGGCGTCAACGTGTATGAATCGATTAACGAATATCAGTCGCGCACACTTCACACTGATACTTCATTAAAAAAAAAAACGTTCGATGAAGATTCTTTATTTGATCTTTGGCAGTATGTTTCTTTCGTTTCGGTGAAAATTTCGACAGTTTCGCGTCACGAAACGTGTAACTGGTTACTGTACAAAATGGTTGACAATTGTGCGCGGTCCCTGGGTTAGTGGTGTCAAGCTTTTAAGCCTCCCCTCGGAACGTTAGAAACGCGTCCACGAGGAGGAGTACTCCTTCGATGATGCTGATAGATCCTTTAGCGAGGCCTGTGTCGCGGAAGGAGTCCTTGCGAGTCAAATTCGAGAACTGGTCAATGTTCAGGGCACCGGCAACAATGAACAGAGCGCAACCGACCAGGGCAAAGAAGAGATCCTGCGAATATAAAATTTATTGTGAATTAGTTTCGATCCAAATAGGTCCCACGGACATCAAATTATTGTGAATTAGCCTAGATCCAATAGATTCTACAGACATCAAATTATTGTCAATTAGTCTAGATCCAATAGATCCTACGGACACCAAGTTATTGTGAATTAGTCTAGATCCAATAGATCCTAGGGACATCAAATTATTGTGCATTAGTCTAGATCCAATAGATCCTAGGGAAATCAAATTATTGTGAACTATTTTTCGTCCAATACAAGGTGAATTGGTTCCCAGATAGCACATGACGCGTTGAAGACGCCCATTTTACGGCTATTTTAGGTCTGAGACGCCTTTAAGCCGTCTTTAAGGCGTCATGTGCTATCTGGATTGGTTTATGATAAGAGTTGGTATAGTTGGTAGCTATGATATGGTTGAACGAAATATTATTTGTATTGCTGTAAGTACTTAGAGCGTACTATCAGGGATGCTATATCGGGTTTCGAAGACAGATGTGTACATGTTATGACATTAAATGTTAGTTTTAATCCTCCTGTACTTGGAGATTATACAGATTCGTGGTGTTACAGCTCGAGTGGAGTTTGAGACTTGTAGGCTTCGAATATTTATAGTGAAGAATTTTGTTAGAATATGTACTATTTTATTGTTATTATTTTTATTATATGATAATACAATGAACATAGTACTATTGTTGATAGATGGAAGAAAGAAAAACGTTTAGTTATTTAGAGTAAAAGAGGGGCGAAGAAAAATAGAATCGGGAAATCTGTGAGACGCCATTTTGGTAGCAGAGCGTTTAGTCATATTCTTCACAATATTCTGACCCAACTGGAGATTGAAACGAACATTAGCACTCGATTGGATATATACAACATTTCAGCTAATTATTTCATAAATAAAGCAATCGAAGACTGCCTTAATATGTAACTTGAATAAACGTTCAGAAGAGGTTATTGATTGAAATGAATACTAAATATTTTTTTGTTATCATATACAATGACAAATATATAGAAAATACGGTTATTAATGAACATTGTATAAAAAATTATTTCAATTTATCTATTGGAACGTTAGATTATGTGTTTCGCGTATACGTACCACACGACGATTGACTGGCGTTCCCATTATACTACCAGCGAATAATCCCACGAGAATAATTAAATATCCGCCGAAGGTACCCATGGTGATCATCGCGGTGTGTTGAGTACCAATATTGAAAGAGTGGTAATGCAATCCTATTAGGATGCATACTATTAACTGAAATTATAACAAATGTTATTAAAAACACATGAAACACCAGTAATAAGATACTAGGAAAAGCAACGATTGTTTGAACAATGAAATTTTTCGATAAAGAAAGTTAAGCAGTCATATTATGATAATCGAATATACAAAAGAACTTAATAAATTTATAACATTCTATGAGAAAATATAACTTGTCATGAGATGAGATTTTATAAATCAGGACATTATCATAAATTTGTTTGTCTATGTATAGCACTCTTGCTTCTACCAGGTGTTATAAAAGGCATTGACTCTCGGCTATAAGTGATCAATTGAACAGAATGCTCTCGATGTTACCATAAATAACACATTAACATTGCGCTCCAGTTAAGAACTTATCTATAACTTCGTTCTATTTCGAGGGTACACGTGTCAGTTTTGTCTAGCAGTTTTGTCCCTCTTCGTTGATACATTTTAGCGGAAACGGCGGTCTCCTCGCAGAAAGTATGAATTCCGCTAATGTTCTGAATGCGACGTTCATAACCGCTGCCATGAACCGCCGTCCACCTAGCTGCGATACGCACTGCATTGTTAATTAATCGCATACTAACGTTACGTCATGTGTCCACTTTACGTTATTTGATTTAAACTGAATTCCTCAAAGATTCCCCCTGGTGCGATCATTCGTCAATTCTTTTTCCCTAAGAATAATCTATATCTTATTCCATTTTTTCCAGTCATTATGACGTCTGAGATAGAATAAATATATCGATTGAAGATTTTGTTTTTTTAAAGTGTAGAAAGTAAGCTGTATCATGTAACATATAACAGAATTATTTAAAATTGCCAGAGTGTGTCAAGTCCATTTTAAAAAAAAATGACATTTACATGTTTCCTGTATCAAATTTGTCATTCTTTGCGATAGTAAAAATTATTTTGCTCCGAGTCGGTTAATCTTTAATACAGCAGTGTAAAAATGATATCAAGTCCATATCTTGTTTCGAGTCAAACAATGTAAATACCATCACATAGGGGACTCAATGCAATGTTCACCATTTCTACACAACCAGACTTGTTTTAAGTCTAGTCAATAGTTCGAAGATACAGATTGTTGCTCGTTCAGTTCTTACAGAACAGTTCCAAAGTTACAAGGTTTTTCGCATCTTTCATTTGCTCTCCCCTAAAGTTTAAAAAGTGTGACTTAATACACACTATCTCTAAAGTCCCGATATTATGTGTATTACTATATTATAGAATTTAGTATACAGTCAACTTTGGTAGTTCTAGTGTTAACCTCGTGCACTGTTCGGGTCAATTTGACCCAACCTCAGACTTCAATTTTTAATTGCACTCTTTATCAGAAAAACTTGTAAATTAATCTGACTCCAGTAGTTTACATATAAATGATCAATTAACTCAGTTTTACCGTGGATCACGTCTAATTCAAGGAAACGATTAAACAATAACAAAGCGAATTCGGTCTTATATGTATACAGTAGCGGACAAAATTATAATAACCTGACTGTAATAATTCTGTAAAGATCAATTTCTTTAGCATGTTCTGTAACGAAGGGTACGGATTTTCTTAAGATTATTAATATTTAAGAAAACAATGTTTATATAATCCATACTCTTCGTTAATTAATACAGAAAATGTTAAAGAAATTAATCTTCAAAGAATTATTACGCTCGAGTAAGTTTCCGTAATATCTTACTACGGGTCACGTTGACGGTTAATTCAATGACCAAACGAAAAAGAAATAAAATCGTCAAAGGCGTCAACGAAAGGGAACAAACTCCGAATAAAGGCGTGACTTTCAAGATCATCAAGTGTGCTGTACGTGTGCCCCGAGGAATCCTAACGGAAACTCTAGATAGCGATCGTCTTCCGGTCTGAGGTGTGACCGTAACCAGAGGAGAATCTCCCACGTGGTAATCGCAAGCTATTATGTCATTCTTCCATTCTAGGTGCGCGCTATCTCAAGATATTCGCGGGCAATTCGTTCACTCTTTATACTTTCGGGACTTCGATGTGACATTGATCAATGTTACCACCGATGTTACGTGACATTATAAAACTGCGCAAAATCCAGCAAAGATCGACGAAGCAAAACAGTGAACGAAAGCAGGTTAACGCAGGCAGATACGAATTTATTCCGACGAGTGAGGAAGGGCAACTATCTAAAAATACAGTGTGTTTTATGACAGAGAATGGTAATGCTTCAATAACTTCGCACGGCGACTGCGCCGAAAATATTATTTTCTTATCGTTTTTTCATATCTTCTAATTTTAGAATGTTTTTTTTTTTGTTTTGTTTAACGACCGAAAGGATCGAGATCGTGAGAATCGAAGGTATTTCATTTTGATGCACGAGTTTTATAAATTTTTTTGTATATTTAGCTCTGTCGATATGATGACTTAATCATCCAGTAATTGATTATACAAATGATTTTAATGTTAATAGGATTGCTTACCAGTTCCAAGAATTTGATGATTGCGAGCCTCGTGATGGTAGCCATTTTGGTTTATCTGTAAAGAAATTGATTACAAATGGATTATTTCAAGCTTTTTCAAAATATTTCCATATTTTTTGCATAATTAAAATCGTTAATGAGTTGGACTAAGTTTTAACAATTTTATTATCAACGTTATTATGTATAACAGTGATAATATTTATAATTCTATATTTTTGTCATTTATCACGTTAATTGCAAACAGTTCCTATCATTTTCATTCGGGGTAGAAAATGAAATTAATCTGCCTCGAATTTATGAAAGTTTTATATTCATTAAAAATAAGATCACCAAGCGATTATGATCGTTTAAAGAACATCTTTTCACGCCTACGAACATGTTTTATATGTGTTAATACATAACGTACATTTTGGTTTAATTTTCCGTGACTCTAATTAGCTGTTCATTTCGCTTGTAACAAGACGTGTTTACTCAGCAGCACTGAGGTGCTTTCATACTTATTCCTGAGTTATTACGAAATTATCTTTGTATCATTTTGTATTAAAAGAAACACTATGGAGGTATAGTTCAGATGCACATGTCACAGAGATAGCAAATTTAAAAAACACCAAAACCTCAACCAAAAATGGTTCTCAGATATTTCTTTTTATCGTCTATTGTTCATATTTAAGGGATGAAAACACTTCCCAAAATTGGACGTTGGAAACAAATTCTTCAATATCTTGGAAACTATTCGCTTTCCTACAAAATAGTTTAAACAAACGTTATTTATTCCCTGATACAAAATTTAACTGCATGTCTACATTTAGTGTTGTATTTAAAGTTTATTTATATTTAGTTTTCTTCTCTTTTTTGTTTATATTTTCATAATCTTGAACTTTTATGTCATCGTATATTTTTGTCCCTAGGGAAATAAACAATATGGAAAACACACCTCGATCATACTTTCATGCCGTTACTTTCGTATTCAGCAATACGTTACATTTGTTTCTGTCACAACATCCACTTTCTATTTAGCACATGTTTTTTCGATCATTCCTTTTGAAAATCTTAAATTTTGATTCACCCGGAAAAATATAAAAAACATAGGTATTGTATTCACTCGAGTTCTACTCTCTCTCTCTCTCTAAATATATCACGCATCACATTGAGCTTCTGACTGTACAGTAGTGTACAGACACATTCGTTTTCCATTGTATTTGTAAATTGTCTATCATACACAATGAACAATTACTCATAGCGCCGGTTTGAGTCACGCTATTACTATAAATCGACTTGCAAATAATGCTTAATGCAATGTTCAGATAAAGAATTGACGCAATCTTTATGCGTTTATTCAGTTCTTTTAATAGACCTGTGCGATCATCGGCGGAATCAACATTATTAATGCGTTATCTTTAGTGTAATTAGTGTATTGTAGGTGACAATAAAGATTTCATGTCAAATGTTTCATTTAATTAGAGATAATTCGCGAAATTTTATTATTATACCTAATAATCTGACGTTCCATATTCCTACTAAAATGAACAGATTTAAAGGAAGAATAGTAATTTTTTAAATCTTATTTCCAAATATTTGTTTAGTCATTTACAACTGCAATAAAATTTATGGAAAAACTTAAGAACTTGTAGTATAACACTGTATTCAGAATTTTCACTTTATTATTAAACAGAGAAAAGTTTATTTACCTTTTATAAATGAAAGAGTGGAGTAAACCAACTTTTTGCTCAGTATAGATCGAGAAAATTTTGATATCTAATGTTACAGTGTTACTTCATAATCAATGATTATTGTGTTTTTATTATAAATAGAACTTGGTTTAGTTTATTTTAAATGATAACAGATATAAGAAAATTATGTACTTTAAACTATATTATGAAGGTTCTTCAGATCATTTCAGTAGTTCAAAAGTAAACTGGTTGAAGAAATACTTTAAGCAAATAACTACAGAAGATTTCCTGGTGATGTTTCGTTACAGTTCATTTAATTTATAATTATATTTTAGTTTTATAAATGTTGCATTTCAGTGTGCATAACTGTATCCTCAGAGAAACTGCAAAAGTTTGTACATGGTACATGCAGATCACAACAGACAACTACAACAGTGACCAACCACTGACGTTATATTTAGATGTTTACAGGATGACACAAGAATTAAGGTATCGAGGATGACCGTAACCTAAAATTCACGTCCATGAATCTTTTTACCTTCTCTTCTGTCCTCTTTACTAAAAGAAAATGATTTTATTAAAGAATTGAACAGTAAAAGTAAAGTACCTGTGATTAATAAGGACATCGTCCTCAAGAACAGATTATTAATCTACTTTAAGAAACTGAAAAGAAACATTCACTGTAATTTTATATTCAATTAATGATTGAATTTATAGATGTTGTTCGTAGTAAAATAAAATTACTGTACTTTTTCTATTTACATAAGAAAATTAGAGGACTCAATTTGATTGAACAAAAACCTTTCTATCTTTATTTTTTTAGGCTTTTTACATTGTTGTATAACGAATTTAAACAACCCTAAAAATAATAAGGAGACGCAACATTTTAGTTTTACTAAAATTTTGGTATTTTTTTGCAAATACTTCGTAGTTAGGTCAGTGGAGCACAAGCCATCATTCGCGGTGGCCGTGTAGTACCAAAGATGGACAGAAATGGCTGGCAGAAATAGCAATACGTGCCTCGAGTACATATACCACCATTAAGTGAACGACATTGTGCAGAAAAAGATTCTGCGTAAACCATATCGTAATATCAGTCATGGGCATATTTTTAGATACAAAATGTGAATGTGTAATGAAAACTAACATAATTCTTATACGAATATAGTCTATACGTATGAATAAGTTTTATTTATCAGAAAATAATTCAATTGTTTAAAATATGTTCAACCTAACCGAAGCTATGTTCGTATTATTCCAGTGAATATTAATTAATATTAAATATTTTTGTGTGATCTCATAGTCCAAATAAGTGTTTCTTAAAATTCTGATTATTTTATAGTATCTTGTTAATGCACATAAGTCAGATAGTAAGATATATTACATTTGTCAGAAGTTAAGATTTATTTGTACTATGAAATCGCGTAAAAACACCTAATATCCATTAATCTTCACTGGAATAATATGAAAGTATTGCAAATAAGACTTATACCGTAAACTTTAAGAATTATATTACTTTTCATTTGAACTTAAAATTTTGTACTTGAAATTAATATAAGTTAGATATGTAGATATAATGAAAATTTCAGAATAGTCATTTTTAATGCAGCTCAAATTCAAACAATTTTACCTATCACTAAATTTTCAATGATCGGTGTACAATTATATGAGAATAATAATAAATTAGATTGCGGATATGTGTGCAAATACAGATTCTCTTCAATATATTTCTACAGAAAAAATTAAGGTTTCTATCAGATTCCAAATAATATAGGAATCTGATTAATATACTGAAGATTTTGATGTAAAATAATATTTGGTTAAATAATTCACAAAAACAAAAGTAAATGTAGGATGTTTCTTTCTTGTCTTAAGTATATTAGTGTATTCGGAATAAAATAGAAAACTCGTTGCATCTGATGAAAGTTTTGTCTTCTGTTGTTTATCACAGAGCCCTGTAGTCAACATATGCATAGAATCCAGAGTCTACTCATTACTCATTACCTTTTATGATCTGACGATACTTTAACCGTTACAAAAACCATTAAAGTTTAACGTATAAGTACTATGTTTACGTATAAGTATTTATTACTTCTTTGAAGTCCTCTGACAAGAGATGCTATAATATGATACCAGCACGCAAGATCACCGTATTTAGCTATTTGAATAAAAATTTTTTTAAATCGTATTTGAACAGTTTTGAAGTATCTGGCATAAAACCTACTGTAAAAAATAACGATAACGTAATTTAGACCTTAAAGGGTCAAACTGTATTAAATATTTTCATCACATTGATTTGCAGACAAAATTATCTATGAATACATAAAATCTAGTGTCTAGCAATGACGTGTACCGTTGAGAATACATTTCGAAATAATGGTTTACGTTGACTGCCACGAAATTTCGCAGAAAGCTTCGCTTACAAAACACGGTTAATGCAACTCTGAATAACACCATCGTAACCCACAGAAGTGGAGGGATGCAACGATGCAAGGCCAGAAGTGTTTGGAAGCTGCTCCCAGTACCGTAATCTTTATTCACGTTCGCGAGTTTTGCAAACGGGAAACAGCATAAGGGGCATTTTACGCGAAGTCGGATACTTTTTGGAGTAACATTTCCGATTTTGTTGACAATTAAATATGTTATAGTCTTTAGTGATATATAAATGTATTTCGTAGGATTTTTTAAAATTTGAAAAATTATTGATTTTACAGCTGTTTGAAATACAGTGTCTGCCCCTTTTCAATAAATCATAACTCTTAAACTAACAAACCGATCAAAATAAGCTTTGTGGGTGCCTATAGTGGAAACACAAAAGTAACTAATAAAAATTATTTCAGTTGAAAGAAAAATATTTCTGAACCATTTATTTTGCGGAATGTAATGTTACAACAATTTAAAAATTGTCAATAATCCTTCGAGATACGTTTATATATCACGGAGGACCTACAACATATCCAAGTGTCAACAAAATCCGAAATGTTATTTCAAAAAGTGTTCGATTTCGAGTGGAATGCCCCATAAACGAAAAAGAGAAGGGACAAATTATCGCACAAACGCTACGCCATGTCGCGGAGCGTACAAAATTCAGAGTTCAAAAGAAAGCTACTACGTACACTTTCACACGTGAAATCACTGACCGCGTAAAAGAGCCTTGGACTCGACTCCGTAATCAGTTTTTGCAGTTTCTCTCAACTAGTGATGGGTAACCGAGCAGTTCGGGCTACTTACTCGAACAAGCTTATGATCTCAGCAGAGACCCGAGGCTCTGCCACGCAAAGGCGAAGGATGTTATCTGGCCGCCGACAACCGACCCTCGGGTTACAATGTAACACACGAAACGAATGACCCATGAAAAAAAATTTAAACTTTCACTCCTTTCAGTGTACTTTCTTAAAAATGTTATGAATAAATGTAGGAAATTCTTTTGATGAAAATATTCGCCGACAACCGACCCTCGGGTTACAATGTAACACACGAAACGAATGACCCATGAAAAAAAATTCAAACTTTCACTCCTTTCAGTGTACTTTCTTAAAAATGTTATGAATAAATGTAGGAAATTCTCTTGATGAAAATAAGTCCAAACCCGACATAAATCGGACTATATTTAATAACATATAAGTTACTTTTTTACGGAAGAAATGTCAAACAAATCGGTTTTTCATTGTTCTAAGCACGACGCACCTTACCAAACAATCTGAAAAATTGCAAGGAAAACAATTTTTATTTATACGTTATGTTACGATACGAATTCTATGTTATTAAATATAGTCCGATTTATGTCCGATTACATTTATTCATAACATTTTTAAGAAAGTACACTGAAAGGAGTAAAAGTTTAACTTGTTTTTTATGGGTGATTTGTTCCGTGTGTTACATTGTATCCCGAGGGTCGGTTGTCAACGGCCAGATAACATCCTTCGCCTTGGCGTGCCAGAGCCTCGGATCTTCGCTGAAATCATAAACCTGTCACCCGAGCTCCTTCGAGTAGCTCGAACTGCTCGGTTACTTACCCATCACTACTCTCAACGAGACTTCTTTATTGCTACATCTTGCTTGGCACTCGAAGAACAGAAATTCTCTTTTAACAGCCCCCTTATAAAAAACGAATTATGATCGGATAAGAAACTTTTTCCATTTCAATTTCGATGTTATTTGCGTCGTGCCATGAATAAGCTTTATTTTTTCTTTGAAGATTCTTTACGTTAACGAAAGTTGACAAGTAACATTTGTCCACCAGTATATTCTTTGTTATTATTATTAGGTTGTATTGGAAAGTTCATAAACGTTTTCAAGGGCAGAGTTACAATCTATGTGTTTCAATTTATATATCACGTTATTATTTACTACTTTTTTTTTACAATTTCTTTGTAAAAAAGAATTTCCGCCATTAATAGTTGAAATTTTGTCTGACCCGATCTAATATATTTTATTTCTACTTTGTTATTTCTGGATTATTTCAATGTATTATCAAGTAAATTATTTTCGTCAAGTAGCGTGTTTATTTGTAATATTTTGATGTTACTAAAATATTAATATGAGCTCACTGTTTTTCAAACAATATCTAATCTTTGTAACATTTTGTTGTGTATTCGAAATCGTAAATTTGTATGGCACAAAACGGACAAGAAATATAATTGTATTACTTCGAGTAATTTTTTTTAAGAAAATGTCAAAACAACTATCAGTCGCAGCGGAAAGTATGTATTTATGAATGGAAATCATTCCGATTAGAAGTTTAGTTTTGCTTCGATTGTTTGTGCATCGTTCAAAGGAAGTTTTCGTATTATCGCGTGATATCCACGAGTGAAACTGTCACTGTTTCGCTGAAAATAAATTTGATTCGAGCTGTCTTTGATAAATTTTAATCATTCATATGACTCTCTGCTGCATCTAATTAAATTTACTTTATTATTATATTTATTCTATTATTAATCTCGATTTTTTAACACTTCTGATTTTTTAAATCGAATAATTTAATAATTATATCGTATTGTTTTTTAATTTAATGAAGGATAATTCCTGGTGTTATATAACTAATATAGTAAATACATAATTTAACACATTTCTAAGAACTGGGTGATTGTAGGAACAGAAAAGTATCTATTAAATTTAGCTGAATTTAACACAATTGGAATCAATAATAAATTTTAATTTTAATAAATGATTGTTACTCGTTCGTCGTATGTAATTTAAAAGTGTCAATTAAAAATTTGTTGTGTAAAACCAGAAAATAACACTGCCTTTCGAATCTCTAAAATGCTATCGAAAAATGAACATTGAGATAAAATACTCATCATAATTAGTGAGTTCTATAAAGATAAAAATGTATTTAGAAACTTTCACATACTGGAACATAGGAATGAATAAATGATAAACGGTCATTTCTTTTCACAAAACAGTTATTCTTAAATCATTTTTATACATTCAAGAAATTCTCCACAGTTTCATAAAGTTTTTACAATGCGTTCAAAACGTGTTTTATAAACGAACAAAATCAAAGGAAAGTAAGAATTCGAATGTATATTACCTGTTAGTTATTGAATAGCAAATTCAAAATAATATTACAGAATATATTACACTAAACGCGTTAAATTACAAACTGTGAAAGGCTTACATGCGTCCTAAACGTACACATTGAGAAGATCAACTCCCTGGTAGGTCAAGTTCATGGTAATAAACAAAGCTGATAAAAAGTCGTGATCGTATGCACAATTTACTCCAGCAATTCCAGATATTATTCCACTATTTTTATAAAATAATCATTACAATGCTTGCCTATTAACACGAATGTTGTCATTATTTATACCGTTTCAAATCCCCGATGTTTCAATTTATTGCATTATCAAATTTTCCACAAAAATTATTTATTCTCGATAAAATCAAATATTACCCGATTTAATGTTTTCATCGTATGTATGGTACAATATTTCACACTATTTTATCCTCTAATTCAAGTAACTTTAGTCCTTGTATACGCGTTACCCACGACTTTCTTCGGTAATTTAATAACAATTCTTTGAATAAATTTTTCGATCTTTCTTTTTTCCGAAATTCTTCTAAACATAAATATTGCAATAGAAGAAAAGTTTCCGTCGATCCGTTCGATCTTCAGAGAATGAACTTACATGTGAAATTTGACAGATGCTCGGTGGCTTCGCGTTCTACGGCACACAGATCTTCACAAGACGAGGGTTCGGCAACGACTAATGCTAAAGACTGATCGCGTATCGTGAAGGAGGGACGCGGAGCTCCGATTTTTACCGCCAAGAGAAACACGACCACGACTGCGTTTTACGGTATCTTTTAAGGTGAGCTCACACACGCAACCCTCGAGGCAGGAATTCAGTAACGAAGTGGAGAATCGATCACTAGTTGAGCCATTCGTTTGCCCTTTAACATGATTAACTCCATAAAATTTATATTTACAATTTATTTTAAATATAGAATGTTTAACGCCAATCGAGTGCTTTTGCACTAAAGTTTTAAGAAATTACAAAAATGGAGATAGTTTGGCGTGTGAGAACGGTTTAGTTTCGGATAGTACAGGCAGAGTAAAGCAACGCTGTGATAAAATAAAAATAGAGCACTTCGATTTGGTTCAGGCTGCATCTTGAGCCACATGGAGTCTGGAACCGAACGTGAAAATTCCAGCGGATTATTATTTATGTTCATTGCTTATGAATAGAATAGAACAGAATAAAAATATAGTGTAGATATTTATGCAAATATTGATATTTAGTGTGTAATTCAGAAAAAGTGGAATCAAGCAGAAATATAATTATTCTGTTAAGGGATCTATTAGGTTGCAAATAAGATAAAAATCTCATAAAACTGTATTAAACACTTTAGTATATTGTATTTAAACAGTAATAATAATGATGATAAAAGTTCTTGAGATTATTATTATCTTTTTTCTGAGCATACCTTAAAAGTTTTACACTTTCGGTTATTTAATTTTAATGTTATACAGAATAATACTTGTTATTAAATATTCAATGCATGTCTTTTCAACTTACATACGTACTGTGACGTGTTTTAATTCATATTTTTACAATTTAAGTCAGAAGATTTGAATTTGGAGATCTTGCAGTCGTAACCCAATTTTAATACATTACCATTTGTCTGTGAGTAAAAGATTTTCATGTCCTTTGTTAACATTTCATTGTCCTTTGTTTTGACTGTTTGACTAAGACTGTTTAACTACTTAAGAACTTGAGATGATGTTGATATTTGTATGCCAGTTTCTACTTAATAGCGCCTTCTGAGCAATCTCACAGAAATATTTTCGTAATCATGTCTCTTGGAAGGTTGTATGATGTCGGCAGGAAGTGTCTAACAGTGGAATCATCCTCTTTATAAGCGACACGTGTTCATATACTTCGAGAAAATTCACTATCGTTACATTTTTGTTAATTTAGGTACTCCAAGAAAATGTATCAATTCTCTTTCAATTACGAAACTAAGTATTATATCATCTGTAAAAAAATTTTGTGAACTTATCTACCTTTCCTCAGGTCGACCACAACCAACGTCGTCTGTCAAAGTGAAAATTCACCAGATCTTAAACGGAGTAAATAGTACATTCTAAATAGGAGTAGGTTATCACGTAATTTTATATGAAGAACATCTGTAAATTCAGTCAAAAATCATTTTATATTGGTTTCTATCAGTTTGCAGACAACTCAACAAACAAAAAAGAAAAGTTATTTATTCTTGTATAAATAAGAGTAACTTTAAAAAAAAGTGACTTTCTGACAATAGTAGAAATGTGAACGCTATTCAAAATATAGAAACAGTATCAACGTGATGTTTGCTACTTTAAGTGTGGACACGCCTTTATACACCTACGCTATATGGCTACGTCTACGCACGCATTGTGTGTAACCTCCATTTTACTATACCAGAGTCGTCTCAGTAGTACAGTGCCTCTCAAATTTAAGATCTTCTAATTTGAATCTAGCTATTATCTGAAAAATCATGCGACGAAAATGTAACAGCACTTTTTTGTAATGAACATTGAAGGATAATTCTATTATTGAGTTGGTGAGAAATAATTGTTTGTATAGAAGGTTGTAAATGCTGTTGACAAAAATTTGCTATAATTCTATAAACTTTAATCTCCATTGTTGTTCTGTATCCATACAAAAACAATTAAAGAAATTCTACATAATTACAATTATAGCAGGTATAACATAGTAATTTTGATATGTATAAAGTTCAAATGGCCATTTGTTTCTTATGGATTTTATTATTATTAGTTTCAAAAAATTGTTTACAAAATATTACGCTGGTTTAAAATAAGTAGTTTTACCATTTTCGAGGCATTTATGTTACATGTGTAATTTTCATTGTGATACTTTATTTTAGAGAAATTATACAAGTGATCGTAACAATTGTCACATTCAATGTCTGTCTGTCTAATTTTTTTACAAGTGTTCATTAGACTTCTGCAAACATTATTTTCGTTTTATGCAGGCAAGTGTTTTGGTATTCGTTTGTTTCTCGTCACACGTTATTTTTGTAGATGAATTAAGCTGAGAAACACTGTGATGCGATCAGATTCATTCAAGCTAATGGTCAGACGCGAGTTTTCGTGGAAGGCAGTAGAAGATTCGATTTACTTTTTCATATATTCTTCGATGTAAAAGGGTAACAAATTTTCACTAGTGTAGACGTAAATTTTGACTGTAATTTTATTATGTTTTGCAACGTATTAAGTAACACACGGTTTGTTCTTTACAAACTGACCGATATTGATGTTCTACTACAGAACTCTGATTCACTCCTCGGTCTTGTATGTACGACAGACATAAAAAAGTGTGATCGATTAACTTCGCGTGACTCAAACGCGTTATTCACCTTATAAGAATTCGGAAAAGAATTTTTAAAACGTTTCATAACACAACAGTACTAACGTATTTCTTAAAAAGAATAATAAACTGTTTTTATCCAATACTGATCAACATAGCTTTAGTAAAAAAAAATTAAATCTGAAAATTAATCTAAAATTAAACTGAACTATTTTTTATGATTTTATTATACTTAATTATCATCTAACTACGATAGAATCGTAAAAAAAAGTTCAGTTGTAAAATAGCGATTTTTAAAAGCTTTAGATACTTGGAAAAATGGTGTTGTTACTGTTGTAATAATAAGGAAATTGTTAAGACCAGAACGAGTGAAGAAATCGAAAAGATTATATTTTTAGGTCATTCAAGTGCAATCTCGGCTAAATCTTCTAAATCCCAGTCTCGCGAATTGTGTATGACACGTTACACGTTACATTGCGCCGATTTCTACGCCCTCATGAGTGACATCAGTTCGCTGATTGCACGATGACGTCATATTGTCTCACTTGGATGCAAGGCATCGTGAAGTTCGTACGCTTCACCGGAATTTATAGCAGTGAACTGCAAAACTGCAAGGTTACAACCGTTGCGTCACATTTCTTAATAGATACTTATTACTTAAGTATGTGTGTAACGGAAATTATATGGTTGACTATTCAACCTTATACACCCCATAAATTTACATATCCTGTGCGTATCCCCTCTTTTATCGAATTTTCTTTAGTTCTTATTTCTATTCCTTTTAAAACGAAATTTAGTATTTGTTATTTACTATAAAGTGAAATTTAGTATTTATTATTTACTATAAAGTGACTTTTTTTGACTTCATAGATTCATATACAATACCCCTACTGGTAGAGAAAAAGAAATGAAAACCAAAGATTCCAAGTACAAATATTTACTAAAATGATCTACCTAGTCTTCTTTGGTTTTCATTCTATTTTATTTAACATGAAATTTCGGATTTAATAGTTACTAAAATCACTTTTTTTTGTACTATATCTTGGCCCCACAGACTCATTTATTTGAGCATATCTCTTCTCTTACTGAATTTTCTTTGATTTTCATTTCTTTTTCTTTAACATGAAATTTCGTACTTAAGTTTACTAACACGCCTTTCCTTTGGAGAGAATAAGGAAAAGAAATGGGTTAATTAAACGGAAAAGAAAAGGAGGAGAAACGGAAGGAAGGATTAACAACTCGAGACACGGCAGGTGGTGCGGAACATTTTAAATGAAAGGAATACCAGGTCACTTAAAAAGAGAGTGAAAGGAAAGGAGTGGCAATAATAAAGCAATTTAGATTGGATATTATAAATAATCGCATTAGATACATTTTACTATATATAATTTTTTAATTATCTAAATTGTTATTTATATACTGCACAATTTTTTAATAATAATAATTAAAATATATGTGTATCTCACGGGAAAAGTATTTCAAAGTAGATAGGCAGTTTAAATCCTTGTTCAGAGAATTTAGAAAGGACTTAAAAATACAAATTGAATGACTGATTGTGTATCATTATATTATTTCATGATTAACATTACATTACATGAATAACTTGAAATTCGTGGACTGTTTGCTTCATGTTGTGTTGATGCTTTATGTAATTATAACAGTCAATTAAGCAGCAGTACAAAATAACGGGTTCGTCCTCGATGCTCTAAAAATAAGATTTCATATTATTTCATTCTTTCTTTGTATAATTTTAAATTATTAAAATTAAAATATAGTGAAGGTGTATTATGTATATTTCATATGTAATTTTCATTGATTATTACAGTAGACATTCGTTTCCCGCACTAGTCGGGGCTGTAGAGGATCAGAATTCCAAGAACCGTGCAAGAATCGGTCACTATGGTTGCCAGTTACCCGAGCACTTTCCCCACCACTCGACCGTTCAGTCGTGCGACATAGCTACATATAGGATGGGCTGGATATGCGCACTTTACGGTTACATTAATTATCTCCGTTACTTTTAGAGATATCAGAAAAGTTTATTCACAGAAGTTGTTCAGTATGAAGAGGGCTATTACTTAGTAGTAACAAGTTTTTCGTAGGTGGAGTATCTTCTAAGTTTTCAAAGTTAATTATGTTATTTGTATTCATGATATTGAAATATTATGGAATAAAATACTTTTAGCATCTTTTACCCATTACGTATGATCCGCGAGGCAAGAAGCAATCAAATTGCCACTAATATTCATTCCACCAATACTCATTGCACCAATAAAAACATTATTAAAACAGTATTATATACATTTCGCTTTTTATGATGAGATATGCGTGTTAAACGCGATACCGTATGTGTTCTGGCTTGGGCGTACTGGGCGGCAGAGTAGGGTACGCGCACGTGTGTGAGAAATACGTGTGAGCAAGGGGCGTGGCTTCCGTACAGATAACGGTAGTGCAAGAAACGAATGTCTACAGTAATTTTTTTTAAATCCCGGGTACATTATCAACAGTTGGCAACTTATCGACAGTGTTGTGAATAGTATTCCTGATAGATGGTGGGAGTATGACTATACCATAAAATCGCGAATTTCCTTCTAAATTAAGACTGTACATGTACGTACACTTTTTAGATCCAGTAAAACGGTATGTCAAATAATATATTTAATAGAATATTACTTGTCAAAACAGTAGTACTATTATTATACTATTATTAATGTGTACTAACTGATTTCAAATTCAGAAAATCTAATTCTGTTTAATTTTCATTTTTTATAAATCAGGACCTGAATTGTGAAAATGAAAAAAAATTTCCTTGCGTGAAATTTATTTAATCAATTTGTTATAAATGAAACCTATTTATCTAGTTATGACCCTTTAATTTTATAAAGATATAAGATTAAATATTTCGTACGTATTATTACATCGGAGGTTCGATAAGAGTTAAATACCATTGGTGACTGTTTACTTACAACAGTAACTGACTGTGATATCGATGACAAGGAAGGAAAACGGTCCAAAGCGGGAATTAGTTCCAATTCACCGACCTCCTCTTTTAATTGGCGTTTACGTTTGCCAATCTTTGGTCGGTCTTCGGATACTTCGCTCACGTCTGTGTTCGCACTAGAATCGCTAATTTGCGCATTCTGTTCTTCCATCTGTAACGATGAACTTCTGTCAGTGTTTGTGCTAGATTCACTGCTGGCTGATGAATCGCTAGATACGTCTCCACTAGTTTGTTCTTTAATCTGCAATTGAACCATACAGTATCACATTTCGCACTTAAGAATACAAGTTGAATCGCTTAATCTATAAAAATCGTATGAAGGAAAAAATGTAATAAAGATAAAACCGCGAATTAATTTTTGAATTTTTCAAATAAGCCGTCATTTTATGTACAATTTTACACTCCCGCTTAAAATATTTGTTCAATGTACATATGTACTATGCAATATATATTATGTATATATAATATTTACATATGAAAGTATAATTTTTTCCAACAACAAATGTGCGTGTTAGTACCATTAACATAATATCTATAGCGAGATTCACCATTCCTGTTACATTAAAAAAGTTTTCCTTTCATTTTACAAAAACGTGCATATCTCGGTGTTTAAAAAATTCCAAATTAAGATTAATGATTACACAAATTAGGATCTTCCTTTGTAATCTCTCTTCATTTTCAAAAAATTAAGATAAATTATCACAGAAATTTAAATTATGTTTCTGACAGGTTTCCAGAAAAAAAAACATACATCACTAAGAAGCATTAGAAGCTATGTAAATTAGGAATTAATTGGGAATCAATTAGGGTTTTTACGTACCGATTGATAGTAATCGAAAAGGACCCAACCTTGTATGAGATACATAATCATGCAGGCGATCGATAGTAGACACATGACGAAATTGTGGATAAAAATTGGATGTTGTAACAGTTCGTCGTCGGTGATTTTCGTCAAATCGAGATATATGTCGGCATGTTTCATTTCCATTATTCCGAGTAGGATCATAAACAAAGCTCCGACGAAAGATCCGATGAGAGCCTGTATGCATCAGAAATTTTCTAACCGATTCTCTAACGTGTCATATAAATATAATTGTTCTGTTTCTTTAATAATTCTTTTTTCATAGAAAATACTTTTCAAAGAAACGAAAAACTACTTTTTACATTTTTCGTAACGTTAGTTATAAACATTTGATGTATCATGCAAATATTAGCTTATTCTTACTTTTTATAGATATATAAGATACGTTTAATAATAGAATTATTATACGTATATGTAAGAAATTCTACAAAAATTTAGAAAAAATAATTGTTCTGTTTTCAAATATTTAAATCACACTAAAAATATGTTTGGTATTGATGTAACAATAAATCTTCTTTCTTCGTAAACAATTTTTTAGAGAAATTATTGTACTAATATTAGACAAATTGCGTTGTATCAATCTAGTATAACAATTAGAAAAATAGAAGCTTATAAAATTTTAAGAGAAATATTTTAACAATATTCTTGCACGGATTGTAGCGTTTTCATTCTACTTTTTTCAAATGTCAAATTAACCTATATCAATAATTGATAGTAAAATTACTGACAATAAGAGGCCTCCGGAAAAAAATCGTCGTGAAAAGCCAAAGAATTGCAAATACGGTGCTCAGCGCCGTGCAAATTGGGTACATGTAAAAAAGTGGATTTCTCTCTTCGGGCAGATGGGGAACCGATACATTCTTTTTCCGCCGCTGTTTGTTCGCATAATGATGGGTGTGATGAAACACTTCAATGCTCAGGCAAATCAACTAACGGAAGTTCCTGAAATTATGAAAATACTTGAACCAAACATGGAGATGCGTGAAATCGTATCAATCGTAAATATAGAAAAATTAAAATTGGACCGAATTTTGTTTCCAGTATCAAGAGTTTTAATATTAGGCGTGTACCAACCAGTATTTGAGTATGGTTACAATAAGGTTGTGATAGGAGTTAAATTCAGAATATAATCCGGGTGTTTTTTCAACCAAAATTACGTAGGATGTTGGAAGAAGACAACAAATACTAAAGGTAACGTAAATACCGAAGTCCTTTCTCAATGAATACAGAAATTTTACGAAGAATAATGGATTATTTGGTACAGTAGTGGATTATTGGTACACCTAGCATGTTAATAATAAGGGATAAATAGCATTGTCTTTGATTAAAATCTTTAGTTTGCTACACTTCTCAAGCCATTTACTGTCATAAATGCATTAATAACCTTACGCTAATAATGATTTCCTTAGAAAAAAGCAAATATGGCTATTCCAGGTCGATGACCTCAAATTTCATAGAATACAGAAAACGGAAGGCAATTGGAAAACCCGACTGGTGGTTAGTCGTCCCTGCTTAAGCCAGTTGTAAACAAGATTTATGACTGTTTCAAGCTAGAATTCCTGTTTGCGCGTTTGCTTTTCTGGTGACTGTCACTACCGAACCGACAACGAGTGGCAAATAACTTAGATTAGATTTAGGAAGATAGTGAAGATGTGATAAATCATGCATATGATTGATCTGAACCTTTTCCATCTGACCTATATAATATTTCATTCATTACCTCACAGTTTCTAAGCATTATGTGCTTCGCAAGAAACAATAATATCCTTGTAAGGATCTGCGATCAGTAGTATGACGGCAGCTTTCGAAGCACACACTACAAAATTGATATACAGGGTGTCCCAAAATATCTTCAACTCCCATAAATGAGGGGTCCTGGGATAATTTGAAACAACTTTTTCCTTAGACAAAACCTTATCCGAGGCTTTGTTAACGAGATATTAACGAAAAACCTCGACCAACCAGAACGCGAGTCTGCCGGCCAAGTTCCTGCGGTAACGTTGTACACGCACTGCGATTGGTAACCAACGTTACCGCGGGAACTCGGCCAGCAGACTCGCGCTCTGATTGGTCAGGGTTTTTCCTTAATATCTCGTTAACAAAGCCTCGGACAAGATTTTGTCTAAGGAAAAAATTGTTTCAAATCATCCCAGGACCCCTCATTTCCGGGAGTCGAAGCTATTTTGGGACACTCTGTATATCTCAGAAAACTAAATTAAGTGAAAATAATGAATATAAAAAGAAGACATCCATCTGTAACTGAAACTAGCTTTAGCTTATTCTTTTCAAAATTAGACTTAGGATACCAATGAAAAAAAAAACGGCGCATATGACCGCATATTTGTCCTCTTTACAAATCACTCTGTAACACCACCTAACCCGCTCAAGTTCCACCAGACTCGGTCAGAGAAACCGGAACAGAGCGTAATCGAACACCCAAACACGTTCTTCCCCGTGGATTGTTTAGAGTTGCAAAATAATCAGGAAGAGAACGAAGAAATCGGCCAACGGGTATAATACGCACGTTTACGCGACGAACAGGCGAGTCCAGATTCAGTGTCTGATTACATAATCAAAATGAACGGAATCCATCGTGATTGTTAGATCCCGAATGAATCATTGAAGATCACACGTTTCGCCATTTAAGCATGCAAGTTGGTATCCAGAACTGGGCCACGAAATTGCAGTCGCCAGAGATAGACAGGCGTGTGTCTGCAAGCGACTTCCTGCTTGCAACCGAACACTATAAACACAGATCTGGATAATTCGCGGCTAGTGAAATTGAATCGGGGGCAGCATTGATCGAAGGGGAGAAGGAAAGGGTATGAGTCACCAGAAAATATTTGTGTTATTGGGCGAAATGCGATTACGTTTCGTAAATATTTTCGCATTCTTTGCTCGTGTTGTTTCACACGTGTGTGCGTGTACGTGTATGTTTTTAAGCCTGATTTTTGTTCACCATCTGGGAATATGGATTATTGTGTAGAAGTATGATGTTCGAGTGCCATTTTTCTGTGTTAAGTCGAAGAAAGGAGGACTGAATTATCAGAATTACTTATTATACTGTTCTTAACCCTATAACAGTGATGGCGAACCTATGATACGTCTGTCAGAGGTGACATGCCAAGACACTTTTAGTGACACGCATCGGTGGTTTTGTGGTTCTTGTATTTTTATATTATAAATATAAATATAACTCTTATTTACTAGGGCTGAAAATAGCATTAAAATTAGGGATATTTCAATATTTAACACGATACCCATCAGACAAATTTTTACCAAGCTTTGACACACCGAGCTTAAAAGGTTAGCCATCACTGCCCTAGAACGACACCCTTTCATTTCTTGGCGTTAGGAACACCGTGGGGTCGCGGACGACCCAAAATAAAATTTTAATATTTAAAATACTATTTAATATTTTCGAACTATTCTTCTTTAATTCTTCTTTAAATACCTTAGGTAATAATAACTGCACAACGTGATCTGTTAAAAGAAATAAAGGAAAGGTAAAGGAAAGCTGAATGTTCTAATGTTTATTTTCGCGTCTTCCGTTCTTAAATTTATCTCGAGAATTAAATAAAATATTTTTCTTTTTAAATTAATTTGAATGACAGATTAGCTGAATACACGCATTCAGAAAGTGTGAAGGGTGTGTAGTGTTTCGAAAAGATATTGCATTTGTAATACAAAGATTTAAACATACAATTCTGCAGTTTGCGTTTGAATTAACAGTCGTCACAAGGTTAACTTATCATAAAGGATCGATTCGTCTTTCTGTCGACTATACCAACAAAATTAAATTATTCTATTTCACTAATCATCTTTAGCCTTGAATTCTCGAGAAAAAATACTCACGTGAAAACTGTGTTTTATGTCATCACATTTGATTTCGTTGTACGTTACAACATCCAGGTAGTTAGATTAAATAAAGCTATAGTATAATGGTATCTTAGAATGTTCAAATCAACGCGAAATATTAGTTTCCTAATAAAATTAACGTGTACCACCTTCAAATAAAACGCGATAATTTCTATCCTGTGAAACATTTTGTTCAACCTTACCCACAGTTTGGAGTACTCGATATAAGGTTTGCTGACATAATAAATTTATAGAAGTGATAATACACCGTAGATTGCCTGTTTTTAAATCTATTTAACAGTTCCCCGAATATTGTGTGATTCCTTACGACTTGAGAGATATTCAGGCAGGCGTGAACAACGTGAGAAAGATGTGGGTTCCTTTGGAATTTCTTTCTGTTCCCGTGAAAAATACTCGCTATTTTTGCCTTCTCGCGAAGTCTCCTCAACTCGTAAACGTCATATTCGTTTGTGGCTATGTCCTTCCTCCCGCGCGCTTGATTTTCCATTGAAATCTTCCCCCTTTTTATCACAGAATTTATTATAATATATTACTCGAGCCACTATAAAATACTTATGATTTTTAACGAAGTGAAACTGTAGCAATATTTTAGTTAATTATAAAGAAATGAATGCAGAAAATGACAAATTGCTGCATTCATTAATCGACTAATGTCAGAAACGTGTCATTTTCTTCTGCAGAGGAATAAAAGGCACACGTATATTTTGTATCAGGACAACAGGTAGATACCTCTTTTAGAAACACCCAATATAACATCTCACGAAGTCCAAATTACACTTGAACGATATATGCAGAGATGGGCGAACTCATTATCTAGATAAAAAGTATCGAATAACGAATAAAAGGTAAAAAAAACTATTTTGTCATTAATTGTTTAAACGTGGAAATTTCAATTTTTATAATAAAATAATACTTCTTTATGAATGAATCGACATTATTTAATCTCACTAACTGTTTAAAGCTCAGAACGCCACCCTTACATACTGCTATTTTTCACTGTGTATTATTCGAATAAAATTCTGCCCAACTCTGGATACATATGTATATGTTTCACATAAAAGAGTTTTGTAACTTTCGCTCCTCCACGGTTCATATAGTAACTATAAGACGAGACGGCGGCCATATTGGAAATTACGAACGCTGATACCTTTCACGATTGCTTCAGTAACATTTCTTGCTTCCAATATATATTTTCAATCCCGTATCGATGGAACATCTTTTATTTCCATTTCGGTACCTATTACCATCTCCCTAAAGAGATTACCTCTTTTAGAAACACCCAACATAACATCTCACAAAATCCAATTCAAACCTGAACGATACGTGTTTCATATAAAAAACGTTTCGTAACTTTCGATCTTCTACGGTTCCAATAGCCGTACTATTTCTCATAAATTCCTCTCTCATTGTGCCTGAATTGGATCGCTATTACGATCCACAACGGATTCTAAGAAGATTGAATCACGTTTTAGAAATTTCACCCGAACGCGTGTCGGCGCAGTGCCGTCACGACAATTTCCAAAGTGTCGAGAAACGATTAACGGACGAACGAGAGCGACAACGAAACGCCGGGGCGCGCGACACGATAGCCCTTTATGGGACTTCCCCGTAGCAGAAATAACTTTCGTTAAATGAAAGCGAACGCCTTTATGCCGCCTCGTAATAGGCGTCGATTCATTTGAGCGCGCGGTGCTTGCACAATGTCCGGCACACAGAAACTCGTGTGAAGTCGATCGTTTTTCCGTTCTCCACGCGTGGATCGTAGGAGAAGCAGCCCATGAACCGTTTTTTTCGGGGCTTCTTTCACTCAGAAACGCGATGATTTCTTGGAAGTACGTGTTGGGAAAAGTTTTAATCGATATTGGAGAGAAAGTGTATTAAAGATTACATACCTTTAAACTGGTAAATAAGAGGGAAAATAAAAAAAACTTGTGTATGCAGAATGATTGTTTATTAAAGATTCAACATATACATCTTATTATATGTTATATCCTTAGTGATTGTATTGAAGTTGAACATTAAACTTAAAACACAAAACATTATTTTATAAATACCTCGGTAACTATTAAGTTTAAAACGTATGCAGGTCAACACATTTTTACTTAGAATTTGATACTCTGATACAAAAATATAGGTCATTTCGTTAAAAAAATAAAATCAATGTGACCTTGAAATCTCTGAAATGCTTGTACCATCAAAAAAAGCACGCACCTTATAAGATGTGTCCCTTGATGCAATTTAAGTTCCACGCCTCAAAATGTTCACAAAGCGCACCGTTAAGTTATTCTTCGAAGTGGTCAAGTTTGCTGAGACACCCTGTATAGTGTAGACACAGCTTTGCAGCCAGGTTTACAAGACTTTTTTAGTAACACGGTTTGCGGTGCCAATTGGAATTTTCCTCTATCTAGTCCTTAATGTAGCATTTATTTAATCTGATGCAATTCCATTTTTAATCCAAAAATCGAGTGATTTTTTTACGAAAAATCAGTACTTTACCCAGCTACCATTTTTTCAGGAATCAATTTATTGAAAAACGACCACGTTTTTTTATATTTAATACATATCTTACGGCATAATGTTGAATTACAAAAAAAGGAATAATAATAATACTTACGCAATCCTCGCGACTTATGTGCGCACTCGTGTACAGAGAAAAACTGTATTTTTTACAATTCGTGGCCGCGCAGGTAGCCTTCCATCAGCTTCTAGGACAACACGTGGATTTACCGTAATTATGGCTCATCAGTGGCGCTATGGATCCTTTCTCCGTCATCCGGACGACCCTGACGATCCTGGTCGCGTACACAGAAAAATCCGATTTGACTTTTCCGTTGACGTTTCCCCGACAGTAAAGAAGTTCGAATCGTTGAATTTACTTCGCAAAAAAAATGCAGTTACTCTGCAAACGTGTAACAATTGGGGATGGAACATTGTCAAAATATTATCGAAATTAAGCGAAAAAGAACACTTGTGTTAGATATTATGAAAAACCCTACTGTTGTGGTATAATGAAGTATTATTTTAATGTGTTATCTTCAAAAAGTCGTAAAAAGTGAGTTTGATACAAATCTTTATTAATTTTTATTGTATAATATAGCTAAAGTAGATGTAGTTGTCTTTTTCTCATTTTTTGGACGGATTTCTTTCAAATTTTTTTACGATATGTATATGGATTTTTTGTTAAGTTATGAACTCGTATTAAAGTAGCTTCCGCGTTTGTTGTCGTATCCAGCTGGGGCTCCATATGGCGCTTTATACTTTTTATCAGTTTTACCAACTTAATTTAAATGATTAATATTTCAAATTACTTCAAAATAGTTAAATGGAAAAAAGATTTATAAACGAGTGGAAAAACAAAACAAATTTTTCCCTATTATGAAATAAATTAATTTTTTTTTCATTTTTGATAAAAAATTGGAAAGTTTGTCGAATAAACCAAAGGAAAACAAGCAACGTTGACGCTCATAGCAGACATGCCTAGGAGATACTACTACCAAACGCATTGAAACCTAAGTTTACATACTGTTATCTTAATTTTTAATTTCATTTGGCCATTAACAAATTTTTTTCCGTGCCATCATAATCTCCGTAAAAAAATCTATAACCACCTAATTTTTTATGAAAATGTCATTTTTTGTAACTATCGTTGACCTTGCGATTTTTTGGTAGCAATCGAAAATTTTAAAAGCTCTTAAGGATGATCTGTTAAATTTTCAACTAAATTTATAATTATTAAAAGAAACTTAAAGGAAACTAAGTATTCCTCGTCGCCCTTTTTTCTCTTCAGAAATTCAGACCGTTTCACGTATATTAGGTTCGAATAAATAATACGTGTTCTTTATCAGCGAACAGGTAGGATTCGCTGGTTTAAAACAAAAACTGCGTGTCATTACCGTGAATCTCGTTTCCTTGTGAATTTCGCGTGGGAAAAGGTGGATCGAGGAAATTCCGAAAACATCCTCGAGAGGAGACGTGTCGTGACGTGTGTCAGGGAAGGAAGATTAAAGAAAAAACAGGTTCTTTTTGCTAAATTCCTCGCGAAGAGAAAAGAGAGTGCTCTTGAAAAAGACAGCGCTTCTGGGAATCACCGAGAGTTTTGGAAACAAGGACCTTTCGTGAGAAGCGGTACCTAAGTGAGAAAAAGGACTATTCTTGTTCTTATGAATATCTGTGGCAAACATTAATGTTAGCATTTTTATGTTAAGATATGAAAAAATATAATGTGTAGATAAGTCAACCTTTAAATTTGTTATAAATATTTTTGAGAGCAGGATTATTACTGTTTTCCTAAGGGCCGTTTTCTCACGAATCAGTGTTGATCTATATCTCCTTGCTAAATTTATTACTAGACTGCAAATGTTTATTTTATAGTATTTATTAAGTTGCAAAGCCTAGTGAAATAAACATTTTAATTAATTTGATTGGTATTTAGAAATTTTAAAAATGTACAATTGCGATAAGTACAAGAATTCCTTTTGTTTTTAGGAAACTATTGACGATAAAATAATTCTGAAGACTGCAGATATAAAGAAAATCATAGGGCACGGGTTTAAACACTTCTGGTACACCGAATGAAAAGTGTGCACGTGAAAAAAAAAACTAGAATGTTCGTATCCCAGCTGAATTTTAAAGGATCACGCGGACAATATTTCCTCTGCATCGATAGATAGAGAAATGCAATATCAAACATGGCCACCTGTTATCTACTTACACACATCGACTAGACGAAATCTCACGTCGTTTCGACAGCTGTGGTTTGCACCCTTCAGGATAGGAAGGATCGGCAAAGTTTGCGCAATAAGTTATTCCACCCCTATCGCCGGCGTCGAAGGATAGAAAAGGGTTGTTTGTACTTTCCATTGCGGAAAATGTCTGTCAACAGGGAAACGTGTTTGGCATTCGGACGGAATAATTTTCTGGAACTCGATGGTGCGTCGTAAAAGGTCGCTTCGGTGGAAAAAGCTTGAGAATCAGGAAAAGATTGCATTAAATCTGTATTTGCAAAAGTGATGGTCGTCGTATGTAATTTGATATCGTGGTTTTATTTTATTTTATTCGTTCGATTTTTGCCAGGAATTTCGAATAAGGGATGCTGAAGCAATTATTTATCATTTGTAAAGATTTACCAGAGTAGATATTTGATAAATGGTAAGTGACAATTTGTATTTTTCACTAATGTTCTTCCAGTAAGACACAATCATTAAAACGGACACCAAAATTTATCCTCATAGTAGAGCATAGTTAAGCAACATCTCGGATCAATTTCTTTGCGTGTCTAGCGGTGTTAACCTAGTTACAGTATTTATTGCTTTATACCGTGCACATTATTAGCCTACACGGACGATTGCATTGAACACTGAGCTCTTTGTCGGCGAAAGAATTCAATATTCCCGCTGCCTCGAGTTGTTCCATCGCGACGAAACTGCGTTTAAACGCACTGGTGCCTCGTGCACGCCGCCTTTATCACTGTTTCCCATGTTTTAACGC